AACTATCAAGGGCGCTCAACGTTGGAAAATGAGGTTGTTGGAGATCTCCATGCAGAATTCGGCACGCTCCCAGAACGCGTCGAAGAGACACCTCTGGCTGAATTGTGGCAGGCGATCCAGCCAAGCCATAGCGGAATGCTTGGGAAGGTTTCCACAGGCATGATTAATTCGCTTTTCACTTCCAAATTACCCAGTGGCTTCACCACCGCCGCCGCGCGAGATCGACTCAAATCCCAGTGGGGTCTCAAACAAGGAAGACAGGATTCCTGTTTACTCCTTGCGACAACAGAGGCACCTCCAACACGAATTTCATCCGAATCCGACGCAAAGACCTTTATTGATGGCGTCGTGGAGAGCTATGCTTCGAAAAATAGTATACCTTTACACACATCTCATCCGTCTGCGGACGGAGCCTCGGCTTCTAATATCATGGTCGATCCTGAAGCGCTTAGAGCGATGTCTGAGGCCCAGAAAGCGGTGTCAAGACAGCTCCTTAATATTTATGCATCTCAGCTCGGCCTGGACCTAGGCGCGGATCGACGTTCATTAGACGCTCTCCAACACGACATCAAGACCGGAATGCAATCAGAGTTGGGTCTCTGGACGGAGGAGCATGGGGAAGACTACGCCAACGGTATTAAGCCACGTTTTGATTCCCGCAAGGTCCGCATGTATGATTCGGCATGGAATTGGGGCCGTCAGAGGCTTCTCGAGCTGTTCGATCTAGTGACTCCAGTGCAGCGTGGGGACGAAGTCACACTCGACCAAGGGAATGTCCTTGAAGCCTGCTACGCAATTGCCAACGCGGCAGATGAGACGCTCCTCCATGTAATCAATGAGATACTGGCCAAGCTAGGAAATTCTGCAGTTCCGCGCCCCATCTTTACTGATCTAAAGGCTCTGTGCAAGCATGTGCTGGAGTTCGGGCCACTTTTCAAAGGATCCCCCAAGCAGATGGCGCCATTCACAACTATCGACAAGGACGGGACGATACGATATTTTGAGAAGGAACGTGAAGATAGAATTACTTTTGCCCAGTTGGCATCGCCGACATCCGAAGCCGATGCTCATCCCTTTATCCACCTCAGAGAAAAAAGGGGAGATGCATGGTACTACAGTCGCATATTGACCGCAAAATTTCAAAATGCGCTCAGCTTGGTGCACGACCGGGGTTCGTCCTTCAATGGGCAGACTGTGCTGATGACGGGAGCGGGGATTGGTTCAATCGGAGCTGCGATGATTCGACACTTCCTACAGGGGGGAGCCAGAGTCGTTGTCACAACATCCTCTCTGTCCCCTGAGGTGGCCAAGGTATATCAGAGTATCTACATGGACCACGGTGCCAAGGGCTCTCAACTCATTGTTGTCCCATTCAACCAAGCCAGTGTTAAGGACGTCAATTCGTTGATTGAGTACGTCTATTCACAAGGTGGTCTTGGCTGTGACATAGATTACTTTATCCCTTTTGCTGCACTTAGTGAGGCTGGACGACGACTCGACTCCATTGACTCTAAATCAGAGCTCGCCCACCGTTTGATGCTCACAAACGTGCTACGTTTGCTGGGCACCATCAAGACCTGCAAGGAAAAGCACCGTTGTCATACCAACCCCACCCATGTCATCTTGCCTCTGTCTCCCAACCATGGAACCATTGGTGGGGATGGCCTATACGGTGAGTCAAAATTGGGCCTAGAGACGCTGTTCAACCGGTGGCATTCGGAGGATTGGCAGGACTACCTGTCCATCTGCGGTGCCGTCATCGGTTGGACAAGAGGAACCGGTCTAATGAACCAGAATGATCTCATCGCAGAGGGCATCGAGGCGGCTGGCATGCGGACCTTTTCTCAGGAGGAGATGGCCTATGCTCTGGTCTGCCTATGTGTGCAGGAAATGACTGAGCTATGTCAGGAGAGGCCTCTTTACGCAGACCTAACGGGCCGAATGGCAGAGGTGCAGGGACTCGGAGAAAAGCTGCAAGCGTTGCGTCAGGAGCTCAAGGAAAAAAGCGAAATACAAGCTGCGCTTCTCGCAGAGTCGATACTAGAGCAGCAATGCTCGACTGCCGGCCATTCTTCCCGACCGAGCACCGGCTCGGACCGACTCGAGCAGAGAGCGCATGTGCGTTTAGACTTCCCCAAGCCGCTTGACTACGATCGGGATATCCGCACTATTAGCTCAGACCTCCAGGGAATGGTGGACTTGGATCGAACCGTAGTGGTGACGGGGTTCTCGGAGTTAGGGCCCGTGGGCAATGCTCGCACACGATGGGAGATGGAGGCATATGGCCAATTCTCCCTCGAGGGCGCCATTGAACTAGCCTGGCTCATGGGATACATCAGCCACTTCGCCGGAACCATCGATGGAGCTCCCTACTCCGGGTGGGTAGACACTACGACAAAAAAGCCCGTTGCCGATATCGATGTGAAGTCAATCTACGAGGAAAGGATCTTGAATCATACCGGAATACGTCTAATCGAGTCAGAACGAAAGCCTTTCCTGCACGAGATTACATTGCAACAAGATTTGGAACCCCTCGATATGCCTGAGTCGCTCGCCGAGCAGATGAAATTGGAACATGGAGAGTTCGCTGCAGTTCAACAATCGACAACACCGGATCTATTCACAGTACAGCTTCGCAAAGGCGCTAGACTCTATATCCCTCGCGCAATGCAATCAACTCGGACCGTCGCCGGACTCATACCGGATGGCTGGGATCCACGTGTTTATGGAATCCCCGAGGAAATTGTGTCCCAGGTCGACCGGGTTACGCTCTTCACACTGGTGTGTACGGTTGAAGCGCTGCTGTCCTCTGGGATTACAGATCCGTATGAACTCTATCAGTATATCCACGTGTCCGAAGTAGGCACATGTATCGGTTCAGGGCTTGGAGGTGCCACTTCTCTGAACAAAATGTTCAATGGGCGCCAAAGCACTCACGACATCCCGAAGGATATCCTACAAGAGACCTTCATCAATACCACAGGAGCTTGGGTCAATATGCTTCTACTCTCGGCAAGTGGACCTCTTCGCACCCCAGTCGGGGCGTGTGCCACTGCTATCGAGTCCCTAGAATTAGGGTATGATACTATCGTTACCGGTAAAGCTCAGTTCTGCTTGGTCGGCGGCTGTGATGATTTCACGACAGAGACCTCTCAGGAGTTTGCCAACATGAAGGCGACTAGCAACGTTGAGGAAGAAATCGCCAAAGGTCGAGCTCCTCACGAAATGTCCCGACCGACCACCAGCACCCGCAGCGGCTTTGTGGAATCTCAGGGTTCCGGACTCCAGGTGCTCACAACGGCGGCACTGGCGCTGAGAATGGGATTGCCGATTCGAGGCATCATTGCTTTTACCAGCACATCTAGCGATAAGGCTGGCCGCTCGGTGCCAGCTCCTGGGAAGGGGGTACTTACCAACGCCAGGCACATTCCCTCAAGGGTACCATCGCCTCTCATGAACATCCGCAATCGCCGGAAGCGGTTGGACTTCCGCCTCCGCCAGATTGCAGAAGCGCGGGACGTGGCCTTGCAAGATCTCGACTTCGAAGTGGCTGCGGTGGTAGCCCAGAGCTCGACTGTGGATGTTGAGGCCTACGTCAATGAGCGTCGGCAGCAGATAGCGGCTGACTTTGCTCGCGAGCAAAAGGATGCCCGCTTCAATCTCGGCAACGACTTCTGGCGCAACGAGCCTAATATCGCACCACTTGCCGGCGCTCTAGCTACGTGGGGGCTCACCATCGATGATCTGGATGTGGCATCCTTCCATGGCACGTCGACCGTGATGAACGACAAGAATGAATCTAGTGTCATTCACCAACAGCTGAGCTCAATGGGTCGACGAAAAGGCAACCTCATTCTCAGTGTCTTTCAAAAGTCCCTGACCGGTCACTCCAAGGGCGCTGCGGGTGCCTGGATGCTCAATGGAGCCCTCCAAATGCTCGACTCGGGATTGGTCCCGGGTAACCGCAACGCTGATAATATCGATCCAAAGCTCGAGGAGTTTGCTGATCTGATCGCCTATGTGCAGCGGCCGATCCGTGTTCCTGACATCAAGGCCGTTTCCGTCACCTCCTTTGGTTTTGGTCAGAAGGGAGCACAAGCTCTCTGTGTCCATCCCCGGTATCTCTTTGCCACTCTCGGCCGGGAAGAGTACGACACTTACCTCGACCGCTGCACTAAGCGAAAAACCAAGGCGGATATGTTCTTTTACGAGGGAATGAATGGGAACTCCCTCTTCCGTGCCAAATCTGCGCCGCCATTTGCCCCGTCTGAGGAGACGAAGACGTACCTTGACCCAACTGTCCGATTTACGTGTTAATGATATCCCTATAAGTTTTTGTTATTTTTAGATAGTCCTCTGAATTGATCTATTTTTTTAAACCAACTTTGATGTTCAAGTCAAGCTTCGTAGCTCGCTCATTGTTCTTCTTACTTTTCCCCACACTTTCTCCGTCTATTCCATTTGCCTATCTCAGCTGTAGAAGCACAAGAGGTATCGACATAGAGGTCCTCTTCCGCTACCTCTCCCATGTATAGTCCCCATAATAGATAGTATTACTTGATCTAATCCCCAGGCGATCATGTCATGGTCCAGAGTACGATCTGCGACGGGTTTAGGAGATCCTGATACTGAATGATGTCTCCCATATGACTTAACTGATCAGTATCAGCCTGACACTAAACCAGCTGTTCTTAATTTAACTTAATCTTCGTGTGCATCAGCTATCCTTGTCTTATGATAATCAGGATTTCATAATCTTGGGTTTTTTTTTTTTTTTTTTTTTCCCCTTTTTCCGAATCATTTCGAGGATAGTGTCTTCAATCACATGCTAAGCTGATTCAGTAGCGGAGAATCATATAGTTATAATATTAATATTATTACTAATTCAACTTTAAACATAGTCACATGTTTGAGGTTACTTATAATGTCAGATGAGTACATGAATAAGCTTACTATGAATCAGAATTGCCTGGAATTTAGCTAATTTAGTTTACCGGCTCCTAATCGAACACTGCCATACTGATTTCTGAACCTATTGCAGTCGTTCCCCGCTGACGTCGGACGTGGGTGCCAGTGCGGCACCAGCCGTAGTTTCCACAAACCAGCACCACACAGATCCAACTTTGGCCAGCAGACCCTTGTCCGCAGCTGATGGCGCCTTCGCGACGAACGCACTATACTTATTGTTTTGAAAATATCCTGTAATGATACTTAAGAACCGAAGCAACTTCGATCAATACACCTTTGTAACTGAAGTGGAGAACGGTGCCAAGGATTCAATTCCTTCCTGTCGGGCTAAAATGATACGGTGGCTTACTACACAGTATTTTTCGGGTGGCTGTGGGTGAGACAAGTTGACGAGAGCCTTGCAGCTCGCCAGATCCATATTGATAGTATTTTGTGTGCCGATCACTTATATTTATTCACACGCTAGTGTAGGGAATCTATCTTGGAAATTTGCGATCACCGCCACATTGACCCTCGTAATATACATATGTAACTTACAATGTACGACATGTAACAGTATCACAATACTGATACACACGTATTGTCATGTGTGCGAAGTAATTAGCAACCAGAACCAATATTAATTTCAGCCAATCTAAAATCTCACGTAGCTGCAGGAACATCGCTGGTTTCAAACCTGAAACAGCAACATCAACCAACACAACAGGTGCAGTCGCATAGAAGCTCAATAGTAATTATTACGCAGCGGAGATGGTCGAGTAAGGTGACCGCCGGCAGGATCTTAGATTGAGGGTCCGACACGTGGATGGCTGCGATGGAGTATCCACTCCATATGCGAAAGGTGCAAAGGATACGGGACATGCCCAGGGTGGCGGAGGTGTTCCTGGTAGGCTGTGGTATCGAATGGAGTAAGATTGCTGGCATTAAAAAGTTTCTTCATTAAGCTATATTACGCAGACATCCGACTACGCGGCTCGTGGCGTGGATAACAGCAGAGCTTCATTCTGCCGCTACATACAACACAAATCATGGAGAGCCCGTGGTCATCGGTAGGATCGCAAGATTCTTCTTCAATCTTCGAGGCACCATGGGAGGAAATGCGACAGCAACAATCACTTTTTGCAGACGAGATTTCATTCGAATATGGGGCTGTTCAATGCTCAATTCCTATTTCCAGTCAACTGGCACCAAGATGCCGGCTACTGAAAGATAAATTCGCCAATTCGATAGCGACATCTTTACAGCAATTCTCCAGTCCCCTCGAGCTGTGCTCCTCCTTTATACGATTTATCCTTGACTATGCACACGATGAACTATCGAGTACGTCGGTGGACGTTGCAATTCTCCGAGAAATTCTGAGCTTCGTTCAAACCAGCTTGCTTCGGAATGAGAACATCAACACCGTTTTGACCTCTACGAATGGCGACCCCGCCGTGGATCGCTCGATCCTGCGCACATACTTCCAGGCTTGTGCCCTGGCCAACCACCGATGCACCATGGGGACCAGTGAGCTCCTGTCCAGCGCACAAAGAGGCGAGGCAAAGCTGTTTGCGCTATTCAATGGCCAAGGGGTAGAGAGCTACTTCGAGGAGCTTGTGGAGACTTATAGCATCTATGAAGAACACCTTATACCCCTTGTGCATCTGATGTCCGAGAGGCTCGTCCGCCTGGCTGCGGATGACCAGTTCAAGGACATCTTCCTGCATGGACTTGATGTCCAAGCCTGGCTCAGCACTCCGGAAACCTGTCCTCCTATCGATTACCTCACCACAGCGGCCGTTAGTCTGCCGCTCATTGCTGTCTCCCAGATGGTGCAATATGCCGTTGCATGCATTAACCTGGGTGTTACACCGGGAGAGATGCGACAATTCCTGTCTGGGGCAAGCGGCCATTCCCAGGGAGTTGTCGTAGCCGCCTTCATTGCGGCTGCTGCATCGTGGGACGGCTTTTATACTGCCGCGCGACAGGTGATTGAGGTGCTCTTTTGGATCGGTGCCCGTTGTCAACGAACTATAGGTACCACGAGTCCTACGTCCGGCCTGGAGACATCGCCCCCGTCGTACATGCTCAGCATCCAGGGAATTTCACAGACTGCGTTGCAGAGACAGATCGAGCAAATCAATGCACAACTCCCCGCACAGCAGGCTGTGCATCTCGCTCTGGTAAACGGACCACAACAATTTGTCGTCGCCGGGCTGCAACCATCTTTGCAGGCACTAGAAAGAATCCTTCAGCTGCCAAAGAATGGTTCATCATCGGCCAACACTAACCCGTCTCGGATTCCCTTTCGCCAACGCGCTCCTACAATAAGCACCCGCTTCTTACCCATCGGTGCCCCTTTCCATTCCCCATACCTAGAGAAGACGGAGAGTTTGCTTCTCCAAGACCTGGCGCCCTTCACTCTCCGCGGTGTTGACTTAGCCTTCCCTGTCTATCACACGGAAACGGCTGAGAATCTTCAGAGCAGTGAGAACCTCATTCCCCAGATCACACAGATGATTTGCACTGGTCGGGTCCAGTGGGAGATGCTCCAGCAGAAAGTCTTGCCTGGTTTCACCCATCTCTTGGATTTTGGACCTGGAGCAGACGCTGGGATCGGCAGTCTTGTCGGCCAGCAACGCGAGGGCACAGGCCTGCGGACTACGGTTGTCTCAGCTCACCGGGGAACGAATCCAATTTTGAGCTACGCGGGTGACTTTTACGCCCGGTATGCCGCGGTCAAATACAGCCCTGCCTGGTCCACGGATTACGCCCCATCCCTTGTTCGCTTACCCATCGCCACCGATCCTCAAATCCTAGTCGACACCAAGTTCACTCGCCTCATCGGCCTTCCTCCGGTCATGGTGGCCGGGATGACCCCGACCACAACGTCGCCCGACTTTGTAGCGGCAATACTCAATGCCGGATACCACGCCGAGGTAGCTTGTGGCGGTTTCCCCGACGCTGACAAGATGCGTGAGGGTCTTATGTCTCTCGCTTCGGCCATCGCTCCGGGTCGAAAGATCACCTGCAATGTGATCTACGCGAACCCGCGCGCAATGGCGTGGCAGATCCCCTTGCTGGCTGAATTGCGGCGATCAGGAGTTCCGATCACAGGATTGACAATTGGGGCTGGGGTACCGTCTGCTGAGACTGTGCAAGGCTATATCGACGAGCTGGAGTTGGAGCACATTTCTCTTAAGCCGGGGTCCAAGGGCGCAATTGATGCAGTGCTGGAAATTGCACGTGTTCGTCCTGATTTCCCAATTATCCTTCAATGGACTGGCGGCCGCGGTGGAGGCCATCATTCCTACGAGGATTTCCATGAGCCCATCCTTGACCGGTACGCGCAGATCCGGGCCTGCTCCAATGTCATTTTGGTGGCAGGCAGCGGCTTTGGCGACGGAGAGGGGTCCTACCCTTATTTGAGTGGCACGTGGTCTGAGACCTTGTTTGGTCGGCCTAGAATGCCATTTGATGCCATTCTGCTGGGTAGTAGGGTGATGGCCGCGCAGGAAGCACAGACAAGCATCGCTGCCAAACAAGCCATTTGCGATATCCCTGGTGTTGGGGACTCGGAGTGGGAAGGCACCTATAAGAAGCCTACGGGTGGCATCCTGACCGTTCGCTCCGAGATGGGAGAACCCATACACAAGGTGGCCACACGAGGTGTGAAGCTCTGGGCAGAATTGGACCGGAATATCTTCAGCCTCCCCCGCGAGAAACAGAAAGGCGCGCTGCTAGCTCGCAAGGAGTATTACATCCGCAGGTTGAACGAAGATTTCCAGAAAGTGTGGTTCGGACGGGATGTTACTGGAGCCGTGGTCGACTTGCAAGAGATGACCTATGCGGAGGTTTGGCAGCGGATGGTGGAGTTGCTATATCCGTCACATTTACAGGCGTGGATTGACCCTTCATTCCGGACCTTGGTCTTTGACTGGACCCGGCGCATGGAGGAGAGACTTGGTTCCGGTGCAGTAGCAAATGGCAAAACGATCCGAGCTGTCCTCCGAGACTCGTCACAACTCGACCATCCTGACCAGTTTCAGAAGGATCTTTTCGCCGTATATCCGCAAGCTAAAAAGGAAGTCATCACTGCAGCCGATGCCGACTACGTGGTTTTGCTTTCCCGTCGCCGCGGACAGAAGCCTGTGCCCTACATTGTGGCCTTAGATGAGGACCTAGAGTACTGGTTCAAGAAGGACTCTCTGTGGCAATCAGAGCGCCTCGAAGCTGTCTTCGGACAGGATGTTGGGCGAGTTTGTATCCTCCATGGACCCGTGGCTGCACAGTATACCAGGACACCCAATGAGCCGGTCCGCAGCATACTCGAGAGCTTTCATAATTACTACATAACTCTGACACTGCAAGAGCGATACGCTGGTGAGGTCTCTGAGGTTTCATTTGCGCAAAAAGCGGAGGATATCGAGTCGTTTCCCTTGGTGTGCGAAAGTTTTGCAATTGAGCAAGGGAGCAACGCCGTCACCTACCGAGCCTCGGATCTAGATCGCCAGCCTTCTTGTGAACAGTGGCTGAAAACCCTCAGCCAAGCAACGCTCGCCCCATGGTGCCGTGCCATGTTTACAGAGCCGATAATTGTCCAGGGTGGAAAGCGGTCCAGTAACCCCCTTCATCGACTATTTGCCGCAACGGGCAGAGGGCGAGTCGTCGAAGTGCGGAATCCGCAATCGTCAGAGATGCCGGAAATCCTCATCAGGGAGGTAGACTATCAGAGAACGACGGGGAGAAAAGTACGACCGCACTTGATCGCAAGTGCCTCTCTTAGAAGAGCTTCCCCCGAGCCTATTAGCGATATTCTTATGACTCTGAGGGATTCCGAGTCCGTGCCCTTGGAGTTTCGATTTCAGTACAAGCCTCAACTCGGGGCTCCCAGCATTACCGAAGTCAAAATTGACCGCAACTCACGGATCAAACAATACTATCAGACTATCTGGATCGGGAGGAATCCATCTACAAAGACGTTACTCTCTCCCTCAGAACAGGTCTTTCGCGGCGAGGCAGTTGTCCTGACGCGAGAGATGATCCGACAATTTGCACAGAGTATTTGCAATCACAACTCCAAGTACACATCGGATTCTTTGCAACCGCCGTTGTATGCACCCCTGGACCTGGCTATAGCGGTCGGATGGAGACCGCTCATGAGTTGCCTCTTTCATCCGCTTGTGTCTGGAGATCTTCTTCGGCTTTTGCATTTGAAGAATTCCTTCGAGTACTGTGAGGGGGTTGAACCATTGAAGGAAGGGGATTCTCTGTCTCCAGAGGGTCGACTGACCTCCATCAAGATCAAGAAGGGACTAGGAAAGGTCGTGGAAGCAGAGGGTACACTCCACCGAAACAGCAGGCCTGCAATTCGGGTCAAGAGCACCTTTATCCTTCTTGGCGAATACCAAGACTACGAAAGTACGTTTGCGGTAGAAGAAGAGAGGTTTCTCCTCACTATTTCTTCGCAAAAGGATATTGCTCTGCTGAAATCCCGGGGTTGGCTCTCTTTGAACCATGGTATCGATCTGCTGGACTATCTCCACAAGACAATCGAGGTTAAGACCCGGAGCCGATACACTTTCCAAGACTCGGACAAGTACGCAGACCTGTCCGTGGAGGGACAGGTCATTTATCAGCCGGTGACCGGGGAGTCCCAAATTATAGGATCAATTAACCTCTCCGGTGACACCTACGTGAAAAACCCAGTGACGGACTATCTGCGCAGACACGGTAGTCAATCGGGGAACGATTCTCAGGCACTTCTGCAGCCTCAATCTCTGCTTGACGATCTTGAAATTACCGTTCCGGACTATGCGGCCCAATATGGGCAAGCTTCGGGCGACTGCAATCCTATTCATCTCTCCGAGCTGTTTGCGAGCTACGCCGGACATGAGACCCGAGTAACCCATGGAATGTTCACCAGTGGATGTATTCGAGCACTTGTGGAAGCGCATATTGCGCAGGGCGATCCCTCTCGAATGCGCTCCTGGTCGTGCACTTTTGACGGCAAGGTTTCTCCGGGAGATAGGCTGGGCATCAAGGTCGACCACGTAGGCCTGTCGCACGGCAACCTCTTGCTTTCCATCCAAGTCCACAATACATCTTCGGGAGTCAAGGTTCTTTCCGCTCAAGCCACGGTCGAGCAACCTCCAGTAGCCTATGTTTTCACCGGTCAAGGCAGCCAGCAGCCGGGAATGGGCATGGAGCTCGAGAGGCAGAGTGCGAGTGCCCGGATGGTATGGCAAACTGCAGACGAATATTTCAGCAAAACTTATGGTGAGGCGGAGAGACCCTCTTATTCTCGTGCGCCTACTGGCATTCAGAACTGACACATCTACCCTAGGATTTTCCATATCCCAAATTGTACGGGATAACCCAAAGACACTGACTGTATACTTTGGGGGCGCCAAGGGCCGTGCCGTTCGCGCGAACTACACTTCTCTTAAGTTCGACACTGTCGGAGATGACGGCACGTTAATTTCCAAGCGCGTCTTTCCTGAGATCACCACATCCTCCCGGTCCTATACGTTCCGCTCCACCAATGGCCTGCTGCATCAGACGCAATTCACACAGCCTGCTCTAGCTTTGATGGAGATGGCACGATTCGAAGACATGCGGGCGAAGGGGGTTGTGAGAGAAGACAGTCTGTTTGCCGGTCATTCGCTGGGCGAGTATGTGGCGTTGGCTGCAATGGGCAGGATTTTCTCCATTGAGGAGGTGTCGGCCCTTGTCTTCTACCGGGGCTTGACGATGCAGAATGCGGTCAAACGAGACGCCGAAGGTGCTACCGACTACTCCATGTGTGCCGTCAACCCGACCCGTGTCTCGCCAAAGTTCAGCGAGGAGAATCTCCACTGGTGTGTGGCGGAAATTGCCCGCATCAGGGGATCAGGAGGACTGCTTGAGATAGTGAACTACAACGTTGCTAATATGCAATACGTTTGTGCAGGAGATGTGAGTTCATGTTCCTTATCTCCCTTTACGGGCCTCAGCCTCTGGGATTTCGCAAGTCAAATAGCCACTAACCTGTGATTTACAGCTTCGTTCACTGGCTACTCTCTCAGAGCTCCTGGATGCACTCGCATCTGGCGCCTTGCATCTCACTAATGTGGACGACGTGAAGGCATTTATCCAGAAGACTCTGACACGACTTGAGTCCTCAGTCACGGCAACAAAGAAGCGGATAGTTTTGCAACGCGGGCGAGCAACAATTCCTCTGAATGTCAACGTGCCCTTCCATAGTAGTCTGCTCCGCCCTGGAGTGGATTCCTTCCGCTATCTCCTCCATAAACATATATCCGAGGCAATGGTCGAACCGGATCGACTCATTGGAAGGTACATCCCCAATCTGATCGCCAAGCCCTTCGAGCTCTCGAAGGAGTATATTCAGGGTATCATGCAGTTGACTAAAAGTCCTGTTTTGGAAGGAGTTCTCCAGAAGGTGAGTGTGGAATGGTAGCTCCTTTCTTTGTTGACTATATCTAATGAATGACTTTTCAGTGGCCACTATTATGAGGAGGGGTACAGAGTCAATGATTTTACTTGCAAGTTGACAATGATTTGTTATTTTCGAAGGCGTTGGTATGGTGTGAGTTCGGGGGATATATTGACTTGAGCTTTGTATAGCATTAGGGTATAGAGAATGTTATTTGATGATGGTCTGCCATTCATGTTAATCATCGACAAATACTTAACATGATAATAGAACATAGAGCATTGTTTGACCGAAACGAGTCTTCGACGCTTCCATAATTGGTAGGTCTCCCAATATCTGCGGCATGGTTTCTGTCCCTGTCACGAGAGTGCCCTGGAAGGGAATGATTCGTACGAGTGAGATCTACTATTATCTACCTCTAGATTTCTCAAGACGCCTTGGGTTGTGAGATTCCCCTCCTGCTTCATGGCCTTGCACTTAGATGACGAGGGTAACCGTTACGCAGGATGGTCTGTCCTCACCTGCGAGGGAGAGGAAATCCTTCATTGAGCGTGCCCGATACGATCGAGGAGATCGGGTGTGAATGCGGTAGATTCCACCGTCCCTCTGTTTGAAGACAGGGCTTGTAAAGAGATACTTGCAACACTCCGTAGACCATCCTCAAAGCATCATCATGGGCATTACTATTATTACTATATCCTCGGCCCCCACCTTCGGGGCAAGAAATACGGAGATAAATCCTTCAATGTCTGTGTCCTTGACCTCCGAAACGAGTAGAACAGAATGACTATTTAACGCTTACTGATTCACACTGCATATTCGTTTGCTTACAATCAGAATTATCCGAGACAAACTAATGCAAGCACACTGCCACGTTGTGAACCTTGTTCCTGCCAATGTAACGTGAGCTAAATACCGGGTCGACCCTCGCCGTTCGATTCTGCTCTACTGGAGGCTTTCCGACGTTAAGCGATTACCACCTCCAATCTAGCTCGAGAAATGGCAGTAGTAAGACCTGGCATTTGTCGAGTCATCACGAAGAACGGGCCCCCTCATTGCTCTATTTCCATCGCTTCCTGAGGGTCCGCAGTAGTCACTCCATGTGGCTTTACCCTCCCATATCCTGATCTGATGCTGTCAGCATCTATGATCCTAGATTAGATCACCCCCCTTTCTGCCACGTTTTTGTGGATCAGTGGGGCATCCCCAATGGGTTTTGAAGGCCGGGGCTCAGATAACTCATGAGTATCTGCTGCGGTTCATAGGTTAGTTGGCTAAGTGGAGATTGTCTTACATCGTAAGCCTTTACATAGTAAGCACAGTAAGTCGCCATAGTCCGCCGTGGCATCTCCGAGACGGGGAAAGCAAGCAGGAATCCTGAGTTGGCTGACGATTATGCTTCGCATTTACGGCTCAGTAGGGCTGTGTTTTGTAAACAACAATGATACTGTTTGAAGTATTACTACGATTGGGCACTATGTATTATCACTCAACATGTCACGGGCTCCGTAACATGGCTATGCCACACCAACTATCTGGTTTCGAGTCCCAACCAGATAGCATCAACACGTGGAATGACTAGCGAGGTTTCAGCCAGGATGAAACTGCGGATGGCGAAGTTAGATTGCCTGACCTCGTGTTGAATCAGCCGTTCAATCCTAGAGACCTTCCTGCTGCCCATGGCGTCGTCAATCGCCAGCATAAGTTGCAGAGGGGGACCGGTGTAGTTCCTTCCTTTCACCAAAGTCCTTCTGAATCCTTAAAATTGTCACTGAGAGAAAAGGAAACAGGAACAATATGATCGACTCTCAAGTCTTGTTAACTTTCGCCCTCAAGGGACTCCTACTGGGTCTCATCGTGTTGAGCTGCACCGTCTGTCTCCAGCACACCCCTGATGCTATGGATACCTGTGCTAACATTGGCGATTAACAGGTAGCTGGACTCTGCATTTATCGACTCTTCTTTCACCCGTTGGCTAAATATCCCGGTCCCTGGCTGGCAAAGACCACCAAGTTGTATGCTGGTTATCATGCATGGCGTGGGGACCTGCATCTGGATATGTGGAGATGCCACGAGAAATACGGTAAGTATCTCTTGGCTATTCATGGCATATGTATACTGGATGACTAACGTCAGTTTTCCTCTCTCATTAGGTGACTTTGTCCGATATGGACCAAATAGCCTTCTCGTCAATACCGCCGACGGACTGCATGACATATACAGCCACGGGAAGAACTTCAAGAAGGCTCAACGTTATGCCGCCATGGTGCATCGGGCCCCGAACACATTAACCGTGATTGACAAGAAGAAGCATGGCAAGAAGCGGAGAGTCATCAGCCAGGGCTTCTCCGATTCCGCACTCAAAAACCATGAGGTTGTCATCCTGGAACAAATACAACATCTGTGTACTCAGCTGAAGGCAGGGGAGGGAGGTAAGCCGGTGCCGGCAGACACCTGGTCTACCCCCAAGAATATGGGCCGAATGAGTATGTGCTCCACATTATTACACCACAGATGTCAACTAAACTAACGCAAAACCATGGTTTTCCAGCCGATTACCTCGCCTTCGACGTCATGAGCAACATTATCTTTGATTGCCCCTGGTCAACCCTGCGCTTCCCCACCTTCCGCTTTGTCCCGGAAGTGATTGAGAGGTCCAACGTTCGAGTCGGGACACTGGCCCAGTCGCCCGAGCTCAGCATATTCCGACTGGACAAATACCTTTTCCCCGAAGCCATCAAGGCTAGGGACATGTTCATCGGGTTTGTCGATGTGATGCTCACCCAAGGCATCGAAGCCGCTTCCAAGACAGGCAAGGGTGTCTTTGCACTCCTCGCGAAGGCCAAAGACCCGGAGACTGGTCTTCCACTACGCAATCGAGAACTAGGTGGCGAGAGTGCGACGCTGATTGTCGCGGGGACTGATACCTCCTCCACCGCTATGGCGGCCTGCTTCTTCTACCTATCGCACAACAGGGCGGCCTATGAGCGCGCAGTGAATGAAGTTCGCAGCGTCTTCTCATCCCCCGAGGAAATCCGCATGGGTCAGCAAATGAGTCAATGCGTCTTCCTGCGGGCCTGCATTGACGAGAGCATGCGTATGTCCCCGTCGGCGGCGGGATCGCTGTGGCGCGAGGCAGAGGAAGCAGGAGCTACTGTGGACGGACAGTATATTCCCCCAGGTGTATATGTAGGAACCTGCATCTACAGCATTCACCATAACCCAGCATACTACCCTGAGCCGTTCTGCTTCCAGCCCGAGCGCTGGATCGCGGATGAGTGTCGCTCGGTGCAAGGGGATGTCGGACGCGCGCGATCGGCCTTCAATCCTTTTTCGATTGGGCCCCGAAGTTGCATAGGCAAGAGTCTCGCATATGTGGAGCTTCATCTTGTGTTGGCGAGGGTCCTTTGGGAGTTTGACATCCGCCTGCCGGAGGGGGATTTGGGGAAGACTGGTGAGGGAAAAGTAGGCGCTGAGTATGGCAGGCATCGTCTTGATGAGTACCAGCTCTATGACCATTTGACGGCTGCGAAGGTGGGGCCATATCTGGAGTTTTGCCCACGAAAATAGGTAGTGGAGGTATATTGCTGTGCTGGATATTTTGCATGGTATATTTGGTTGGGATTTGGCGTTTTTAGTACTAGCATGGGCTTTTATCATCAAAGAAAGTTATTTCTTTGTTTCATGTTCTTTCCTTTCCTATTACCTAAAGAGACTCTCTATCAAATGTCAGACTGTCTGTGGGATATAGAAAAACCGTAGTCGCCGACTACTTTGTCTGGATTTTGTGATGGTTCCGGAGTATCCTCCCAATCTCGTGTGGTCGCTTTCTCCACGCGGCCATTCGGCAGCGAAACTGCGATCCCTTGAAGATTCCGTGTGGGTGCGAAGGCATCAAAGGCAACTTTGTATCATGTGCATAACATATGAGTCATGATTTAGATTTGTGCGTTAGGATTGATAGAAGGCATTTTTGCGCGATCTTGACTGTCAAAATAGGTCAGGCAGATCTCTATAATTAGCCACCGACAAGAAAGACCATAATACTTTTGGGTCTATGAAGCGACGGCATGTTCCACCAGGTCTAGACAGATGTACCTCCTTTTAAAGAGGAGAATGACAGTTGAATGCCCCAGTTTGAGTTCTCCACACCAGTTATCTCCCAAAGCTTTCTTAATCTCAGCGAGAGTAAGATTCACGCAGTCCTTAGCTGTGCCCGCCTCCTCTGGATGAGCTGCTCTCCATCTTGTGACCATACTTGCAGTGCCTAAGCTAGCTCCTAATCCTTCCAGTGATGATTCTTTTGCACGAATGAAAAAGTCTTTTCCATCGGATAGTATCCCACCGCGGTCCCATTCAAGACGCCGATATTCACTCATTGGGAATGCTGTAACAGGAGGATCCAAATGCCACGGAAGAACCAAATTATCGTACAGATCACTAGAGAGCCGATTTGGAGGCAGTTCATAGGGTTTCAATATATCTCGTTCGAGATGGAAAAGTGCGTTTTGCACTTCAGCCGCGTGAGGTGTTGATGGGTCTGTAAGGTGAGCTTGTTAGCATGGACTGAAAAAGGAAGTCGAACAATACTTACGGCAGTACAACGAAGCGCATGTCCAGAGAGCTACAGTGCCTCCTGGATTCACAATCTTTGCAGCAGATTTCCAGAAATCCTCCATCGAAAACCAATGTGCCTTTAGTTTTGAAGAGATGTCGTTTCAGCTCTCTACACCAGTCCTCGGGCGGGATGATGGAGCAGGTTGGACTTACTGCCATTGCCGAAACCAATAAATCCACACCGTTATGAACGTTATCTATTTTAGCACAATCCTCCGCAGTCGAGACTTGGAACTCGATGGGGCTATTTGATTTGGTAACACCGCCTAGACGTTGCGCAGTTTGGATCATCTCGAGCCCAGGATCAATCCCCACCGCGCATTCAAAATGGGGAGCCAAGTCACGGGTTGCATTTCCTGGGCCACATCCAACATCCAGGAGAGTTTTGAAATTACCATTAGACTCTGCATGATATCGGAGAACCAAATCATATAGCTCAGCTGGATAACCCAGACGATTTTCAGCATACCGGGTTGCTTGACCAGTAGTGTAGTATCGGAATGTTGGGTCAGATAAACCCACACCACTGTTATTCATCTTCGACAAGTGCAGGTATAGGGAAAGGCAGGGTCAGAGAAATCAAGCGGAGCGTGGTAAATGACTCACTTGATTTAGTCAGTATATAATTATGAACTGCGGGGTAAAAGGATGACATTTGATGTGAGTCATTGATAAGTAGATAACTAATTGGTTAATGCACGGTGACGCTTAATTGCCACGGTTATGGTTTACCAAAACCGTTGAACTCACTCATCTAATGTATGATTAGCAATCCAGTCAGCAGAAAAGTAGATAACTAATTATTGAACACACTTCTAGTGATAGTCAGCTTCAATTAGCCTTTCCCGTCTCATAAGCCTCTAGGGAACCACATAATTCTGCACCGGGTATTGGTAGCCCCCTTATTTGATACTCTAGTGTAACAAGATAATAAGGAACCTGGATGCTCTTGGGATGAGCAGGCAATCAAGGCGGCGGGGATTGGGTTTGAGTGAACCAGAAGTAATAGGTTTGGAAGTTTAACAGTATTCTAGAAGGGCACAACACGTCCGCGGACTCATTATGAAGCATGCCGTTTCAGACTGTTTGTGGGATATAAAATACGTATTCAGTGACATGGAGCGGGACTTGTTATTGTCTAAAGGGCTTCAGTTACAGAGCGCTCGAAGGGTGATTTATGGAGAAGCTGAGAGAATATAAGGCCACGATTATGGGATCAGACAACAATGACCAATCAATAGAAAGACCAGCGCAGCCCCATCTTCATCTAGGATACACCAGCACTATGGTCAGCATAGCACTCGGTAGTTGCTTAGCTCTTAGATATGCGCTTGTGCGCGCCGAAACCTGTCCTTCTCAAACAACGCCTGGAATTTTGTTTTCTTTGGGCAGATAAAAGTCGCATAAGTGGGCCCACTTCTGGCTCTGCCCCAAGAATTTCAGGCCAGTCAGTGTGCTTGAACTGCCGGGGTAAGCAGGTGGACATTGTGAGCTATAGAGTTTTGAACAAGCTTCATGACTTCAAGATTGCACGAACGCTGCTTCCGAGCCTTGTTTGTTGGCCTTCCAGTACTTAACATCCCGTCTATGCCAATAAGCTTATCCATATACCATATTCCAGGAAGAAAAGCACTGACCGGGTGCACGAACCGTCTCAGCCCTAGCGGGGAGGCATCGCTTCCCACTTGATGTGTCGGGCCCCATGATCAGGCTACAATGTACGAAATGGTCTGCTTTTCTAAGTGGTCACTGGTCAGCACAAGTGAGACAATCCCCACCTCAAGCGGGATTATCCGCTCGATGAGAATTGTGGTTGCCTGCCACCTCATCGTTGTAACATACAACAGCCCAGGATAATATCAGAATAAGAAAGGAAAAGCGAGTCACCTCACCTACGGTGAAGCAATTCTATAAGCGCTAGTTTAGCCAAATCTTTTCTATTGCTTATTGCGGCATACTCTCTATGCTGAGATATGTAGAAAATAGCCGAAAATTGACCGAGTGACTAGACGTCACATAGCCTTGATATATTTAATCTTCACTGGGTCTTACCAGAAATTGAAGGGGGTATTGTATATCGATGTGAGGAAAGAATGAAGGGTGTATATAAATAATACGTTTGATTTATCACTTCAACATATACCTCGCTAATCAAATCAAAATTTTCTTAACAAAAGCCATTTTGTCTGGGAAGGGGTCAAGAATAAAGTAACTTCCCTGTATTCAACAATAAGGCATTTTCGTATGTAGAGATGAAATCAAACCATTAATTATATTGTTTCCACTGGAGAATTGCCAATATCGGAAGTTTTTGTATAGGTGGTTAACTATCCTGTCGGGAGCCGTAGACGCCCAATGGGTGCTGCCTACTGGGGAACAGGGAATTAGCTCCATCGGCCGATGAACTAGCCATAGATAATAACAGAGCATACACAATCGGTCCGGGCACAGGGTCTTATGACACGAGTTCGTCTTGGCTTGAAACCGGTGAGGGGTATAAAGCTGCCTAATCTCCTGTGGTCAATTTTTTCCTAGCCTCAGACTTCCCTCCATCTACGCCAGCCTGGTGTCAAGGACAGTGATAGAAACAAGATGGTATCCGAATTCTGGTCAGCACCCCAAAATATGTCTCGTGTGTCTATTTAAATACGACAGTGGCTAACGCCGCTAATCTTCAGTCCGAGCTATGGAGTGAGTTCTTCGTAATTGTAGCTGAAGCAACCAAAGATGGACATTAACCTGCCAAGCCATTCTTCGGAGTCCTAGGATGTACGAGCGCCATTGTATTCACGAGCTTTGGGGCAGCCTACGGGACTGCAAAGGCTGGGGTGGGCGTTTGTTCGTCCGGTGTCTTGCGGCCGGACTTGATCGTCAAAAGTACTGTTCCATATCCATAGTAGTACCCTGCGGCTAGCGATCAATGAGCTGACAAGTCAAAGACATTGTGCCCATTGTTATGGCCGGCATCCTGGGCATCTACGGCCTGGTGGTCTCCGTGTTGATTGCCAACAACCTCGCGCAGGAGATGACTCTGTATACGAGTCTGCTCCAGCTGGGCGCCGGCCTGGCGGTTGGGCTTTGCGGGCTGGCTGCTGGGTGAGTGAAGCTTATCTTAGAATGTCTGTCGGAATTAGCTGTTGGCAACTGGCTGATTGATTTCAGGTTCGCGATTGGGATTGTCGGCGATGCAGGAGTGCGAGGAACCGCGCAGCAGTCGAGACTTTATGTGGGAATGATCCTTATTTTGATCTTTGCTGAGGTCTTGGGTATGTAGCTTGAACGACCATTTGTCCGAGAAACGGGGTAAATGCTAACATAGCTGGTATGGTAGGATTGTACGGCTTGATCGTCGCGCTTCTAATGAATTCCAGGGCAAGCGTTATTGACTTTAAATGCAGTAGCTGATTGAACAATTTTCAGTGCAGCATATTGGGTCTGCGAGAGTTTTCTTGTACCCCGGCATGTTCATGCTGCAGCAGATCAAAGTCCCAGGTATTTCAGTCTACGGTAGTCGGCATCGCTCCAGTCCAGCGTGGTCTCCGTGTAGAAGAGGTTCGGGTGGTTTCTCGTGATGGAGGAAGAATAAATTGGATCTTGTACAAGCTGGATGCACCCATAATGACAGATCTAGAATTGGTCGTGCATGAGATTTTGACCGGATGTGGCCATCACGTGCCATTGTATGCATCCAGTAAGGCTTGGGTCTATACGATGTTTTTCATTCCTTCAGCGCCGCCAAGAATGTGGGCAGTTAACGGCTCCTTCAAGCGATGATCTACAATATTTCGACTACTGGCCTGTAAGATCACTTGTAAAGAAGACCCAATTACGGGTTTCATTGCTCATAAACTCATATAAATATATCATAAGAACCACCGGAACCCAACAGCCCCCGGCCCATCGCGCAACCTTTCAGTTGGGACATCCTGCGCCCGCATCCTGACTCCCTCTTTACGATCCCTCCTTCGATTATCCAAAAGCATATAGACGCCCAATAGCGAGGCCAGAATAGCACCCGTACCTCCGAATGCACCCACCGTTACGAGGGCAGGCAGGTACTTTGGCTTATCCTTCTCCCGGAAGACATTGCTCGACACCAGGCCCATCAAGTTCGCCAACGGCACGCCGATACTCGTCAGCAGCACACGCTTGTTCTCGTCTGCAATGTTGTTGTTGTACCAGGTGGAGAGCAGCACGGACGGTGCGGAGGTCCCCCAGGTCATCATGAAGGTGGCAAAGTACGCTAAGTGGATCTGGCGATCGACGTCATCGATAGCGGCATAGATCATGAAGCCCGTGAAGGTGAGGAGGAAGCCTAGGACGATGAATGGGGCACGAAGGCGGACGGCATCGGATGCGAAGGCGAGAATAATGAGCATGGCTGCTCCGGTGACGTTAGGGGCCACTGTGTAGAGGTTTGTTTTGACGGTGGAGAAGCCCAGACGTTGGATGATCTGGGGCATGAAGAGGGAGACGCCCTGCAGGGGCACACCGAGACAGATTTCAATGGCGAGGAAGGCATATGTGGAGGGGTGGGAAAAGATACCGAGAGCGGAGCGGAGGCGGAACGGCTCGTCGACGATGGCGGAACTGTCGACTTGGATGCGGTGGTGGGCGAGGAGCTTCTCGTCTTCGCTGAGGAAGGACGCTGTCGAAGCAGACCGCGGGAGGTACCAGAACGCGAAGCAGGAGAAGAGGACGGTGACACCACCTTCAAGGATGAACAGGTACCGCCAGTCCGGGAGCGAGGAGTCTTTGATTTGGAAGACACCAAAGGCGAGTAGGCCGGAGAAGGCATTGGCAATGTTGCTGGCTGCGTAGAAGATGGCAAGCCGACGGGCGAGCTCGGCACGCCGGTAGAAGGTTGTGAGGTAGTAGATGACTAGTGGGAAGAAGGCCGCTTCGGACGTGCCGAGGAACCAGCGCAGAGCGAACATGCCACCGAAATTCTTGGTCGCGGACGACAGCAGCGTGAAGGAACCAAAGGAGAACATAAGGACGGGGAGTACGCGGGCGGGACTCCAACGTTTGCCGAGCATAGCGAAGGGAGGCGCGAAGATGACATATGGGACGTAAAAGATGGAGAGGAGAAGGTTGTATTGCCCGGGTTTGAAATTGAGATCTGGTGATGTTAGCAATGGACGATACACAGAGAGAGAGGGATAGGTTACCGTCGCTCATGCCGGCAGTTTCAGCATTACTGAGGTTGCCTTTGTCCAGGGCATTGAAGAGATCTATAACTATTAGCAGGTGGTGAGATGGATGGGATGGACAACACGCACACATTAATGCGAGCACCGGAAGTATACGAAAGTCGAAGCGACGACAGAGAGCCCGTTCGGCCTTGTGGTCAATGACCTGGACGACATCCTCGACGACCCCCGGGACAGAGCCGTAGCGGTTGGTGTGGGAAGCATCGTCGGTGATCGAGTCGCGTGTAACCGGCTTTGGGGCTTTCGGGGGCGGATCCGAGGCTTGGGCGATCATGGTTCCTCCCGACGGCAGATGTATGTTAGAGCTAGGAGGATAGGAAGGGGAGGGTGGAGGGAGGGGTGTTTTCAAGAGGTGACGACGCAAGGAGGGAAGGGAGAAAGACGGTCTGCTTTATGCATAAACGAGAATGGACAGGAACAGGCTTATCAGCCGGCCGTGAGGAGGATAACTGGGACCCCCCACGGCTTCTCCGCAGATCTGGCGATGCGACGACGGATGCGGCAAGGTTGCATCGCGGTTGCTCTTATCAGCCGAAGAGATAGCGATCGCGATATCGGCTGCGATGCCAGCTATCAGCACCCCTGTCACTGGCTCGAGATAGCTCAGATTAAGGGTCTTGGCTGCGTGTCACCGCTCCCTTCCTGCAAGATAGACCTATGTAAGTAGTCTGAATAATAGTTGAAATCATCAACTGCAGGGTCTTGAAGGGGGGTTGAAGATGAGGAACAAATTGAGTTTTGCTCTTCACTAGGGTTACACTGACCCTCATGTGAACTTCCCCGCATTCAAGCTTCTCCATGACGCGGACCGACTCGCTGGTCCCTTGGATACGAGTGGCAGCCCTTCAACATTTGCCGAGGTGCAGACTTCCCGTGACGCACGGTGACTCTTTATGCTGTCAGTGCGCTGGCCTGGTGTCAAAATCAATAACACGGAACATTTCCACCCTGTCTGTTGACACTCGACAACTAACAATCTTTCTTACCTTACTACTTGCTCCCGGGACAAGTGCAACGTCATAGGTAGGGGCCATAAGGACATCCCCTTGGTGCACCCCATGACCAGGGTTTAATCGCAGAAGGCCATTTATTTATACGGCACGAATACATGCCGTACATTGAGCGTGCTGTCCTCCGGTATGTCGAGAGCAACAGAGCTTATTCAAGAGCGGGTATCCGGAAGACAGAAATACTGGGGCTAAGGAACCCGATATAGCTCAAGGTAACCCATTTTCTGCTAGGCTTTTTGACCAGAACTGCACATCAGTCCTCGTCCAGGGCCTTGACTGGATTGCGGCCATCATCAGAAATCCTTTTCCGGTCGCTTCATCTCCAGTCGCGATCAATCAAGGGGGCACAAATTGCGAGTGCGTGGTAGCCTGTCCAGAGCTGAGAGCCCGACGAGCAGACGCTCCTCTGTTTATGAAATGCAAAAAAGCGCCCTCTTTATCTGCGGGTGGTCCATGAAGATAAAATTAAATGCAGCCATCTCTGACCAATTATCTCAAGTAGATGGATGCATGAATGAAATGTTGTCCATACATACACCTAGAGTTGCGATCGGCGGCATTGCACCCATTTGCGGATCTCTAGTCTAGCTGGTTTCCGCACCTTTTAGTCTTGGCCATCCAACTCCCTCAGATGGCCAAACTCTCGAGTGGGCAAATTCATTCTATTAGCTGTAGCGCTACATAATATCCGAATGATAGCTATACGGCGGTCCAGACAAGACACGAACAATTTTTTGGCTTGCTATCCAACCGTCGCTGGGACACTTTTCGAGGGCCCATGTCTATATCACGTTTGCAACATTCACATTCATGACGCTATCTTTATGCGCGCACACGGCAGAGACGCAAACTGAACACTTGTGGTAGGTTGCGCTATCGTCGCTTCAGGTTCATACACAGCTATTGCGGTTATCTTAGCCTACCATTTGTTGTTATGGTCAGAGCGACTAATCATTACAATTACTTATTGCAACTATTGCCAGTCGAATGCTGGATTAGAGCAGCACATTTCAAAGATTGCAATGGGAATCTCCAATATCCACCAGCCTTAGGTTAACTTTGCTGAAGTCACTTTTGGTTGGCGTGACCCGATAAACGGCTCTAGGGCTTCAAATTTTTACACATATATTATTTCTGACCCCGGTGCACTGCAAGGAAATTCCCATCCGGATGAGCCCCGAGATTCTGACTGTGTTCAAACCGTTTCAGAATCCTAATGTCCCCTTCCTGATAAGCGAGCATTAGTCGCTCTACGTCCACATTAAATTGAAGATGAGATAAGTAATCGGATGAGTGCTTATTGTACCGTTACTTTGCTTCCCGTATCACCCCTAGAAGGCATCTTCTTGAAGATCCCTGGGATCTATTTGCCACCAAGAATAGGCAACGGCCAGCGTTTAGTCACCCATTGATATTGGCAAGCCGCATGACCAACGCTATTCTTGCGGGCCAATATCATCGGAAAATGACGACCAGAAAGTTGCGTTTCATCATTATCGAGATCCTAGGCTGTTAGGTAGTTGACACCATTGGCGGAAAGCTATCCTACCATTGATATGGGCTGATAAGGCGCCTCGAACTGTTGAAGTTGCGGTCACTTGGAATGTCCCCGAGGCGACCTGTTTGTGGTGGTTTATGTAAGGCCGTCGGGCAGCGGAGCAACGGAGACTTACCCGGAGACTTTTGCCCTGGTACTATAGACCATGTTATTACTCCGAGTATGAACTGACAAGTCGACGTCTGAACAGCATCAACTGAAACTGCATTTTGGTTTTGGACAGGGTATGTTAACAGTGACCTCTTTAGGTCACTCTCTTCGCATTTCAAAAATGTACTTCTTCGTTTCACTGCAAACCTCTTCGCCCATCACTACCGTCAAATAACAGTCAACGCTATTCACAATGAGTACCTCGTCTCCAGGAGCGCAGGGAACTGCGTCACATCATTCCGAGAATCTATCGAGGAATGGTAATGGTAAGTAGCCGTCGAAAAATATCCTCCGAAAGCTAAAGGCATTCTGAATGCGTTGACTAAACTCAGACAGATTCAGGTGTAGTTTTTGAACAGACTGCGCAAGATGAATACGTCTACGTTGCGGATGGTTACAACTTGATTCGGCGCATCATCTTCATTATGACGGTGTGCTCTTCCATGTTCACCAATCAGTTGGGCTTATGCAACAGCCTCTCAACGCTCGAGATAATCGGAGACTCATTCGGTGTCACTGCGCCTGGTCAACTGTCGTGGACAGTATCTGGCTACGGCTTGACTCTGGGCACATTCGTCTTGATCGGAGGACGGTTGGGGGACGAGTTTGGCAACAAGGCAATCTTCATCATCGGTATGGGCTGGCTTGCTTTAACTAGCATGATGGCAGGAGTCTCTGTCTATTCCAGCTGGCCCGTCTTCGTCCTTGCTCGTGTCTTGCAAGGCCTTGGTCCCGCCTTGACTGTGCCTAATGCACTCGCCATCTTCGGCAAATCCTTCTCCCAGGGCCCTCGAAACATGGGGTTCGCATGGTTTGCTGCATCAGCCCCAGTCGGTGCAATGGCGGGTCTCCTCTTTGGGGCCCTCTTCGCCATGGCGTGGTGGCCATGGATCTACTGGAGTCAGGCTTTAGGAGTTGCCTTTCTCTTCGTCCTCGCTATGTTTGCAATTCCAAACATGCCTATTGAGGATGAGCATAAACAGCGACGAACGATTCGCGAAACCTTGGACCGCCTTGATATCCCGGGAGGTGCCAGCGGTGTGACAGCTCTGGTCCTGTTCAACTTCGCCTGGAATCAGAGCCTGGTTACTACGTGGGACGAACCTTACGTGTACGTGTGCCTGATCTTAAGTTTTGTATTTCTGGCGGCATTCCTTTACATCGAGATTCGCCTAGCTCGCTATCCAATCCTACCGGTCGCCGTTCTCACTTCCGACATCGCCTTCGTCTTTGGTTGTACAGCAGCGGGCTGGTCCACGTTTGGTATCTGGGTAAGTACTGACCCTTGCCCCGATTATATGTCAACCTAACGACATATCTAGCTTTTCTACGTCATCCGAATATGCCTTAACATCGGTGGCCAAACTCCTATTCAACTGGCTGCATGGTTATCTCCTATCCTCGTCACCGGCATATCAACAGCATTAATTGTTGGCAAAATAATCACCAAGGTTCCAGCCCCGTTCATCATGTTGTTTGCAATGCTTTGCTACTTCCTCACTTCCCTTCTCATGGCCCTGCGACCCGTACACTCGATTTACTGGACCTACTTCTTTTTTGCCACCATCATCGCCACCTTCGCGATGGATTCATCATTGCCTGCGGCCACGATCATCTTCTCGAACGCAGTGCCTCGTCAGTATCAGGGTATGGGATCCAGTGTGATCATGACCATCGTTGTCTACAGTATCTCGCTAGGTCTTGGTTTCGCGGGTACCATTGAGCTTCAGATAAATGATGGTGGACACACGAAGGCAGAGTTGCTTCATGGTTACAGGGGTACGCTCTGGTTTTCCGTCGGGCTGACGGCATTCGGCACTGTTCTCGCCCTTGTCTTCCTTCTCAAAGACCATCGCAGACGACGGTTAGCTAAGAATCAAGGGGAAGAGGAGAAGACTGATTCAACGGAGGCTTGAATGGTTGAAGGATTGATCAGAAGCTCAGAAGACAGAAGTAGGATGACTAGATGAGAGCCGAGGCCAGTTTGAGAGATTGATTGCAAGTGGATTATACAATGTGGCTATAGATTGGCAGTACTGGATTATGCATAGACTCCCACCCCTCCCAGTCGCCAAGTGACAAACAGTTCCAGGGCCTGGTCAGAACGGCTAATAATTACTAGGAAGCCTGGCTTATATTAATACTATTACCTAGTATATTTGATTTTCGCCTGTTCTAGCATTAGGAGGTCTTTGGGTACTAACTTTTGGGCAAAATTTATCTTCCCAATCAGCTATCAACAAAGAACATTCTCCTTCACAGATAATAGTATGTTAATGTGAATACTCTGGCTATTCTGTTGGATATCTTTAATGTGCAACCGTTTATTCTGATTGTTTCTTACTTATACCAATATATATTCATGTACAATTATATCCCTCTGCACACTGAGATGACGATAAGTCATTAAGGTTGAGTGATTTATCCTTCATCAATATTAGTTCCCATCCAGACCAGCCACTCATGTAGTACTATTTGAAAGACATCTTTTTCAAATTGGAACTTCTTTACTGGTAAATTTTGTGGGAGCTATATAAGCTATAAATAGTACCATAGCTATTTTTCTAGGTATATTAAAGCGCGCTGAGTATAGTAAAATAAGAATACTAATTTTCAAGATATTATAACAGTATTGATTCTTATCAGGAAATTCCACAAAGGTTCTGTGATATATATTTCAATTTCACATTAATCCGCTTATTAAATTATCATTGATAACTAATTCAGAAGCCAAGGTCTATTAGTCTGATGACAAGTCTGTTGTATAGTGCGAAATGGGTGGCCGGTCCAACTTGGAACTACGTTGGATTGTGCAAAGCCTCCCGACCCCGGTCCCTCCTGGGAATGCTCTGCGCAAGGTAATTACAGGATATTCTGTCGTATACTCATATTTGTATATGTTATAAGATCGCATTATTGCCACTATCATCATGGCAGCTATTCTTTCTCAAAATCGTTTAAAGCACATGACTGAGATCGCCCTTCAGACGCTTCTGAAGCCTCATATTCTACTCCAGACCCGTACCTGGCCACCAAATCTCGGATGTCGTTGAGCATTTTAAAATAGTGATCAGTTAAAGGCTGAGCGCGAAGATGCAGGATAGATTTCATACTGCTCTCTTAGTGATGCATTATCTGCAAACAGGGCGGATACGTGGGTATTGAACCGTCTACTACTCATCAGCGTTTTCTGTATCATCTCGTCACTCAGTCAGGCTCTTACAACTTGTAAAGATCCAAACGCCCGTCGTAATCCTCCTCCGGCGGCGAAACCTGAGCATAGGAGCGATAGGCCTCCAGGTATTCGTCACCGAATCGGTTACAAATCGGCCGCCATTGTCCAAACTCGTCTTCATTGGTGTCCCATCGGTCAGTTTGATTGCCTTCACCATAAAAACCTGCCAACTCACATTCGTTGTGGGCGTAGAAGCAGCATGCATCAAACACAAGCGACTCTCCTGTCTCCGTGTCGATGCCCGAATTGGCATACCACAGATCACCATGGATCAGCGAAGGCTTCACTGATCGTCCTTCGCTCTCAAGTGGCCGGAGGAGGCGCGGTATGACCCTGTCAAACAACGCTGGAACTAAGAAATCCAATTCTGGATCCCAGCCTTTGACTGCAATCTCAAGATCAAGAGCGTGTCTCATGCTCTTAGCAAAGAAAATCTCCCAACTATCCTCCCAGTCAGTCATTTGCGGCAAGTTGCCATTGTGGGTGGTCACATGAAAGCCGAATTTCCCCGTCGGAGATGCGCTGTTGTTATGGAGAGCAGCCAACCGAGCAGCGAATTTATCCGGGTCAGGCATGTCAGCAGCCATATCACGATATTCGCAGAGGAAGAAGTGTGTATCTGGGCAATCCTGGTAGGACCCCCACGCGATCGGCTTTGGGGCAAAGTTCGGAGCAACGTTGTATATGGCTTTCATAGACTCATACTCCCCGTAAACCATGTTCTTGCCCCTTTCCTTCGTCACGGCCTTGATGAAGAATGAAACGGGTGTCCCATCAGCCAATTCAACGTTTATCCGGCCAGTAGTGCCCCAGAAGCTTATGCCACGCTCCTCGGTGGATATGACACGGCTGCCCTTGGGTAGTTCTGGGCGCTATTTGTCAGTGGTAGCCTTGCCCACGGAGGCATCGCGGCTTACCTGCGAGCACACTCGGGTCGATGGAATCCTCTCTGCTGAAGTCTACAGCTGGACTACCGCTGTCGTTCATATTGACTGATCTAGCAGTTTTTTGATATGTAATTGGGAACCCTGGCTCACCAATATCATGTGCTGCAGGATTGTTGCAATAAATATGGAGGGCAGCAAACGACGAACTTCCCAGGTGAGCTCAAGTTACAGTAGGTGTCTCGCATGAAGTCTGCAAGGCTATATTTGTTTATATACACACTGTTCGGTCTTCAAGAGCAAGGCTGAGCTCGACAAGAAGGGACATTTCGATACGCCATCCCACGGGGCGTCTAACAGCGGCCATCGTGGCAGGTCAGTGCTAAGCGCCGTCGAAGTGGAGTAGCACATTTTAGTGCACCTACAGCGTTGGACAGGGCTTCGGAGGTGGTTGGTGCGTGTGGTAAGCGCCCACTTCTCTTGGTGACCTAAGATATCGCGTAGTTGGCTCGAGAGGTGCGGTGACCATCTAATTGGGTCACATAAGCTGGGATGTTGGGAGGGGTATGATGTCTTCTCCCATCCCATCTTGACTTTCCCCTCAAGGACGCCTATCATCCATCCCGCCAAGAATTGGTTAAGGGCGGTAAAAAATAAGGGGATTTTTCACATCTATAGAATTGCTCATTCAAGATGTCATAGCAGTAGATTCAAGCACGGCGAGGCCTTAGTGTGCTGGCTTGAACCATCACAAGTTCATGTGTGTGCTGCCAATCGGACCAATCACTATCTTAGTGCCCGGCTTTCTACAGCTTTTAATAGCAGCCATTGGGTAAAAATAGAGTGACTATACCGACTGTTAACTGGTAGTCAGTTTAGGGTAAGCAAATTCTGTTATCTGTACAGTTAGGATTCAATTGAAAATATAAAACTATTTCAATAATTTTCAGCACTTTTTCATTGTAAGTTAAGAAAATTAGATATAGCAGATAAATTGGTAACTATAAACTACTCATAATTTCAGAGATCTTTTAGTATGATAATTTACTAGTAGTAATATAATTAGAATCTAAATTATGTTTCATGTTATTCAAGTCAGTGTTTATAATTGCCCAGTGTAAATCAGACCTAATTCCTTCGTGCTGGCCTTCGTACGGTCCCTGGGGTCATGCAATCAATCAATGGCTCCAACTTCACCTGGAGACTTGTCTACTAGAACTGGGGATGAACAAGCCTTTATTGTTATTGCTCCCGGCAATGATCTGCTGTACACTATCAACCCAAGCACCAACACAGTCTGACTTATTGGATACCAGGTCACATACGTTCTGGACATTCGTTGGTTGCGGGGTATTTACATTAGTATATTCAAACTGGCAGTGAAGTTATAGATACTGCGCGATCCGTAATTCTCGCACATTGAAACTGTTGTTTGGAGGAACGCATGAACCAGTGATCAGTGGCGCAGTCCTCTACAAGGAATCCGTGAATACATCCCATCTGGCTGTGTGGCCGTGTCACCACCAACCGGCATATTGGCTTGAGGTAAATTCGCCCGAGCCGGTTACGACAGGTGCCAATTCTCTTTCTTACGCCACGAGACTATCCAATGAGTAACAATGGTCAGTTTGTTACCTCAAGTAACTAAACTAACCAGTTAGTGTAATTCACAATCAAGTCAGCCACACGAGCGGGTCGGCATATTCAGAAAAAGCATATCTCAGTAAGATTGTAAAGTTGCAATACCTTATGTAGATTGTAAGGATATAAGATAAGGTGCTGATAAAGTTTTCATATTTTTATGTAACGCAAATTTAGAGATAGCATAAAACACTTACATGATTAAAGTAGTTTAAGATACCACCAATGTGATTAATCGTCAGTAAAGTGGTAGAAGACTCTGATACTAATATATATCAGCTTTGTAGTAGTTATGAATTTACGAATGACTCACTGAAGTAGTTTGAGGGATATATTGGATCAATGAAGACACCTTTCATACGAGAATTCAGGGTGGCCGACCTGCCCGTGTGGCCAGCTCGAATGTGTGCGGTAGTTAGCCGACTTATTTTGAGGGGGACCTAGAATCCAGAGTCTCTCTTTGTATTCTTCAGTCACAGGCGGCTAGCTCACTTTTCCCAAGGTCCTCTCGGAGCTTGTCTGGTGGGTCAAGCTTGGAGTAACACCTTTACCGCCGGTTTTTTTAGCTCACACTAACGGATCTATGGCATTCGAACCCGCGTCGCTCAACTGCCATGTACGCGTCATAGGTTCGCTTGCACTCAAAACCTGCGCCAATAGCTGCAGACCAAATCGATGATATACCTGACAGCATGCCTAACCGCGCTCGTAACAACTGGAGACAGGGGAAGAGGTAAGTTCAAGATAGTAGTGACTATACCTTACTGACCTTCCCATGGGGTAGGGATCCAGGCTGTTACGCCAGGTGGTATAGTGTCCGCCAATTGAGTGAGGAATGGCAAAGGGGACCAAGTTATTCAACCATCCCCTATAATAGTGAGGAATTGATAGGCTTATACAACGATGAATCGGGTTCGGCGTATCTACCAAGGTCCACGGATTTGGCGCATCTGATGCTATGGAATGGGATAGTTTCTTTCTGGGCCAAGCCGTTGGGGTAAGAAGTTTTCGGGCGGTATACCAAGTTCAACGTCGCCGTGTACGGCAAAACAGTTACGGAGGGGCATAGCCCGGTATCATTTTAAGGGATGAGCAAATCCCGGTCGACTAGTAACATCGCATTCTGGCTCGGTGCTTAGACAGATCCAAGTAATCCAGGACTCTGTTCTGACACTCCGACTATCGGCCATTCAAGATTACGCCGATGACCTCGACCTAGGTTCAAGTACAAGTCGAAGGAACCTCCTTTACTTTGTTCTCATAGCAAGGCATCTGCAAGTTCCTTCTCATATCTATTAACATTTCTCCTCTTATGGAAGGGTGACAACATCTCTGGGGTCACGTTCTCACCCATATCGATGGAAGCCGAATACACGCCTCGCAAAGGTCATTCGAGTTCTTAACTTCCACCTCCATTGCTGTTTGAAATGTTATATCCAATAAGATAAATTTTGACGTCTCATCCGTCATGTGATAAGAATACACTAAGGATGCATGCGCATGCTTTGAGCGCTTTTCCACTGAGTGACGACGTAATTGCGATTGTATAATATGCGACGTCCTTTGTCACTTTGAGCTTGGATAAATAAAACCCCTATATTCAAACGTTTCAGAAACATTAAGGATGGACACAGCCGGAAGAGGCCAAGCGATCACTTTAGGGATAAATAATTACGTCATACAATTCTGGATTCACAAGGCTACTTGTAGGAATATCGATCCATGTGATAATTAGATCAAAATTAGTTGCCAAAGGAGCAGGGAAAATCAATCAATTCGTGAAAATCTCATTAGAGATGATTCATCTATCTTAATGAATTTGCGCTTATTGCTTGGAACTCGAAAGAAGAGCGGAAATAGACACTATATGATGCTGTACATAGCTTCCAATCACTTTGGGAATGTAGCTGGGGAACCAGCATTGATCTGCTGCAGGATTCCCCACGACTGCTCTCCATCAGTGTCATACGGAACGGTACTTCCGAGTCCCGTAGTATTAAAAGATGTGTACACCAATGGGACTTTATCAAATGACGCAGAGGCTTCTATTACCTCTAAGTCAATACCAAATCCATCAATGAAACGCACGTTTCCCACCGCAGCCATAGCTACTGGAGCTTGTGAGTTGACAGCGTAAGTTCGGGTAGCTGCCACGTTGACATCAAGGGACTCCCAATATGCTGCTTCGGAGTTCCCACTGTCCGGCATGTCTAACCATAATTAGTCCCGGGTAATTTTAGAATCGGGTTGAAAACTAACATGGGAATGAGGCGATATGCAAATTCTCAACTTGCGACTGAACATTATATGTCATAGCAGGATGGAAATGCTCCCAGCATTCTAGCAACCCCCAACGACCGTAAGGGGTTGCGACCACCTTCAGTTCCTCAATGGTGCCGTCAGACCAGATCTCTCGCTCCCCACCAGATGGCCTAAGCTTATGACGAAGTAGAATTGTCTCACCAGCAGGAGAAATCAACGCCTGTGCCATGTAGATGTAATCACCCTGACGGTGAGAGAACGCGGGAACAACGTAGATATGGTTCTCTTTCGCAGCTAAAAGAAGCTTATTCCACTGTGAACTTCCTTCAACTAGAGAGTTATCGTAGTAGTTTTTGAGGTGGTTAGCGATTGAGACATTATCTGCAATTCCTTTAGGGTATCTAAGATTGGCATCATGCACATCAATATATTTATCCCCTTTATTATCACTCAAAGGGAAGTACTTACCCAGGAAACCATAGCTCAGGAAAAACAATAAGATTGGCACCATTGTCAGCGGCCTGCTTGATCAAACCAACGCCTTTCTCGACGGAGCCGTCCAAGTCGAATTCAACATCCGTCCAATTCTTGTTCATCAAGGGCAGGGGCCAATTGACGGGAGGTGCTCGAACTAAAGCGACAGTCAAGTTGTTGTAATCAGGACTCGGCCAACGAGGGGCAAGGCTGTTAGCCGCCCCGGAGAAAAGGAAAATGATCCCAATGAAAAGGTCTGATATACGATGAGTCTTCATGATTGTTGTAGATAAAACGACAAAATGCACGGGGTAGAATAATGATCTGGTAGGCAGATGATATAGACTAGAGCGACGCTTTTTTTGGATTCAGCCCTTATCTTCGCACGGTTTGCCGAAACGCTGATTCGATCGGGATTTACCCTATATTCGGGATTTGGAAACACCACTTGCAGCTTTGGCGCATTTAACTTATCGGTGTTAATTCCTAACGGCTTTGCTATCTGTTTTTATGTAAACTTGACCTATCAGTCATATAATAAGCTCTATAATTGGGTTTCGGGCCTGATAAAGGACTTTTGTTGTCTGAAATTTCCCGGAGATGAGCACACACGAAAACTCGACCTTCCCGAATTCCCCTAATGCGAAAGTAAAGTGGTCGGTAAGAGAGTGACGCGTTTCCCCCTTTTTTGTCTCTCAAGCATATTAAGGCCGAGTTGTGGGGAGCCTAGATTGATGAAAATGATACTCTGAACTGGTGTTTAGAACGGTGTTGCTAGGGCAAGCTGCCTAGATCAAGTATCCGGGAATAGGTGGGCAATAATTGGCCTTTTCCGGATAGTGCCGAGCCCCATAGCCAAGAATATGATTCTCAACTTCGTATGTGTGAAAGATTTGGATAGGTAGCAGTTTGATATTCCAGGGATCCCTACATAGGAGAATCAGTACTGAAAGGCCGGCATTTCAACGATCCACAAACTAGCCACTGGAGGCACCTTCCCCTGGGAGCGCGCTATTGTAAATGGCGTTACCTGTCTCTGTTAACCATCTGGCAATGCGCTAGAGTTTCCTGTTTGTACTTTATCAACACCCTCCCATTCTGATCCTCGGGATTAATATGTTGTTCGGCAACCATGATGAAACAGCAGTGTTCTGCATGAGTGATGCCTGGATCTCCGGGGCAGTCTCCGAGCAACTCCATAGGATATCCGGCTGCGGGAGTATTTTCTCTGTGAGCAGATGACTGATTTACCATACTGGACCCGCTTAGAGTGCTTGTTGATATGCACCTTGATGCTGCATTGGGGCCTGGGAGCGCTACTTTCGGCCCGAGTCTGGATGAGCCCAAACTAACATTTCCCCAGGCTATACTTTTGATCCATGATCTAGACACTATCTTGCATTTAAATAAGTGCGAAAGTCCTTTGTGGGCCTGTGAGCCCAGGCCCCCTGCAAACAAAGCTACCTACTCGCTTGTATAACTTGGTGCCATCAGCATTGGTTGTGTCGACTTCAACGACCGCTATCCCAATTCCGTGCGGAAGATTATACGGCTCTTCATCGTTAATGTATAGAAGCCAAGCTTTTCTGACATCTTGTGGCCTAGGACTGTCGTCAAAATAAACCTCCACTTCCCCCCTTGACGCTATACAGGAAACATCTTCTGATTCAGGGCCCTCAATGTCCACCAGCTCAGCAATACACTTCACAGTTAACTGTGCCGATTTGATCGCGCCGTTTGGCAGGTCCTTGTGAATGGGAATCACCTCACACGAAACGACCTCAAAAGAATCTTCTCCTTCGAAAAAGAGCATGTCCCCCAAACTTTCGTAATAGACGGGATGGGCACGAGACGCCCAGGACCATGACGGGGCAACGTACGACTCGCAGGCTGACCGTGGAAAATAGTTTCTATGACATTTCCATATGAGGTCCTTCGCCAAGGTCTTGGACCAAATACCGGCCCAATACTTACCCGGCATGAACAGGGACTCCCACTCTGACACAATGCCCATGAGGGCGGGCATCTTGTCCTCCTGGTATGTCAATGATCTCCGAGAATATTGTTCAACAACCTTGACCCATTCTTCAGCTTTGGCCGATTGAATAAAATATTCTCTAGAGTATCTGTGTTCGGACTTTGCCCTTTCTACTACTTGCTCCAGCTCCCCAAGGTTCACCAAAGTTTTGGGGTGCGTTGTGATCCGACCACCGTCCGATTGGACGGTATGCGTGGAGCATCGCAATGCAGGCTTCTGACCATGAGCAGAAAATACGACAAGGCGTGGACTAAGAAGCGCCTCTTGGAAGGTCCAGCCTCGTTTCAGAATTGGACTGTCAAAAATGTCATCGTTGGAGAAATCACTCCGTATTTCTAGGGAACCAGTCACTAATTGGCTTATGTCGTCGCGTATATCTGCGTGCCATGTGCGTATTGACTTGTCGTCGCTGTAGTTTGGATAGGCCTGTCGCAAGAAGCCTTCCGTCGCACTTTTGGCCGACATGACACATATTGTAAGGATGGCTCCCGAGTAAATAGAAGCCATCTTACCTAGCTCGACAATCTTGTCTGGCTCGCAGTCTTGCACAATACACAGAGCATCCACCCATAAGTACTGGTAGCCCATCGCAAGACTGACACGGATGGCGTCCAGAATTGTTTCAGAAATCTCTGTTGTATCAATTCCGGCTAAGTATGAGTCCAAACGGCTGGTTGTCGTCATGTTTGGCTGTATTCCGCCCCAGCAGTAGCTAAGGCAGACGTAGCGAATTGGCACGACCTTAATTTCCGATGTCTTGATGAGGCGTACTGCCGGTGACACTGATGTTCCAGAAAGTTCAAGCAGCAAGGAAGGAGAGCCTAATCCCTCCCGTGGCTTGCAATTAGAGTGGTTAGCCGTACAATCGTCAATCAGAGCGCGGAGGGCCCCGCAATCTCGAACTAGTTGCCGAGGTAGTGAGCTGTCATGTTGGAGAAGATCGTTATTTGCTGGACAGATATCGACGTTCTGTTCTGCTACCCGCGCGTTATTGAAGGTCGAACCAGACAATGCGACTTTGTTAGGGCTAACTGTCTTATAGACTCTAAAGTAACCAGTGCGGTTCGTAATCTCGTCATCGTGCGCAGCAACAGTCACTGTGGACCACTTCCAGGGATCGTTGACGGTAATTGTGAACTCGAAATCATCGCGTAGTCCACCTCGTAAATTTCTAAGAAGCATACAGAAGATACACCACCGGGCCGCATTCTGCAATAGCAATTCATTGTTTCGACGAAAGGACCGCTGGAACCCGGCAAGCGCATTCCGATTACCGAAGTATGCCACTGGGTCAATCATCACACTAAAAGGACTCTGATCCATGTACATCGAATCCCTATCGCGACCAATCACGGCCAGAAGATGTTTGTCAAAGACCGTTGTCTGACACCAATCACATAACACGGGGCTTGACATCTCCAAGATTGCAGCACGATATAATCTGTTGAAACGACGTTTTAGGTCAATACTGAAGTCGTTGAAAACGCTTGATTCTTCGCTATCTAGGCGCGCTCGGAGGAGCAGTTGAAGTTACGGAGTTCGGGTCACGTGACCTCGACTACTAGTAATCTACTGAGATTACGTTCCAACACGGCCCCCTAGGCGAGGGAGCGTTCGTAACGAGGCTCTAGGCATTGCCTAGATAGGAAGGAACGGCTATCTCAACCGGTGTTCCCTGGATGCAGGTTCGGGGAGGAGATGGGGGTCATTCCGAGGAGGTGCCTGAACGCTTTGAACGATTCGTTATCAAGCGGCTTGGTGAGGCCGTCCGCCGGGTTGGTGGTCCCTGGGATGTGTTGAATGGTGATAGCGTTCTTCGTGATCAGATCGGCTACGAATAGGTAACGATTATCGAGCCATCTAGTGGACCTGGTGTAGCCTCCGTGGTTCAGGATCCGTAGGGAGTTGGCGGCGTCGGTGTACAAGGGTATCCTGCCGTCAACGGAGGCCTTGAGGTCAAACGCTTCAACCAATTTCTTTATATACAAGGCTTCTTTGGCGGCGGAGTCAAACGCGCAGTATTCTGCTACCGTAGATGACGGTGCAACTAGCGATTGCTTCCTGGATGACCAGCTGATTGGGCCGCCAGCGTAGAAGATGACGTATCCCTCCGTTGATTTGCCGTCTTCGTGGTCAGCGTGGGCGGCATCTACGAAGACTTCGATGCCTTTGGTATGGTCAGTGGCGAGGGTGATCCCGTACGGGATGGACCTTTTCAGATATCTGTATACAATTTTCAATGCTTTAGCGTCGGCCGTAGTGGGAGTGTTCATGCGCCTTTGAAGTCTAAACGTTGCATGACGTATATCGGGGCGGGTCTTTGTGGTTAGCCAGTTCAAACGCCCTACAAGGCTTTGATATTCGGCTAGGTTGACGTTTTCGGTAGTCATATTCGAGCGATCTGACTTTTTGTAGGCAACGGTCATCGGAATGGCGGAGGGGGTGCAGGATCCTAGGTTCGCTGCATTGAGGCACTCCTCCACGTACGTTGGTTGGGATAGTGATATCGTGCCTGCTTGGTAGTCACGTTGAACGTTGCATCCTAGTAGAACCTTTGGTTCCCCCATTTCCTTCAGGCCAAATGCCTTGTTTAGGTGTTGTTTGACCTCGGCTAGGTCTTCCTTCCTGGGGCCAGCGATAGCGGAGTCGTCAACATAAATAATCAACCAGATATCACCCTTTTTGTATACGCAGGGATCCTCCCTCAGTGGTTCGAAACCGATTCTTTTAAGTGTTTCGTCAAACGTTTGGTGCCAGAGGTGGGCCGCCTGGCGGAGGCCGTAGAGGGCCATCTTTAATAGGCACACCTGATCCGGTGGTCCTTCATGGTATCCGGTAGGTTGTTTCATGAACACGCGTTTGCCCTGTATCTGCGCGTGTAGATAAGCAGATACTATATCACATTGTTCCCATTCAAGATCTTTTATAGCGACGTTCGTCATGAATAGCTTCAGGGCCGCTTCGCTGGCGACAGGAGCGAACGATTCGTCGTAATCGATGCCTGGTATCTGGCGGTTGCCGCAGACTACCCATCTAGCACGGAATTGGGTGACGAATCCGTCAGTGTTGACCTTGAGGTCGTACACCCACTTGCCTGGGATTGCGCGAGCGGTTGGAGGTCGGTTCACGATCTCGTAGGTGCCCATATTCTGTATCTTATCGATCTGTGTATCCATAGCATCTTTCCAGTATGGTGCCAGCGGGGACTTCATCGCTTCGCTGTAGGTGTTCGGAACGACCACTTCGTGTTGTTTGAGGTGGGGTAGGGTCACCCGGTCAACCGTGGCCAGTTGTTGGTAATCTGGCCATGTTGATGATTTGCCTTTAGTGGTCCTTGCGGAGCGCCTCAGTATGGGTTGTTCTTCTGGCTCAGTAGGGTCCGGCAGGCGGTAGTCCTGCGCGGCGTATTTCGTTGAGGATGCCTCGTATTCTGTGGCATTCTCGATCGAGCGTGTAGGTGGAGGCTCTGCGGAGGCAGATATGGTGTGGATTCTGCCTCGGATGACGTCTTCTTCAGGGTCCGGTTGCTCAATCAGGGCCCTCGTGTTATCTGATATATTGGTTGTTTGGTGCAGGAACGCGTTGTCTAACTTGAGCGCGGCACCTGGGCCAGCTGGTGTTGGTCCTTTAGGGTCAGGTTCGCGTGTAGGAACTCCACCGGGATCCTCCTTGTCATCCTTGTAGGTTCGATCTTCGTTGAATTTAACGTCTCGTGATCGTTTAATTTTATCAGATATAGGATCCCACACGTAGTAAACGTGTCCGTTGTCCCCATCGAAACCGACGAAGTATCCGACTTTTGCACGAGGTCCCATTTTCTGGGATGCGACTCGATCTTCCTGCGGGATGTGTTGGTAGGCACGACATCCGAATACGCGTAGGAAGTCTAGTGACGCGTTAGGATTCGGGAGGTTGTAGTGGGATCTGTATAGGAACACGGGGGTCTTCCTGACAGCGCTGTGGTAGGGGACGAGGCGATTCAGGATCTGCGCTGAGAGGCGTACAGCGTACGGCCAGAGGTGAGCAGGGAGGCCAGCATCTAGTATCATGACCCTGCTCATTCGGTTGAGCAAGCCGCCGTATCGTTCAGCTAGGCCGTTGGCTTCGGGTGTTCGAGGAGGTGATATTTTGATTTGAATGCCTCGCTCTGCATGATTCGCCCATTTCCTAAAGCGGTTGAACTCGCGGCCACCATCTAGGTGCCAGGTGGCCACGTATCGGCCGACCATATTCTTGTGTTCCATATTCATCCTGATCAGCTCGTCGGAGGCGTCATCTTTGTGTTTAAGCATGGCCGTCCTCACTAAGCGAGTAGCGTTGTTGACCATGAGTAGAAAGTAGTTGAATCCGCCATGACCAATCGGGGTCACCTTTTGGATGTCTGCATGCCAGAGCTGTGTTGGATCATTAGTCTTTGGGATTGGGTCCCTTGAAACGAGGCGTGTGGCCTTGCCTAGCGAGCATGCTTCGCACTCTAGGGTGTCCCTGTGTTCGAGTTCAATTTGATGATCCTTTGCAGTGGTAGCGATTCGGCGGAATCCTGCGTGCCCGTATCGCCGGTGCAAGAGTAGGGGGTCCACTGCCGCTAGCGCTAGGTCAGGGTCTTTTGTCCTGACGAAAAGCACGTTTTTCGATGCCTGCAGGTGGCCGACGATCTTGTCATCCCGGTCCCTGCGTAGGGTCAGGTCCTTAGTGGTAGCGTAGATGCCAAGGTCTGTACGTAGGCGGTTGGAAGAAAGGAGCCCGTAGGGTAGGTCCGGTTGGTGGTAGGCCTTGATCTTCAACACCGTATTTTGGCCGTTTGCAGCTAGGGTCAGGGTCAGATACCCTGCCGATTTTGCAACACCGATTCCCCCGTTCGAGGTGCCATATTGGTAGTATTCGTGGGGTTTCAATTGGTGGAGACCGCTTAGGGAAGCGCAGTCAGGTGTTAGATGCTGTGAGCTGCCTGTATCATATATCCAGCGTAGCGAGGTGTTCGTGGCGTTTGCAACGGCTAGGCCAGAAAAATTCAAAATATACGGGTTTTCGTCATCGGATCCTATTTCGCCTACCGCTGCATTTGATGCTTCGCTAGGCTTCGATCCTTTGAACCACCAGATGCCTTCTATACGAGGCCTATAATCCTCTGGCCGGAGGTCAGGATTCAAGCGCCAGCAGGTGGTTGCTCCATGGCCTAGTGTCTTACAGAAAGCGCAGCGTCCCTTAGTCATCTCTGGCTTCAAGTTTCGCATCTTTCTAGCGTGTTCCTCAGGGGTCGTTCCTTTCGGTGGGAATGTTGATTTCTTCCACTCTGAGGTCGTTGCAGTGCTTCCCGACTTGGTGGTGCTTCCAGTGTTCTTCGCTGGCGCAGCGAAAGAATATCTTTGCATTTGTTTATTACCTTGTTCGATTGCGGTCCTGCAGTAAACTAGAAACTCTTTCTCCTGGAGGGTGTCCGCAGCATTATCAGGCAAATTGCACTCCACTGTTGACACCCACGTTGGAAGGTCGGATTCCAGCTCTTTGAGCAGGTGTAGCAACCCGCAGTATGGTGATATCCCGACTTTCAACTCTTTAGCGAAGTTGTATGCGTGTTTGAACGCCTCCACGTATTGTTCAACGGTAGAGTAGTCGGATCGGCGTTTGTGGATGAGGTCGAAGTACGTTGTTTGGCAAAGCGTGTGGCCGTGGCCTAGGACGAGTGATTTGATGACTTCGTAGGCATCGTCCGCGTAGTCGTGCGCGTCAGGGGACGTCATCAGTGCCCTCTTTAGGGGGTCTGACAGCTGGCTAGCTAGCCAGGACTGGATGTTGATTGACAGGTGGTGCCATAGCCAGTAATTCGTGTGGTTTGTACTAGGATGGGATAGACCCTTGTCGATCATGTCTTGTAGACCGACGTTCTTCAGGATTTGACATATTTCAAAGCGCCACGTTGAGTAGTCTTCTCGCCCTTTCAACCTTTCAGATACGGGTTGAACGCCTTCTGGTAGCTTTACTGGAAGCCTATCTGCTTGTGTCTTTGGTTGTATGGCTACTGCCTCTGTATTCGAGACATGTTGTAAAGAGTGGTATCTGCCTGGTTGCGACATTCTGGGGTCTGCTTCCGGCGGTTGAATATTTTGATATTCGCGGTGTTTTGGTGTTTTGAGATAGGGGTATCGCGGTGCGTGTCCCCGTTGCAATTGCGGCTTGCTTCGTGTGTATGGTGGCTCAGATCTTTGCTGGTTAGCCTCACGAGCGAAGAGCCGGGCTCATAACCTGTTGAAACGACGTTTTAGGTCAATACTGAAGTCGTTGAAAACGCTTGATTCTTCGCTATCTAGGCGCGCTCGGAGGAGCAGTTGAAGTTACGGAGTTCGGGTCACGTGACCTCGACTACTAGTAATCTACTGAGATTACGTTCCAACATAATCGACTATAAAGTTACTATCACGGTGACACAGAGAAGGCTGGCACAAGAGGTTTCGTATGTAAAGTGCGTAAGTACGTTTGTGCAACAGTGACAGGGCTTACACCTAGTAAGGTGAAAGATGAAGAAGTGTCTTGGACCTATTGAACTGTCCGATGTGTCTGAAGGTAGTGGTAGAAGGGTAAGGAGACAGAAGATGAAGCCATCTAAGATGAGATGACAATCTGGGTGTCTAGGGTATGGTCACTGCCCAACAGCTGCCTTACAGCCTCGTAACCCCGCACATTTACCTCGCCCAATGCGTGTTGGGTCGTGTTTTCAATTTTCACAGCCACCCACGGCTACCCGTTCATTCATTGGTCGGTCCGTTGGTTGAGACGGTATCTAAGTTAGAGAGCCTCTCTGGCCTGTTTGGACTTTTCTTATGTGTACAGAGTAAGCGGAATTATCGCCAGCTGTCTTTGTAGCACATGTTCTGGTCGGCGTCGCATATGGGAGGAGCTTGAGTTGTGCTGGTAAATCATGAAACTTCTAATCCTGGCCATGACGGATATCCTGACCAAGTTTCATATACTGTAACTCGGCTTTGGTTTTTTGATGAGTGCGGCTTGATGGTAGATGTTGACTTTCAAGTTGTCGATAGGCTTACACCCCCCTCTGGTTGTAGCTCCGCCTGTTCCTTCCGAGAGTGAGAAGGCATCACCGCTGCACGTGAGTTTTCCGCTATCAGGGCACAACCCAAAGAAGTCGCCGCTTACTCGGGGTTAAACCTCCCATATCGAGGAGCCGATGTTTCCTTCAGTGATTGATGCACCTGAAGAATGTTCATTCTTGTATTTATCCTTCGACACACTATCTGCCAAGCTGGTCAGGCCTACTCTTCTGATGATACTAGCAACTAATAGGAAGACTCCAGAGATATGGCACCATTTCTCCTCGCTTGGAGGGCACAAGGGTTTGTCCGAACAAATATCGGCTTCTGACATTCCCCGGGAAATCAAGGTTTTGTCAAGGCCGGAGAGGGGTCTTTGGCTGTCTGTGGAGACAAAGACCGCACTGATCTCTCATGTCCAAGGTTCTGTGTAATTCCTGGTATCGTTTCTGTTGATTGCCATGATGCTGGTTGGATTTTCAATGTCGTACAGTTGCCTACAGCCGGCGGCCCATCATCCTCTATAATCTCCAGGAGAACGATTACTTTGGGAGCTGCGGAAGGAGACTCGCGAATGGTGGGATCAACAGACACCTGATCACTGCACTGATAATCAATCCCAACCCTTCATTTGAACGCCCTGTGGCTTCGTATCTCGATGAGAGCTTACTGTCACAAATCCATTCGGATGACCTTATGCTGAGCTTCCGAGCCAATTGTTAAACGCTAGCAATTAGTCCCGACGGGAATCTGCTAGCGGGGGGCTGTTGAATTTGGAACAATCCGAATATACAAGTTCGAAACTTTGACGCTTATCTGCCGAGACCATTCCACCGGTTTTTACCTCAAGCAATGGTCATTCAGGCCAGATGACATGCAGCGGGCCGACACTGGGGGCTCAAAACGTAATATCTGGGAATCCGCAATTCTGCTGCATTACTCTGGGGAAGAAGACAGCAGCCAATATACGTGCAATACTATGGTCGAGACAGTCGGAACTGATACCAGACCTATTATCACTTCACTTACTGTGGACCCCCAAGATGATGCTGTATTCTGCAGTAAGAACGATGGGTCAGTTAACTTCTACAATCTAAGAACCGGCAACAAGATACGTACACTTCATCGCCGGAAGATCAATATTCACAATCAACTGGCTGCCCGAAACTAGGCTCCTTCTGAGCGTTGACGAGTCAAATGTAATATTCGGTTGGAATCCCAAGATACAGACTTAAAGTTGGCTTTCCAGGCGAAGTGCTCTTCCAACCACGTCTAGACTGCTAGCATGCGATTACCCAGGTACTGGCTAGTGATGCCGCAGGCAAATTTATTCTGTCCACTCGGGAAAAAGCTCATTTGTGGAACATTAGCGGCCACGAACTGGACGCGCGAAGATATTCGTCTAGACCCGGAATCCGCAAGTGGCTGCAACATCATCATGATTCGAAAGAACATTTGATATGCTTTGAAGGTGCGACCGTTGGTATATACTCCTGGACTGACTGGACGGAGGTAGCAACCATAGATATCAACCTTGATTTGAGTGGTTTACAAATCAAGAATGCTTTTCCTTGCACGTCCGGAAGCAGACAACGCATACTTCTCGAGTTATCGGAGCTAGATGGCCCAGCCAAGACCTGCGGGCTATACCTGCTCGATGCGGAGGTATTTGCTGTTTACAACGAAAGAGATAAGCTAGATAGTCCCAAGGATGCGCAGGACAGCAGAAAGATACGGTACAGGAGAATAAGCTAACTCTCACTGACCGGAGATCGAGCCAATGCCCTTTCAAACGCTTAGCAATCTGAGCCGCTACATTACACATTGCATCGGTATTACCACGGCCAGTAAGGTTGTGTTTCTGGATACTCACTCCTGGGTGTGTACTGCTGATCTGAATAAATTGGAAGACAGTAAAGAGTTGTACGTCCGCCATTTCTTCGCACCATATAACTGGTTTTCGGGATCGAGGCACATAATCTCGATCTTGGCTAGGCGAGATGTCTTGATTACACGCAAGTCAGATCTTGCTGTTATCAGAATGGGATTGGAGTACATACTGCCAGTGGAGTCTCCAGGATTGGGCATGAAGGTTAGCATGGACACTTGGAAGCGCTGAGTCTTACTTCTTGAATTCACAACATGGTATCGTGGATCTTTAGAGAGGGATATCTCGTAGAATCGTTCCGACGATCAATCCAACGAAACTTCTGATGAAACCAATCTATGGAGCACTAAGAGTGGTTGGAACGGACGGTCGTGAAAAGTCCTTCGTAATCTGGGAAGCAACCGGCCGATATCCAAGTAAAGTGAGGGATTACGTGTCGCCCCGACGTGATATCAAGAAAAGGTATGCCAAGAACATGCCATTTCCGGTCTAATAGCTGCGAATAAGCTGAAAGAAACCCAAAGTCATAACCCTCGGAAATAGCCTTATATTTTTGGCTCCGACTCCCGACCCCCGACCTGCGGAGCTTTAAGCGAGGCCAATCACAAGCCACGGATCGAGTGTCCCCTACCTTATTTCCGCAGGGCAGGCGTTGTACCACGGTTCCAAGTCAATCTATTTTGCGTCATCTCGTCCGAGGGGATCGTCAGGGAACCGGGTAAGGCAATGATCCTCATACTAATGGGATCGCAGGCCGCGTATCCCTCGGCGCAAATATCCGTGAAGATGCATGGCACCCGTGGGAGCACCGTTAGGGGGTCCATTCTCCGACGCATTGCGGCATCTATTAAAGTGCTGTCTCTCCCCAAGCATCTCGAATCATTACCTTACCATCGTGACCATCCCATTGATCCCACATTAGCGTTCAACCACACGATGGATCAGTCACGCCGTGCGAGACTCGCTCTCGCCACGCTTATTCCTCTCCTGACCGGGGCCAATGCAGCGCTCTATGACACTGTCATCGACACGCAGTATGGTGGTGTTCAAGGCTACCCAGCCTTCACCAGCGAGCCGGCCGGTAACCTAACCCATTGGAAAGACATTACCGTCTGGAAGAACATCCCCTTTGCCGCCACCACCGGGGGTCAAAACCGCTGGAAGGCACCCCAGCCCGTCAGCGCTTGGAACGGCACCCGTGATGCGAAGTCTTTCGGAAACGTATGCCCGTCGGCCACCCAGGGCAGCTCCGAATATACCATCGACGAAGACTGCTTGAACCTCAACATATGGAGTCCCGCCAACTCGACGGACGCAAAGCTCCCGGTTGTCATGTGGAGCTATCCCGCTCTGTCGACGGCTGCGGATGCCCTCTTCGATGGTGGCGGCATGGCTGACCAGGGTATCGTTTTTGTGAACTACAACTACCGCACAGGCTCATTCGGCTGGATGGCGCACCCGGAGTTGTCGGAGGAGTTCTACAAGGTGACCGGATCCAACAGCTCCGGCAACTGGGGCATGCTCGACCAATTTGCAGCGCTCAAGTGGATCCATGAGAACATCGCCGCGTTTGGCGGTGATCCCGAACACATCACGGTTATGGGCCAGTCTGCTGGGTCGGCTGCCACCCAGCACATCCTCAACAGCCCATTGACCAAGGGCCTGATCGTCGGCGCCATCATCGAAAGTGGAGTTCGGGATCCGCACGATCCCCTCTGCACCAGTCTGGCGGAAGGCTACAGCACATTGGAGGACCAGCTGGCCCAGGGAGAACGCTTCATGGCCAGCTTGAACTGCAGCTCCATCGCCGAGATGCGCGAACTGCCCATGGAGGATCTCGTCGTGTCGGGCGGAACATTCGGCAGCACCAGCGAATGGAGCTTCGGGGCCACTTTGGACTACTACGCAATGCCGGACACCTACTACAACACGCTCATCAAGGGTCTGGCGCAGGACGTGCCTGTCATTACGGGCAACACCAAGGACGAAAGTGGGGCCAGCTACGGCCTGAACCTCACCGTGTCCGAGTACCTGGCAGACATGAACGAGACGTTCAGCGAGCCATGGCTCTCTCGCTTTCTGGAGCTGTATCCCGGAAACACCACACGAACCGCCCCGGGAGCCTACAACTCCCAGTGGACCGACCGGTCCAAAGTGGGCACTTGGCTGTGGGCACAGCTCTGGGCGACCGCGAGGACCAGTCCTGTGTATACCTACTTCTGGGACCACGCTCCCCCAGGCCAGGACCAGGGCGCGTACCACGAATCCGAGATTAACTATGTTCTGAACAACCTGTACGGCACGGACCTGCCATGGACGGCGGCCGACTACTCCATCGCACGGAAGATGAACGGATACTGGGCCAACTTCATCAAGACGGGCAATCCCAATGGAGGATCCCTGACCCAGTGGCCTGCCACGGGAGAGAACGCGAAGGTGCAGCATGTGGGTGATGGATGGGGAGAGATTCCGACCGCATCTGATGCCAAGGTGAAGCTGTTTGAGGAGTGGTTCGACACACTGAAGACTTACTAAGGGCGCATGGACATCCGCTTGTACATAGCCGTCTGTAATTAACCACGCTTGATGTACATCCTCTGTATGATAGCAAACAAGTGTAAATTGCCTGATATGCTTCCCCGCATTCGTGGAGCCGGTCGATCATCGTAGATTAGCCATTTAGCCGGTAGCCCATCGTATATCAACAACAGTCTCCGTCTACTCAAACCGACCATCCATGAGTCGAAGGTGATCGGTTTAGAATATCCTGTTCATGAAGATCATTCGCACACAATGGCCCGTAACAATGTTTACAATCTCCCCCTTATTCTCCTTCTTCTCCTCTCCCTAACCCTACCCATTCTATCCACCCCCCTCCCCTCCTCCCAGTCCGAATCCCAATCCCAATCCCACTGGGTCGACATCTGGACCGCGATGCCTCAACTGACCGAACCAGCCAACCTACCTCCAGCCCCATTTGTAGGTACCCCCTCTCCCTCTCCCCTCCCCATATTATATACACCATTAATCAATATCAGAACTCCAACCCCCTCCATCTTCCCCAACACGACCCTCCGCCAAACCCTGCGCCTCACTCAACCCGCCAGCACCATCCGCCTCCGACTCTCCAACGCCTTCGGCAGTACCGACCTCCCCATCACCTCCGTAGCCATCTCGCTCCCACCCAACAACACCCTCGGCAGCGCATCCATCATTCCGGATACTTCGACCCCAATTTCCTTCGATGGAGACACCTCGATCCTCGTCCCAGCAGGGAGTCTCATCGTCTCAGAACCGATAACTCTCCCGAAACAAGCGAGCACGACACTAACAGTGGACTTGTACTTGGAAAGTGGACAGAACGGGACGGATATTACCTCTCATCCGGGGAGTCGGACGACGTCGTGGATGGGGTTCGGGGATTTAGTTGGCGAAGATAGTATAGTTGGAGGGGACGTGGTGGGGGTGGAGCATTGGTATATCCCCCTTTTCTTTCTGTTTGTCGGCTGCTTGTGGCATGTCGATGACAAGTATACTAACAGAAAGAGAAAGGTACTTCATCTCCACCATCGAAGCCCTCCTCCCGGATACTTACCACGGGTGCGCAATCATCGGCGACAGTATAACGGATGGACGGGGAAGCGATACGAATGAGAATAATCGGTATCCCCTCCTCACCCTGTAACCCCAGAAATGTATACAAGAATTGACACAGGATCTACTATATACAGCTGGCCCGACCTCCTCCTCCCCTACCTTCACAACAACCCCCAAACCAACACCCTCTCGCTCCTCAACCAAGCCGCCGGCGGCAACCGCCTCCTCCACGACGGCCTCGGCCCCAACACCCTCTCGCGCATTGACCGCGACGTGCTCTCGCACTCACGCATAACGCACGCGATTGTCTTCGAAGGCGTCAACGACATCGGCACAGCATCCACCTCCCCTACAGCACAGCAAATAGTCGGTGATAGAATCATTATGTCCTACAGACAAATAATCACGCGGCTCCACGCCGCCGGGATTAAGGTCATCGGAGCGACCATCACACCTTTTGGGACGCCAAGTAATTCGTCCGTCGTGCAGCCGTACTCGGATCCTGAACGGGAGAAGACGAGACAGAGGGTGAATAAGTGGATACGGGAGTCGGGGGTGTTTGATGGGGTGGCTGATTTTGATAAGGTGGCTAGGAGGGATGATGGGGCTGGGAAGGATTTGTTGAAGGCGGAGTTTGATAGTGGGGATCATTTGCATTTGAATCCGAGGGGGTATGAGGCGCTTGCTAGGAGTTTTCCTGTTTATTTACTAGATTGATCGTAGAGAAGTAGGGTGATAGATGGAATATTATGTCATTTGACTGTCTCAGCTAGCTACTAGTAACTCGCTAGCTAGCTAGATATTAATTTAAGATTCGTTCACATACTCATGCTCATGCTGCATCATACTCATACATCTTGGAACTTCTCTTCTACACAGAAAGAAGTCTAGTATCCCCGCAGGCTGCGACGACGGGGCACACTGCGCTTGAGGGTGACACCCGCCTCGGCGGCATTAGCATAGGGACCGAAGTCCGGAGAACCACCGAGGGTACCGAAGATATCACCGATGTAGTTGCTAGGGGTGATACCAGCGGCGAAAGTAGAGTTCCACTGGCTGATGATACCCTCGACGATCTTGACACCAGCGTTGTAGATGTTCTGAACCGAGGGCTCATAAGCACCAGTAGTAGCGTAGAGGAGGTTCTCACGAGCCGACTCGCCAGGGTAAGGGCGGTCGAAGTCAGAGGCGGTACGCATGACAATGATACGGGAGAAATCAACGAGCTTGGCCTTAGCGGCACGGACCATGGCCTCGAGGGTAGCGTTATCCTCCTGGGCAGAGGCGCAGTAGTTACCGGTACCGTTGGTGAGGACCTTAGTAGTGTTGGCGAAGGTGTCACCGAGGATGTTACCGGAGTAGTAGACGTCGCTGGTGGCGACATCGCACTGGACGACGGAGGGGGCAGCAGCGCCGGCGGCATAGATGCCGTCGGAGGTGTTGTACTTGGCGCGGTAGGCCTTGGCGTCGTCGGAGTCAGCGAGGGTGGCCTTGCTGGCGAAAGCAGCAGCCAGCTGGCGCAGGTTGTCGTTGACCTCGAAGACCTCGGTGCCGTAGATGCTGCCGGGGTATTGCCAGGGGTAGTAGGAACCCTGGGGGAAGTAGCCGGTGGTGGCGTTGGCGGGCATTTCGCGGATGTCGATCTCGTACTGCAGGGCGACCTGGACGGCGTAGCGAGCCAGGGTCACACTGCAGATGGTGGTCAGCTCGGGGTTGACACCGGCGATACCGGCGATGAGGAAGTAGGTGTTGGTCAGGTCGAAGGTGGGGTTGAAGATGATGGAGGAGACGGTGACGGCGGCGTTGATCTCGGCTTCACCGGTGACCAGCTGGCAGATGTTGTGGTCTGCGGTGCAGTGCACATCCGGGAACAGCGGAGAGGCTCCGGGGATGGTAATGTTGTGCTCGAGCACGTTGAACTCGGGGATACCCCACCAGATGGCGGCTTCGGGTTCGAACTGGGTTCTTTGTTAGGGCTGGACAGCATATAATACATGGCGGGGGCGGGGGAGGGGAACCTACCATCGAGACAATGAAGACCTTGGGAGCGATCTTGTCGGTGGACTGGCGGGCGGCGATGCTCTTGGCCGCGGGAACGGAGCGAGCCGCAGCAAGGGAGGACAGGCAGCTGCTGGCGAGCAGCAGGCCCGTGGAAACGGATTGAAGGAGCTGCATGGTGTGCGATGGAGGTCGTGTGCACAGTTTGGCTGCAATGGCTGGATAGCGAAATAGCTGTCGGGAAGGCCGGCTTTATAGCTTGCGATTGAGATCTTTCTGTTTTCCGTATCAACGGCGTAGCTATCGGGTTTTGACTATTGGGTGGTGGTTGACCCACCGTCGCGTGCTAAATGCCCACATTGTTGAAAAACTCTGCCAGGGAGACGGGCTGATTAGGAAGGATTTGCAGCAGAGAGCGGAGAGGGTAGCATTGGTGCCTGCCAGAAAGCCAATGATCGGCGATCCATTCCGTACGAACCGAGCCGGTTGCTGCGGTGCGTTAGTTGGAATAGCTAGTGCTTTCTCCACTAAGCTGAAGAATGGGACGCGATTGTTGGTAGCTGAGGAGCTGAATTGCCGTGGACATTTGCGAATTTTTTTTCCTAGCTGTCTATGATCAGAAAGATCATCACTACACTAAAGTATGGCATACAGCAGATAGAGGCCATCATTGCTGGTTCCTGAATGTTTGTTCCCACATAGATGAGATATTCCCCGTGGCACCACGGGACGGAGCCAAGAACTAACGCAGGAACCAAGAGCAACGAAAGGCAAAATGTGAAAGATAGCAAAGAGATAAGCGGGGAGCCGGCCGATAACCATCGCACCACCAATATCGCGCAATTAATTAACTTAGATTGCCTTATCGCTCACCGGCCTATCAACGGTGCCACTAGTGCCGGAGTGGAGGGATTCCACAGAATTTCTCCTCTCCATCATGCTTCCCGATGCTTCCATTGCTGCAACTAGGGAATTGGATTCAAATCCCTATGCAGATATGGTGACATCGTGCGTGTTTTCAGCCGTAGCTGAGATCATATTTATATAAGAAGCTGAAGTTCAGACCCCGGTGGTCAGAATTGTGAGGCGTTGAGGGCTGCAATGGCGGAAGATGAGGGCACGAGGCAGGGCACGTGCAAGGCTGCGCCCAGCTGAAGAATTTCCCGATCACCACCACTGCACTCTCCACCTCAAAGCATTCAAACCCCGTAGGGCGTACTGATTAGATGGATGAGTTAGTAATAGAGGAAGATATTATAGCCGAGTCTCAATTCACAATATGTGCACGTTATCTTACTGCTTGGCAGTACTATCGCCATAGTAGTTGCTAGTAGTGTGCTATCAGCAGAAATATATATTCTCAACGGTAGTACGTATAGTACAATGATAGGAGATCTCCGGGCGGGTCGCAACATCATCATTCACCAGGAAAACCAGGGACTACTACTGGTATTCAGCTCAGCTAGGTACTAATCTAGTACACGCCTATACTGGAAAGGGGCCTCATTACTAATTCTGTCGCTTAGTTAGTAGTAGCTCCATTGATCCAGTGAAGCATCCGTTCAATTCTATGCGATATACTACTCGGTGCCTGGCAGTTAACAGCCACAAAATGCTACTCGCCCCTACAGTTGTTAGTATGGCGAAAGACACCCTTGGGGCAGATTATTATGACTGCCACCCGTCACTAAAATGACATTGTAGAATACTATGATAAGAGATGACATGCCAACCCGCTACGTACTGTTTGCCATCCCGCGTTCTGGCAATGGCTTCGTGCCCGCGGATATATAAACATGTCGTCTTTTCCTCGTCCTCGGAGCAATGTCATGTCCGCGGACTCCTTTCCCACTAAATTCCCGCTCAGACTCTCATGTAAGGTCTCCCATACCAGAATATAGCTGGATCACGGGGCATAGACATCAAACACCTTCGGTGGTAAATAAAGAACAGCCATATCCCTTGACGTTGTATTCAACCCTTATAATACTCCATCTGCATGAGGAATGTCAGTCTCTATGGCCTATTAATAAGTACTAACATTGAATTCCCCGGGCTTGGGCTTTCCTGGCCTCATGGAACCACCCGATGGCTTCCCCAGACGGAGCTTCTCGTTGGTCGGTTGTCATTCCATTCATTTTTATCATACCACCGGGTGAATATTCCGGACATATGTCGATCACCACCGTTTGGATTAAGCAATCCAGCCGAGCATTCTGGAATTCAACTGTCAGCCAGTTGGCGTCTGTCACGCAGTCTAAAAACACTTAATATACAGTCACGTGATCTCAACACCCCGACCACAACGGACTCGAGCAGGAATGCATTATCCCTTGCTAACTTGCGACCGTCTTGCCATTTTGGTAATCTCAGGGTCTATTGACTGATCCATCAGCCCGATAGGGAGAGCTCCACCCGAAGGTCACTGATTCTAGAAGACGGAGGATCTTCTAGGGATCCCACCGATCGCTGCGAGTTTATTGAAGTTAAAGATGGCTCCTAAACTCAGTTCGCGTCGCTGACTCGCCGAGCACTCTCCACATGGCAGAGGTATAACGAGTGTTGTCTTAGACATTTTCGGTCGAGTGGAGGTTATTCCTGACCGGACTCCATCCCCCTTCCTCCATACAGGTCCGATGCGAAGCGCTGACGTGGACCGGTAGGGGATCTCACATTGCGCGGTCAGATCTCCGACGATCCCATCCACCAGCAACGGCCCTGGTGGAGATTGCTGCACTCCTGCTACAAATACATTGACCTCCCTTGCCGTGGCTGCCTTGGCCGATCCAACACAATGTCAGATGCTTGACGGCAGCAGACCTCAACGGCCTCGTACAACCTCGGAGCGGAGTGGCAGGTCACGGGTCGATCCATGGAGCAGCTGGGATGCTGTCGGGCTGCCGAGAGAGGTTCGGAACGTTATTGAGTGATGAAGCTCCCGGGTGTGAGATGGGATGCTATGGTCATCAGGCAGAGCCGCAGCTGTCCTCCTATTCGGACAATTGAATTCATTCTTGACCGGGTCTAAGACACAAGAGTTATATACCCCAGCTGAGGCGTGTCACCTTGTGTGAATTGTGAAGGAATCCGTGTAACGTGTCAACGTCAGCTTTGATGACTTCGTCACACCGACCGTTCTTGTCCGTGAGAGGATGGCATGATAGAGCCGCTCCATGCGATCACACTTCACAGCTGAAGATTATGCTGGACGCGAGGCCCGACTGTAGTATCGCCGCAAGTGGACCAAGGGTCCTCTCTAAATGGGAAATGCAGTGATGGGCAGCAGCTGCACCAGAGGAGTCAGATGCAGCGAAGAAAGCCGCGTCATCGTCAGCTGCGAGATGCTCCCGTGCGCCTGCCGATCGCGGGAAATGAGTCCGCATCTGCTGTGTCCATACCATCAATCCTATCGAGGACAATCAGGCCAGACGTAGGACAAAGCATTTGGGGGGGGGGGGCGGGGGGGAAAGCGAAGAAGAGAGTCAACAGGCCGATGTCATCGGGAAACGACGTCATCCACGTGGGGTTGGGCCGTGACGTCACCCGCCCGTCTCCTTCCAACTTGTTATACTCGTTCCTTTTCCCTTCCATCCTCCCCTTTCCTCTGCTAGCATTGCATCGCATCGCGTCGCATCCTGCATCTCGAAGATTTGTTCTGCCAGCCGTTAGGATACCCCATAGACGAAATACCCCCAACCGGCTCCCTCAGGTGAGCTTACTTGACAACCGCTATAAGCTACCCTTAAATTAATCATTCAAGTAGCCCACCAACGAAAGTCTAATCAGGAACCACAAAGTCAGATCCAAAGAAACAGAACCCAGCTCATCCCGGAATCACCGAAAATGGTCGGCGCCATCCACGAACGCATTCGCGAAGACCTCATCGGCAAGGAGCGTCGTCTCTGGACGGCGCTCACCTCCGCCGATCCAGGGCCCGAAATCAAGAAGATGTGTAACGAAGAAGCCAACCTACTTTTCCCGCAGCGCGAGATTCTGCACCTGCATTCGAAGCCGTCAATCAGCGAGGCGCTGAAGCCACCCTTCCATCACTTCGACGAGTACGAACTGCAGGAAGTGCGCGTGATCGTCATCGACCTGATGGCCGGATCAGTAACATACAAGATCAATGCGCGGCGCGGCGAGGAGACCTACCGGGGCACCGGGTCGACGACATGGAGTCAGGCAAGTGATGGAGAGTGGCGGATTGTGGTGCATCAGGAGACATTAATGTGAGATCCTGAGATTCAGATGCAGGGGGGAGGGACAATGAGAGGGGGAAGGGAGTGACAGTAGGGGATGGAGAGAATGAACGAATCATGATTTGTTTTGATGCAGTTCGCTGATGAATATTCTATTTCTTGTTACATTTTTATTTTATTTTTTCTTTTTTTTCTTTGGACCCTGCTTTTCCATTCAGGGGGTTGAATGTGCTTGCGTGGATGTGTGATTGTGGCTGGCTGACATCAGACGGACGACGGAGTTTGAATCAGACAAGACTCTGACATTAATTTCCACGCAGATCATCACCATTCATCAATCAATAGCATAATCCATTTCCATTTCCATATGAATATATTCCCATCCCTCGTTACCCAAAGAAAAACAAAAACGGCCCAACACAACACAAACAGAGACCAACAAAAATAAAAATACAAAAAGAAAACAGAAAACGATCGACAAAGACCCCTACTCCTTTTAATACCATAAGGCTACCCAACCCACCCCAGTGGGACCAATAGTAACTGCATGGTTATTGGCCCTAGTTTCATCGCGGGAACAGTATAGTGGAGAAACAGCATGGTTTCTTTTGTAGGGCGAGGGTGGCAGTGTGCAGAGTGCAGCTAGCTGAGCACGCACCAATTTTTTTTGCACGGCGACTCCGTGGTCGTGCATGCAGTAGTGAGAAACTTAGTAGTTAATTATTCTTTCTTTCTTCTTCTTGCTTACTACTGCCTGCCTTAACTGTAATCAGAGGGTAGAGACCACTTACTTTGTTGGGTAAGTGACTGTCGATCAGGGTGTTCTGTCAGGGTCTAGAATACTTCTCTCGTTTCTGTGTCTCGTGCTTACTGAGAATATGATTGTTAAGGCAATAAGGTTTTGCTGGGTGAAACAAACTACGTACTAAGTATTAAGATTTGATGTGATGCGAGAAGTAGTACAGAGTACAGAGTACTAAGTACTTATAAGGCAACCAGATTACAATTCCATTGTGATTGGGCTCACATGGAGTGAGAAGCAGGAATTACTCTATCGGTAAACGAACATAAGACCTGTCAACTGAAATCTAACACCCAGTTTTCATTTCCATTCTTGGTAATGTAGTAGATACTAGTATATGTACCACGCAAGCTTCGATATGTATAGTAGGAATATATCGGTCCCCACTCGAAAACCAATAACACAGCCCCCTTCCCTTCCTTTCACTTTGATCCCGAAAATAAATCAATCCCATCCAATGCAGTTCAACCCAACTCAACAACTCTTTCTCACACAAAATTAGTTACCAGAAGGGGAAATAAAACAAACCAGAAAAATAAGAAACTTTCACAACAAAACAACCAGGGAATTAAGAATCAAAAAAAGAAAAGAATTAAACACCATTAGCAAACCCATCTCCACCAGCCTCGGTATCAACCCTCACCGAGTCCATCAATCCGCACACCTCAAACAGCTTCTTCGGCCCCATCCCCTCGGGCAACCCAACCACACCATCCTTCTTGAGCCTCTCCAGAGCAGCGGTAATCCCCATATAGGCAGGAGTAATGCAAGCGAACGAGAAGATCATAATGCGGAAGCCCATTTCCCTAGCCTCATCGACGGAAATAACCGGCCCAGCACCGTTCTCCACCATGTTGAGCAGAAGCGGCCAAGGCGCAAGGTCCTGGACACACCGCCTCGCCATCTCCTTACTGGTGAAGCCCTCGAGGAGACCAACATCGGCGCCAAGATCGCGGGCGGCCTTAAGGCGGCGAATGCACTCGTCGTAGCCGTGCTGCTGGAGGGCGTCGGTGCGGGCAATCAGCACGATGTCGCTGCGGAGGCGGTCCTTGGTGAGCTTGGCGGCGCGGATGCGAGTCAAGTATTCGTCCATGGTGACGACGCGCTTGCCTGCCAGGTGTCCGCATCGCTTGTTTTGGATCTGATCTTCGATGTGGAATCCCGCGACTCCGGCTTGGATGTATTGTTGAACGGAACGGGCGACCATCAGGGGGCCTATTTTTGTTTTTTTGGTGTTAGTGGGGAACTGGGTCTATATTGCCGTTTTGCTTTTTGGCGCGGGTAGATCATTATGTCTTGGCAGACAGTGGAGATGGGGGATTCTCACCTCCGTAGCCAGTGTCCATGTCTGCGATCAGGGGAGGACCGTAGGGGTCCAGGTTCGCGATCATCTCTGCGTTGGTCTTCATGTCGTAGATGTGGGCTAGACCCAGATCGGCCATGCCCAGTCTAGACGCGGTAGTACCGGCGCCGGTCTGACCTTTCCGTTAGTATGATCTTTTTTCTCCATCGCGGAAGCGGAGAAGTGTTGACTGTGGGGAAAGGTAGTCTAAGGAATCCAACATACCATGTACATGCCCTTGAAGCCCAGGTTGATGGCAATACGGGCGGACAGACCGTCGTACACACCAGGACACACGAGCAACTCATTGGTCTCGCGAAGCTGCTTGCGCAGTTTGCTCGCACCGGTGACCATGTTCAGGTTGACCACGGGCTCTTGACGGGCACCGTTGATCTCATAGATACCGTCCTGCTCTACGGTGATGGTGATAGTGTTGGTCATGCTGATGGTGGAAGCAGAATCGGGGGTATCAACTTTCATTGCGAGAAAAGCACAAGGTATATATAGGTGAGAATGAGGAGGAGAGTTTTATCCCTTTCGAAAGGAGAAAGTGGAGAGTGAAGGTAGGAGAGAAAGAGGCTTGTTTGAGACTGATGATGAGAAGGAAGAGATAGAAAGGAAGGGCCAGAAGGTGACCAGTTTATATAGACGTGTCGGGAGAAGATCAGCCCGCCAGCAACCAATATTCATTACCTGAGAAGATCATTTTTCAAGAATTGTTTTTTTCCCTCCAATACTTCTTTTGCTTTCTGTCTGTCTGCAACATTCCCCTCCTGGTGGGATTGCAACGCAAGCCCTTGGCCGAGAATCATCGTCAATCCACACAATGCACGTACACCCTACTCCGGTGAACGAACCATTGCCATTCAATTTTCTTGGCCACCATCCCAGCGCCGAGAAAAGAAAAGAAAATGGTCAATCGACGCCATCGGCGGACTATGATTTGTGCCTGTGACAAGTCGAAAAATGTCCGAATGCAATGCAGCAGGGGCCTAGATAAGCTCCCCCCCCCTCTTTTTTCTTTATTAAATTTATTCTATTATTCGCATTTTTGTTTTCCCGCCCCTCCCCCGTACAGGGCTAATGACCAGTAATTCGCTAAATCTAGTAAGGATGGGGCTGGCTGGGCCGCCCACCGCGAGGGGAGTAAGAGACAGTCCGCGCGTAGTTTCAGATTACGCGCCGGTAATGGCAGGATTGATTGACTAAGTGATTTCCTTATTGGGCCGAATCAGGGGAGAATGAGGGAGGGGGTAATAGTGTGGGATGAAGTCAGACAGGTTTGGCCCGTACTTTAGGCCACGCCGACACTGCATGGACAAGACGCATCAACTCACTTCGATGTGGTGGCACACGAGCACGAGTTCCTCGGTAGCCGCGGGCTCCAGTATACTGCAGTTGCTGCATGTCAGACGCTTTTGCTCATCACGCACGGGGCCCGTTGTTCTTCACCCAGCTGAGAAGATAGTAGCCTAGCCAAGTACTCTGTAGCATTGGCAGAGGAGGGAGGGTGAAGGAGGGGGACGAGTAAGTTTGGTGGCCAACTGAGAGCGAGCGAGCAATCAACCTCCGGAGTTCGCCAGCTGGACGAGGAATGGGATGAATCGGACGTTATTGGCGCTTGGCCGAGGGAGCAGATCTGCACCGATAGACTGCCAGGGCTCGGCTGATGCGCCGGAAGTTAAACGGCATCCCATCCACGGAGTCACTGTTAGGTGTTGCTGCCGGCGGCAGGGCGGGTTCTAGCACGCCTGCTGAATGGCGGAGAAACCGGAGTGCATTGGCTTCCGGGACTTATCGCGGATGAGGTGAGAGAGGGGGTGATGATGGTCAGTGATGATGAGATAGGTAATAGTGCATGGCTGACCAGCCGACGGAGAAGCCGATGGAGAGACAAGACCCAGATGGCCCAGACGGACCAGGGCAGCAGCTGCAGTGCGGACTCTCATCGCCGACATTAAGTGCGTCTCTGTTGCTGCATGCTGCAGAGCCAAGTATCTTGGCAACCTGGGGGGAACAGAAAATTAATACTGGAGGCGATAGTCTCGAGTCCAGCCCCAGTTTGCTGGTGACTGCTTCAGGCTGCGCGGTTGGCTCTTGCGCACGTCTAGTGATTTCTTAGGTAGTTTTCTTGGTCTTGTCACTCCGCATGTCGCCTAGAAATGTGCTCATGGACTAGAATGAATTACTCTCCGGTCAGTGCGGTGATCAGGCCCCGGTGTGTAACCCATGAGGAATACAGCAAAGGCAGGGGAAGAGGAGAGCTGAGGAACATTTCGGACCCGGCTGGATGGTGCCGCATGGTGAAACGGACGACGCGGGTCCGACAGCAAGCAGTCCGACAGTCCTCAGCCTAGCAGATCGGATGCAGAGAGGAAAAATAAACCGCCACGACTATTGGAGGTGCAGATTGGCAGAGGGTTGATCGATAGATAGGTAGGATCGGACTAGACCGGGAGGAGTATAGGGGGGGGGGAAGGGAGGGGAGTGAGAAGGGAATGGGTGAGGAAGGGCGTGAGGGTAGGGGAAGAGAGAGAGTGCGTGCGTGGTGAGGCGCAAGTCAGCCGATTGGCGGGGCGGAGACCCAGTTTGGGGGGGGAGTTTAAGGTAGTAAGCAGTCTAGTTAGCTAGTTAGATTGGAGGAATGGGACAGGGAGAGGGGAAGACGACCAGCAGAGTCCGAGAGGGAAAAGGAAAGACAGGCAATGATAGTCGTGGCTGACTTGGCTAGAGACGAAAGCGACGGCGGATAGAGAGGCTAGCTTGTCACTTCGAGTCACTCCGATAGCACTAGACTGAGTCTAGTGCTGTAGGGAATCAGCCCAAGCCCGACAGCGGCTCCGGATTCGCCCGGCTTGGCCCCTCTGGGCGATCGGTAGAAGTTTGGGGGTTTTTAGGAGAAAAGGGATTGCGGCCTGGCCTTGGTATCTTGGAATGAAAAAGAAAAAAGGTTTGTGAAGGTTTTTGCTCTGGAGGAGAAGAAGAGGGTCTGCGGCCCACGCGGGCCCACGGCCGCGGTTGTCTTAAAGCTGGCGAGCTCTTCATTTCCACGCGTCTGTCAGCCTGCCTTTTCCCGCTTCTTTTCCTGCTCCGATCGCGCTGTTTGAAAGAGAAAAAAAAAGTCAGAAAAAAAGGTCAGAGAGAGAAAGATAGAAACTTTCTGATTTTTCTTTTTTTCTGCTGCTGTTGCATCCCTGCATCTGCTTGGGCCCATTCTTTCTCTGTTTCTTCCATACCACACCCCCAAAGTGCAGCAGCCTAAGTTCCAACGTTGAAACCATGGAGGACAGTAAAGGTGCTAGCCCGATGGTTAGCTATGTTAGGGCTGAGATCAATGTCAAATATGCCGATATCTTATTGCTCGCCTGTTGTTTCTGCTCGGGGTTGCTGGACAGCACCATGTACAATGGTGAGTCTCACTCTCTCCACTCTACCCTTTCCTCCACACCTTTCCTTTCTTTCTCTTACCCCATCACAATCTCCATAAAATCCCCATCATTCATAATGGAAGCTTACTTACACTTTCCCCACAGCCTACAACACTTTCGTTTCCATGCAAACGGGAAACACCATTTTCGTGGGTTTGGGTGCCTCGAAGCAGGATAGCCGACCGTACGACTGGGCGCGATCCTTGACGGCCATCGGCTGTTATGCGATCGGCAGCTTCATCTTCTCCCGCATCAACAACTTTCTCGGTCCCAAACGGCGCGGCACTCTGGTCGCCTGTTTTCTACTGCAGGTCGTGCTTGTCATCATCGCAGCTGCCCTCTCTCAAAGCCATGTCATCGCCGGTGACCTAGCCGACGCCCACTCCTCCACCTACATCACCCACTGGAGCCAAGAGGCCGTCATCGTCCTGCTCAGTATGCAGTCCGCGGGCCAGACCGTCGCCAGTCGTGTGCTGGGCTACAACGAAGTGCCGACCGTGGTGATCACCAGTTTGCTGTGCGATCTGATGATGGATCCCAAGCTGTTCCTGCTGCGCAATGAGAAGCGCGACCGTCGTGTCATCGCCTTCATCCTGACCCTGTTGGGCGCCATTGCCGGTGGAGGCATCAGCAAAGCCACGGGCAACATCTGGGCAGCTCTGTGGATCATCGGAGGTCTCAAGTTCTTCATGGCCGTTGCGTTGTCCTTCTGGCACGTCAAATAAGTAAATAGTTAGCTTCCTTCTTTTTTGTTCTTTACTCCCTCTTGGCATTTTCCCTTCTGGTTGTGCTTCGTTAGCCATCCTTATAAATTAGACCGTTCTGCTTTCGCTCCCACTTCCACTTCCATTCTGCCACACCCACACATTTATCGGGGCCAAGTTATCCGCCACCCACGAAGCCCGAAAATACCTCTCCAACACGACCTCCTCGTAGCTCTGATCATCGACACAATAATCCCCTCCGGACGGGCCAATATGCGCACAATGCACATTAGGATTCAACCGGACCATATTATCATGCACCTCCCGACACAGCAGCGTATTCCTTCCCATCTCATACGGCTGCCCAAAGCGGATTTTCTGTGTCAGAAACACATAGCAGTCCTGCGCCGAAGCATACTGCCGATTCCTACCTAGACAATACTCCTCTTCGGTGTGACATATCGTCCTAGCGAACAGATCCGCCACCTTGGCACGAGTCTCCGCTTCATTCCTCGTGTGGAACTTGCGTCCTGCGGCTTGGAGAATCTGCACAAATAACCAGTCTAGCCATCGGAAAACGGCGTCGTACTGGGTGACTTGGCCAACGGAATTGAATTCGAACCAGGCGGTGATTACCCCCGGAATGACCAGGTCGAAGGTGCTGATGTTGAAGGTGAGGACGACAGTCGAGGCGACGGTGTTTTGTGTCGCTGCAAATTGGGTGATGTTGTAGGCGATGGGGACGCCGAAGATGCTGGGGTGAGTGGGTTGAGAGAAGAGACCGAAGATGTATTCGTTGTTGAGGTCGCGGTTGGTGAAGGTGCGGGTCACGTCGACGCGTCCTTGGACCTATCACTACTTAGATAATTTATGCAAAAGGATGGATGATGGTTGATATATAGGGGAAGGGGAGGGGAGTACATTGTCGGAGAAGATGGAGGTGTCGTTGGGGTTGATATGGGCGGTGTTGGCTGGGTAGAGGAAGTTGTCCCAGAAGTGGGTGGTGAGGGACCAGAGTTGGTCGACGGTGTAGCTGGTGGTCGGGGAGATAACAATTTGCAGGAGTAGTAGGTAGTAGTACATGATGGTGACTTCAATTGGATATCGTCTAACTATATAGACAGTGACATCTACTGGTACGTCTACCGAGTGGGAATAATTGCAGCCTGTCATCGTGGCAGTGTAGTGGGCATCAAGCATGAACTATATATATCGGACGGCACAGGGTACCCCATTCTTCATGCAGCATCTAGGCATCAGAATAAATCCCTGTTCTTGCAGCAGTAGTTGCAATTAGCTTAATCTCCTCTGTGTCAGACGAAGCATGTTACATGGAAACCAAGCCGATGGGAAGGACAGACGGACTGTCACCATGTGCAAGATCTAAGCCATGGCTGATATGTCTGCACGGGGAGTCAGGCTGATGGAAGCTGGCTCACGAGCTGACCCACCAATAATGGCCTGCAATACGAGTCATCCTGCGACACCCCCCCATATCCGCACCGATAAGCCTTATGGGGTAAGCTACTGCGTGGGTGCCACCACATCAGCCACACGGCAGACAGACTTCACGACGTCTCTGTGATTCCGCGGCAATCGGGACCCTAACTTTTACCGAACACGATGACTACTGAACACTAACTTATCAATTGCGATCAACCTGTCACTTGCCATTCTCGTGAATTCCCCGCATCACTTCTCGGAATGGTTCCGGCGGACGGAATCATCGGAAGTCAGTTCGGTTATACTTATAGTCAGAGTGGGATGCATTGCTTTTCCCAGACAAGCGTATACAAAAAGCAAACCAACATAGCAATGGCTACCGTCACTCTCACCGGCGTCAAAGGCCGCCAAATCCAAGGTACTATACCCTAACCCCCACCTTCATTTCAATACACCCCTCTCCTAACACCACCAGTCCCCACCACCCTCTTCATCAACAATGAATTCACCCCGGCCTCCACCACCGAGACCCTGACCATCGAGAACCCTTCCACCGGCACCCCACTCGCAACCGTCTCCTCCGCCAGCCCAGCGGACGTCGACCGCGCCGTGCACTGCGCCACACAAGCCCTCCCCGCATGGAAAGCCACCCCGGGCGCCATCCGCGGCACCCTCCTGCACAAACTCGCCGATCTGATCGAGCGCGACGCGGAGGACTTGGCATCCCTTGAAGCCCTGGAGGGTGGGCTCCTCTACACCGACAGCATGAACATGAGCATGCCCCAATCCATCTCCACCCTTCGCTACTATGCCGGCTGGGCCGACAAGATCGACGGCAAGACGCTGCATCTCCCCGACGGCGGAGTGGGGTACACTTTCCGCGAGCCATTGGGTGTCTGTGCCGCCATTGTACCCTGGAATGCGCCTCTGTATGCCCTCCCCGTACCCCCCCATACGCAGACCATCAACCCAACTGACAACCCAATTCCACAGAATGATAACAATCTGGAAACTCGCCCCGGCCCTCGCAACAGGAAACTGCCTGATCATCAAACCCTCCGAACTAACCCCGCTGTCTGCCCTAAAGCTCGCCCTCTTAATCCGCGAAGCAGGCTTCCCCGCCGGCACAGTAGCCATCCTCCTCGGCGACGGGCCTAAAGCTGGCAATGCTCTCTCCTCGCATCCCGATATCCGCAAACTCTCATTCACGGGCTCCACTGTCGCCGGCCGCGCCATCCTCCACGCCTCGGCATCTAGTAACCTGAAGCAAATCTCCCTCGAGCTGGGAGGTAAAGGCCCCTCAATCGTATTCTCAGACTGCGATCTAGCCAACGCGTTACTGTGGACGCGCATCGGGATCACGGCGAATAACGGACAGATCTGCGCGGCAGGGTCGAGGATCTATGTCCAGCGGGGCATTTACGATAAGTTCCTGGAAGAGTATGCGCGGTTATCTCGGGAGGAGAAGCCCGTGATCGGGGATGCGTTGGACGAGAAGACGACGAAGGGGCCGGTGTCTAGTGCGGCGCAGCTGCAGAAGATCTTGGGGTATGTGGAGGAGGGGAAGAAGAGGGGAGTGAGGGTGTTGTTTGGGGGGGAGAGGATCGGGGAGAAGGGGTATTTCGTGCAGAATACGGCGTTTGCGGATGTCGGACAGGGGGAGAAGATGATGAGGGAGGAGATTTTTGGGCCGGTTGCTGTATGATTTCCTTCTATTCCCTTTGATACATGACCACTGTGGATGGGGGTACTAACGAAAGCAGTGCATTGCCCCCTTCGACACCGAGGAGGAAGCCATCGCGTTGGCCAATGATTCCGCGCACGGACTCAGCTCCGCTATCTTCACTAATGATGTGAACCGCGCGCATCGCGTCACTGCGGGGATCGAATCCGGTCAGGTTACTGTGAACGCATGGTCAATGCTAGCGGCGAATGCGCCGTTCGGAGGAGTGAAAGAGAGTGGGTTCGGACGGGATATGGGAGAAGAGGCGTTGGAGGGATGGACGACGGTTAAGGTGGTTAAGTATAATATTCTGCCTCCGGCGGCGGCTAAGCTGTAAGTTACATAGTAGGGATGTTCACATGTGATGATAAGGACATTATAAGAAGGAGGAAGGAAGTGGGTTAATGCAAATAAAAAGGATCATTAGAGTACCGCTCATACAGCTCCGGATACCATTTCTTCCCGACGTCAGGGTGGCTGATGATTCGGTTGCGGAGGTAGGCTTCGCCGAACTACACCCAAGGTATATTAATAGGTATCCCCGTGCTGCAATGTTAGAGGGATGGGTTGAGGGGAACCTACACATGCAAACTTTTCCGAAAGAAACTCACTCGGCACATCCTCCGCCCTGCGCTTCATCTCATCCTCATCGGACCACTTCCCCGCAGGGACCTTCTCAACAATATGTCTCGCCGACTCGCGCAGATTCGACAACGTCAAGTCCATCCGTATCCCCATGAAGAAGGGGATACTGTATCTCGTTGTATTCTTCGGTGCCTGCACTTCCATCAACATCCCACTTTTACCCGAAGTATGTAAACAAGAAAACAAGGGAAAAGAGAAGACATACAACAACCCTATGCACCGTCGCACTGCAAACACCCCCAGTAATCGCCTCAAACCCCTGCTGAATATTCACCACCAACGCCCCCTCATCCTCCAGTGGGGGGACATCAATCCAGTCACCGCGTTTATTAAGGACCTGTAACCCACCTGTTGTATCCTGAGAGAGGAAGGTGAATAAGCCCGTTGAGTCTTTATGTGGGCCTACGCCTTGGGATTTCTCTTCCCCAGAGGAGGAAGAAGGTTGAGGCGGATACTTGATGAACTTCAGTCTGTCCATTGCGCCCCTGTACGTGTCGAAGGTTGTCGGCGGGAGGGAGAGGGACTCGGCGACGTACTGGAGGAAGGTGTTGCTTAGGGGGATGAAGGATGTTATGTATTTTTCTACGAGGGATTTGGTGGCTGGTGTAGGGTACTGGTTTTGGCCTTCGAGGCGGGACCAGATTGGTGTTGATGGATTGGAGGAGTAAGGTGGGAGATTGGGGGTGCCGAAGTCGAATTGCTGCGTTGGATTGCGGTATGTTAGGGTATATGTCGTGTGTGAGTAGAGAAGGAAATGGGAGGGGGAAATACTTCTCGCATGTCGGTTTTGAGGGCGGTGGTTTCGGCTCCGAGACGCGTATAGCCTAGGAAGGAGGGCGAGTTGATCATGTTGGTTTGTTCTTTGGTTTCGGGTGGGAGGGAGATGAGGTCTGGGAGTGCGGCGTGCGCGCGTTTGGTGAGGGACTGCAGTGGTTGTTCTTTTAGTAGGTGATTGGGTGCTGGTGGTGGTCGGCTGCTTACTTCCAGTCCATGGTTCGTGAGATATAAGAATCCTACGAGGAAGATGGCGTCGCGGAGTTGAGCGAGGGTTTCAGCTTTTGTTTCTGGGTCTTGGAGACGCTGGAAGTCGATGATGGGGACGGAGGTGAAGTCGGACATTGTGATGGCATTGGCGAAGTTGGTGATGTTGATGTGGTGAGGGGAAGTGAGGGGAATTGGACGGATGCCATTGTTGGCGCTGAGTAATAAGCTGATGGTTTACTGCGGGTGCAGATGGCGTGATCGTGCTGGTTGTATACATGGCTAAATCACATACACTGGGAAGAGGATGAAGGAACATGATGTTGAAGTGTTTGTATTTTCTAACGGCCTTCTGAAGGGAGGAATTTTGGTCAAGTGCGCAGGTGAGTGGGATTGTGTGAAAAACTTCTTACTGGCCAAGATAGTTAACGGCCTACACATAGCAAACAGGGCTAGTTTCTACTCACTAGATAATCTAAGAAGAAAGCTAAGGGTTCGGAAAATGCAGTTCGTGAGGATGTACCGTCATGGATACGGGTGCTTAATCTCGGTAATGCTATCATCCCAACACCCCTTACCATTCTAGCGGTGTGCTCTCCAGGTCCACAATCTATCAAAAACATCGCTAGTCTTCACCACTTCAGCTGTTATGCGAAATGACTGCATCGAATATAGTACGTCTAGTCCAGTGGTGGAAGAATTCAGCAAGGGTCCTCAACCGCCGTGATGTCAACTATCCAAAAAGATGGGGTCATAGACCTGCACATCATCGTCGCCTCCTGCATTGCCGACGACCTGTCACTAATGAAGAAAAGCCCAATCGACACACCTAGACCGCGCACATGATATATTAGCTGCTTCACATATCTACCATAGGTGGAGAATCAGAGTCACTCAAGAACAGCCAAGCAACTGGAGCTCCCTTGCCATCAATCATCTGAAGACGGCGCTTAAATCGTGACAAAAATGGGCAGCAAAGGAACGGATGAAACGGAGCCATCCGAAGGTAGAAATGGAGGCACTCCATTGCCGAGAACGACCGGTGCTTGGCCTTCTTGTTTCTGCTGAACCGTGGCTCTTACGCTTCCATGGTGAGCTGATGACTACAAACGTGATCATACTCTGGTAGCAGCTATACCTCCCTGAGCCCTCTCACACGGAACTCTAAAATGGATAGAATGACTTCTTCCTATCCCTGTACAAGTACAATGACGATGTTAACATTGACAGCATTGCTGTCTCCGAAGGAACCCCATCAGTGCTGGACATAACCTATCCCGCACTCCACGGAACCGTGCCACTGTGGAGGATTAACCCCTGATTGATTATTCTTGCCAAGTTATTTTGCTCCTTCGGCTCCCGCAAAATGACTCGTACACCACTCAGAATCTTCCGGGGGCCATGTCCAGACGCGCCAAGCATCGCAGCCGGTGTTCCTGAGCGGACACTAGTCGTGAATGGCACGGACAGTTCCACCGCACAGCCACGATGGACCCAGACTTTAGCTCTCTTGGCAGCATCGCTGAAACGCCAAGTGCCGTTGGTGGAATTCATCTCCCAGCATAATATCCACCTCTGGACAACGTCTTTTCTCACGATGCTCCCTCCCTGTTATGCGAGTGGTGCGATCCAGCTTCATCCGTACGGGGCTTGACCGGCATCTTGGCAGTCGCATCCAAAGAACCTGCGGCTTCACCTCGTCACGGTTGCTATGTTGATTGAAAGTCCACCTATGAAGGTACCAGCCAAGCCTGGAGACAGTCCTGGTGCTTAAAGTGATTTAAGACTAGTCTTGGAGCTCACGATGCTGCCGACCCGTCTATATAAAGGGAGCAGGTAGAGACCTGAACCATATCCCAGAACAAGCCTCTCACATCGTCTTTCCTTTCTCTCATCCCCAACTACCTTTCCATTCTTTCTCTCTCCTAGTTACAATGACCAACTTCAAGTGGATCGTTGCCGCCGCCGGTCTCCTGTCTGGACAGGTCCTGGCTGCTCCTACTGCCACTTCTACCCATGCCAAGCGCGCAACCGTCAGCGACGTAAGCACCCTCCCTGTGAAGAACCCCACAGATATTGACATTGGCAGGCTGCGTTCGGCTATGCTAGCCTGAACGGCGGCACCACCGGTGGTGCCGGCGGTACTACCACTACCGTCTCGTCCTACGCTGCCTTCACCTCCGCTGTCTCCGGCGATGACGCCAAGGTCGTCTACGTCGACGGTACCATCAAGCAGACCGCCGACCAGGTCAAGATTGGCAGCAACACCTCCATCATCGGCAAGGACGCCAACGCCATCCTCGAGGGATTCGGAGTGTAAGCACGTCCCAACAAGAGGGAGCTGAATTAAGCTTACATGCAACAGTCTCGTCAAGGAGAAGGAGAACGTTATCATCCGTAACCTCGGAGTCTCCAAGGTCCTTGCTGACAACGGCGATGCCATTGGTGTCCGTACGTGACACCCACTCATCCTGCACACCCTACCATATGCTAATTCAAGCAGAGTACTCCAACAACGTCTGGATCGACCACTGCGATGTCTCCTCCGACCGTGACCACGACAAGGACTACTACGACGGTCTGATTGACGTATGCCACCCACCACCAGCATCATACCAAAAGGGTTCCCACTCACTAACAACTACTAGATTACCCACGGCTCCGACTACGTGACCGTCTCCAACACCTTCATCCACGACCACTGGAAGGCCTCCCTGGTCGGCCACTCCGACAGCAACGAGGACGAGGACAGCGGCCACCTCACCGTCACCTACGCCAACAACTACTGGTACAACATCAACTCCCGCGCTCCCTCTTTCCGCTTCGGTACCGGCCACGTCTACAACAGCTACTACCTGGACGTCAGCGACGGCATCAACACCCGTGACGGCGCCCAGCTGCTCGTCGAGTCCAACCAGTTCGTCGACTCCAAGAAGGCTCTCTACTCCACCGACGATGGCTACGCCGTCTCCAACGACAACGACTTCGGTGATTCTGAGAACACTGCCGAGGAGGGTACCCTGACTTCCATGCCTTATGACTACACCCTTCTTGGCTCCGCCAACGTTAAGGCTGCTGTCGTCGGCACTGCCGGTCAGACTCTTACTTTCTAAGCGTGCTGTGATGTGCTTGGGATATTAGTTTAGTAGGCTGAGGTTGACTATGCCTTTGTCATTCTTCTTATCTTGGTATCTGCAGGACAGCTATTTAGGCCCTAGCTTGTGACCTATCCTAGGGTCGTTATTTAGTTATTGCTCGAATTGCAATTAATTGAGGCAACATGATCACAATTAGCGTAGATGACTGCATATATTTCATAAATCGCATAACGTCCATGCACAGCATAATGCAAGCCAGTGAACATATCGGCAAATCCTCGGCCTCACTCCGTTCAGACTAGTACTCCACATCCCACACAACCCGCCTGTCCAGACCCACCTATTCAACCAGCTTAATCCGTAGAGTATTCCTGATTAAGTCCGCGGTAGGCACAACTTACCCACCCACTAACCGGTTCATGAAATATCCACACATCACACAACAGACAAACACAACCATAGCTCATCCGGACACCACCGGATTCCCGATCCTCACGGGAAATCATTTCGTGGAGCACCATGTTCTTCCCTGCCTACATCCTTACTACAACTGCAACAAAAGCAATAATATAGTAGGCTGTGTCGGGTAGGGCATTCCAAAAACCCTTGTCCTGAAAGCTTGATTTCGCCCTCTTCGGAAAACTCATCGATTGGGTAACGTTGATGTATTGGGGTAATTTGTTTTCGGGGTGGGTTGGTCTTGATGCCTGCATTTGCATATGCATCTGTAGGTGCTACTGGAACCGGACTGGGTAAATAGAAATCTAGATTCAGATCAGTATCCTGATGAGGAATGTGAAGCGTAATGCTATGCCAGTGATGCTATACCCTGGATTAGTGTTACCCTATGATTGTGATGTTGGACATCCATGCATTTGCTTAGATTAATTGCGTCTGCATGGACAAGGATACAGATGTAGGTTAGATAGCGACGGATAAGGATAAACCCACGACCAGCGAACTCCGAGGCATCGAGTTAATAGATGATAGGGATATCATGCTCTAGGCTCAATATATTGATTATCACTAGTAAACTACCATAGCATCTAATTTCCAACCAATGCATCTATACTATTGCACCTTCCCCACCCCTCTATCCACTCTAACCACACAAACAACCGGCCAAACCTGCAACACGACCGCCCCAACCATCAAGCAACCCGAAAACACCTGCGCACGAACAAAGTCCGCCGTTTCCAAGTTCACCAACGCCCCTGCAACAGGCGTGCCCACCAACGACCCAAACGAACTAATCCCCCACATCATGCCCATTCTCGTCCCGAGGAAGTCACTGTCAGGACAGAATGCTTTATGGGCGACAATGGAAGTCGGAGCTGTGACCAGCACCCCGCTCACAAAACCCCAGTAACAGGCCCAGACGATGAATCCCGCTGTGTTTGTCGTCGCGATCCAGGTGAACATGGCTACTGCGGCTGCCGCGACGAAGGCGATCAGGATGAAGATGGGCTTGATGCGGGTGCCTCCCGAGGCGAGGAAGTAAGGTACTGTGCGGCCGAAGGCGGAGGCGCCGTTTGTGATGGAGACGAGGTAGAAGGAGAGACTGGTGGGGGTGTTGAGAGCGGAGCGGGCGTAGGTGGCGATGTAGAAGATAGGGACGTAGTAAGCGAGCATGACGCAGGTCATAGAGAGTGAGAGAAGCATGAAGGGGAGGTGAGTCAAGGCTTTGAGTTCGATGAGGCTTCTCGTGCGGGTTTTCTTGCCTGGTCGACGGCAAAGGATAGCGCAGGTAATGAGGGCGAGGAAGAGGTTAATGAATGCGATGCAGCGGACGCTCCAGGCGAAGTTGATGATGGGTTGGACTTGGCGGAAGAGGATTGGAAATATGACGCTACCGACGCTGGATCCGATAGAAGCGCAGCCGATGGCGATGGGGCGCTTGGTGGTGAAATGCGAGGAGATGACTACCATTGCTGGGATATAGGTGATGCCACCACCTATTCCGACGCAGAAGCCCTGTGCCAGAAGAACCTGGTAGTATTCTGTTGCTAGGCTGAGCATCATCATCCCGAACACGACTAGGAAGGATCCGCTGACGATCAAGGGTCGGAGGTAGCCTGAGTCCACTAGGGGGCCGGTCACCATACCGACCATCACGATCAGGGTGGCTTGGATACTACCGATCCAGGAGATCGTGGAAGGTGATTCGTCCGGGAGGAGGACGGTTTGGTAGAATTCCTGGAAAGCGCCATAGCAGCTGATAAGGCCCCTGCTGGATGTTAGGACTGTGTTTGGGGATTAGTGATGGGTGTAGGTACCAGGAGTTGACAAAGACGCAGAAGCCCGCCAGTACACTGAGCCAACCTTCCAGTCCTCCGTTGGGCATCGGCTGTGTCTCTGAACTAGCCTCGGTTGGTGGCTGGAGGTGTTCGTCATGCTCGTTGGACAGCTCGTTTGGAGCTTCTAGTCCCTCATTCTGTATGCCCATTTCCGCTCTAATCTAGGTCTATTATATGCCGTACATGGAGTCTATAAGGAGAAAAAGAAAATGAATACCGGTCGGAAGTCTCGAACGACCAAAATGTCGGGCGTAAGCTCGGTTAGATGGTAGACGATGATTCCTACCCCAACTTTCGGTTCCCCGCAACGGCAAATGTGGAGTTGGGGTTGGAGTCAAGATCGGGGAACCTTGGCGTCCCAGTTCCTGGAGTGGCAAAGCCCTTTGCCGGGAGTCGCCTACAAAATAGGGTTGACTGACTCGTTTCTGGTCTATGGTCGAATTATCCGATACTACTTTAATGTTCAAAATTGCCCGCCAAACATGCAGATGGATTGAACAATGCAATACTAACCTGCGCGACAAATACGTGACTTTCGAAATTGATAAAAGCTACCGGTTTTGATCCCTAGTGCAGGGTATACAAACAGCAGGCATATCAAAAATGTTTTCAATATGGATAGTAGTCTTTTCGAGCCAGCTAATTCGGCAGACATTAGGAGACAATGTATATACACCCGTAGCACAGTTCTAGCACTGGAACACCTTGCTAGCCAGATATTACAATAGAAGCTTTACACCAGATTTGTTAAGCCCTCACAGTTCGACATGGGTGTTTTGGGGTTAAACTGGATATCATATGGTGCCACTAGAATGCGATTTGGATTTCTCCCTGAACTCGAAAGATCCGTGTATCGCGCCGGAGTAGAGGCTGAATGGTGCATATTACTCCTGTATTTCACAGTCAGTTGTAAACGCAAATGAATAAACTCGTTTTTTAGTCCCGAACTTACATCGGTCTCCTCCTCATCGCGAACGAAAATATCCTCCAGGGTCTTAGCTGGCCTGGTACCAATCGCACGTAAACCCCGAGCACCTCGATCGACGAGCCAGTCGTACGTCACAATGGACGCGTAAACACTGGCCATATGATCCTCGTTATCCTCGTCTGTGTCCTCCGCCGCAATATCCATTGTCCCACATGCCATCATCATGCACTGCAACAGGAACTCATCGACTCCGTGTGTATCAAGTGTGCGATTTCCGGGCGGAAGGAGAACGGTGATGTTGGCGGCTGCAGTAAATTGCACCAGTTCAGCAATGAGGAAGGGCCAGGTTTTGAATCGCATGGTTGGCAGCGATAATGACTTGTTAGTGGTGCGCGAACGAACGAAGAAATCAGTCAAGAATTGGGGAGGTTTTGGTGTCCTTCGATGACCTTGGAAAGAGTGCTTCAGCGGAACGGAACATGACAAACTCTCCTACAACATAACATAATACAAAGATATGACCTTGTAAAGATATAAATATTTGACCATTTTCCCCAATAATCCTTTAATAGGTCTCGAGGCTCGTAGCGATGACATGGTTTTCTCATTTCAGGGAGCCATGATATTCATGGCCCCACCCGTAATCAGTACTAAATCCGCCATCTGTCATATCTGGATGACTCACTGGAGGCTCATCCAAGTAGGCGCATGCTTACCCGGAATACTGATGTAGAAGAAAAGAAGAGGTTAGAACGAACCTCTACGGCAAAGCGAGCAACACCGATTGATTTAACCAATCCAGTGACTGGGAACTCTGGTCAAATTTCATCGCGCTGGATATTGAATTACGAACTATTGCTCACGGGCAGTGTGCGGGCTCCTCGCTCATTATGCACTAACATCAACAAGCGCTATCGCCGGGCATTTATTGTACTAGCTAGATAAGGCCACGATGGAGTGTCCCAGTACCCACATCCGCAGTGCTTAGAGCCTTAAAAAGGTCGCGACGCGTCATCCGATCAGGCAGCATCTGCACACCTAAATGCTTAGCAAGGTCTATTACGTCCTAGTAGTGATGTAAGTAACGAAATTATGTTTATAGTCTTAGTCATGTAGGAGAACGTTCTCTTCGGTTTGTGTTACGGTCTTCCCAATGTGAACGGCCTAAACGATGAGGATATAAGTGCGATTACACCTAACATTAATGATTTCAAAAGAGACGATGGATATTTTCATTTGTTCTATGGTAGGCTCCATTTAGCACTCGACACATCCACAGGCCCGCAATATCATCTTCCTACCCAGCCTATCTAGCGGTAGTCCGCAAACAAAGCACCATGGAGATGATTTAGGATTTTGTAGGAGGACAACGAAGTCCTGGAAAATTTAAAATTGATAAAGGACCGCCGGGAAGACATCTCATCGTCGAAGAATATGAGCGATAATACAGTTGAGAGGTTCTTTATGAGAATGCTTTGTGGGGCTCTTAACAAGACCCTTTCCCCCAAAAGTCAAGGATCCCTTGATTCATCGTCATAAAGGCTGTGTGAAAAAAACGGAGTAGCTCAACAAAATACTCTTTACGAGTCTCTATGGTAGGTACCATCGCTATGGCGGGGAATATGTCTATATGGTTGAAACCCTTTGTATCTTATCCAATTTGAGACTGTCATAATAGCAATGGTTGTCGGAAATCCGAGTCCAAATAGTTTGTCAAGGAAGGCACTTGCCACTAGATTGGGGTTCGCTCTCCACTCTACCCGCCCTCTTTTTTTGTACCCTTTAATGAACCATATCTCGGTATTTTCACCTTCATTTGAATTTGTACTTCCCAGAGGGTCATGTACACATCGGAGAATGCCATGCAAGATCTGTCTTTTTTGCTAATGACAGCAACCAGAGAAGTGGAATGGTCCGCATATCGAGAAGCCAGTTGGCTTACCACTAGTGGGTTTCTTTGGCGACATGGCAGTCAGAGTTTACCTAGTGTATACCAGTTGATAGGATCGTAAGTAACTGCTGTCTATTTATATGACTTCAGGTATCTCATTTCCCTCACAATATCTAATATCATATCACGTCTTACTATTCCCAACCCGACATCAGCTCAACAAACGAACTCATTCATAATGCTAGGCGAACTACCTGGTGAGGTCCTGCAGTGCATCGCAGACTGCCTAAATACCGCAAAAGATCGGAACAACCTTGCAAAAACAAGTCGGCGGCTCTATCGATGCACCAACACCTTGCTTTATCAGTGGGATATGTATTATCGTATGGGTTACGCAATAAAATGGGCTGCGGAGAATGAACGAGAGACAACAGCCCGATTGTCACTAGCGATAGCTCGCACGCCAGAATCATTGGATGTTGCGGGATTCGCTCTATTGCTAGCAACTAAGCTGAGACATGAGGCTGTGATCAGAATCATACTATCTACGAAGGGAGTCAACCTTAACTTTAGTGTGCATGGGAGGACCCCGCTTTGGCACGCAGCGGCAAACGGATATGAAGGGATTGTGAAAATGCTACTCAACATGAAGGATGTCAACCCCGACGAGCAGGACCATTGGGGTGGAACACCATTATGCATTGCAGCACAATACGGGCATCTAGAGGTAGTCAAGTTGTTGCTTGCCACCAAGCGGGTGAATCCAGGTCATCGAGACAGCTGGGGAGACACCCCGGCCATCAGAGCAGCAGCAGGAAGGTATGAGAAAATAGTGATGTTATTACTCAATACTGAAGGTGTCGATCCTCATTCCCAGAATAGTCATGGCTGGACCATCCTGTCATGGGCGATAATACGTGGTCTGCAACAGGTAGTCGAATTCCTGCTTGCTACCCAGGGAATTGACCCAGATCTTAGAGACTCTGACGGATTTACTCCATTGTCCAGAGCAGCAGGGGCTGGAAGAAAGCAAGTAGTTTCACTACTGCTCGGCACGGGAAAGGTGAACCCCAATTCTCTAGCGAATTCCCGAGAGACACCGCTGTCCATCTCCGCAAACTATGGCTATGCGGCAATCGTCAAGATGCTTATTACCGCAGGTGCAAATATCCATACTCGAGACGAAATGGGAGCGACGGCACTCATGTATGGCGCGAAATCTGGAAATCTGGAACTCGTCGAAGCGCTTCTTGCTGCAGGTGCAGGCATTCACATCCGAGATAATGACGGTGCAACTGCCCTCATATATGCTGCGGAATACGGAAAGCTCAAAATTGTTGAAACACTTCTGGCTATAGGTGCAGATGTTCACATTGCAGATAACTTTGGAGAGACAGTACTCATACACGCTGTTGGATCCGGAAATGCGAAAGTGGTTGAAGCGCTTGTTGCTGCAGGCGCAGAAATCAATATGGGAGATAACTGGGGACAAACACCACTTTTTCACTCTGTACTGCATAGAGGCTTGGAGGTTCTTAGCTTCCTTATTGCTAAAGGTGCAGATCTTGACGTCCAAACTACTGATGGGACGACAGCACTCACTCAGGCTTCGAATTATGGATATGATGTGAAAATAGTCAAAGCGCTTATTGCTGCAGGAGCAGGACTTGACATCAGAGACAACAGCAGTGATGGATATGGAGGCACACCCCTTTTGAATGCGGTTAATTGTAAGGCGGAAGTAGTGGTTGAAGCTCTACTTTCTGCAGGCGCCATGCCTGATATCGGGAATGGCCGAGGACAGACCCCCCTTGCGAGGGCAGCCGTGGAGGGACATCCGAAGATATTTAGGCTTCTATTAGAAGCAGGAGCAAATCCACACATTGCCGATCGTGAAGGATGGACTCCGTTGGCATACCTATCACGAGTTCGTCAGGACAATGTCCAACACCTCAAATTACTTCTTGCTGCGGGTGTGAATGTTAATGTCAAAACCCAGGATGGATGGACGCCATTGGCGCTAGCAGCTAACTGCGGTAGTCTGGAGGCGGTGAAGATTTTACTTGCAGCGGGGGCAGACCCAAACTCTGGAACACCCCTAACAAAAGCAGCGTTTCACGAACACCTGGAGATTGTGAAAACACTTCTTGCCGCAGAAGGCATCGATACGGATTTGAAGGGTAGTGACTGGCTGCCAGCGCTGTGGATAGACAGACAGCCGGGCTATTCAAGAGCGGCGGACTTGATACATCAGCACAGAATGCTTAAAATATGGTTTAAAAAAATGATGGGTGGGTGTAATCCTTAAACCCACTTAGTCTTGTTAGTTGCTAGTGTAGTTATACGGGCTCTGGCCAGATACCTACGAAATAACTCTGCTGCTCAAGTTTCCCACAACACATAAAAGATGTTGTGCCCCGAACCATAGAACTAGAATCTACCAAGAGGCAAATCTTCCAAAGCCGCCTAGGAACAACGATCTAGATGTGTCGCTGGAAGGGTCCGTGTCGGGCCGATTACGGCGACGATCGCCCACAATGTCCCCGCTCCATCCCTTGAAGCGGAAATTGCTGGCTGCTCATCCCCAATCTTGGCGTAGTCCATGGCTTCAGATCAGCCGAGAAACCTCCGATATAACCAACTAGTGAACATATAACACTCTATATCCCCGACTGTTCATCTGGAAACTTAGCATCCATCACCTTCGTCCGTGGCCAACGTCCTCATGGCCCATAATCTGTCCATCGCTGGCGTGCAGCTTGAGCTCTCCCAGGCCACCGCAGGATTCGAATACTACGACAGTCGATTCCTCAACATCACAGGCAATGCCCCAAAACTTGAAGTTCTTCTAGAGAACAATGACTTCCCATTCGCTCACGAAGCAAGTGTCTTCATCCCATCCACAGACGAACTTTTCATGACCAGCAACATCTTCACCGATCCCCTGACCAATCAGTCAACTATCAAGATCTCTAAAGTGTCCCTCAGCACCAACCCAATTACATCAGAAATAATCAACACCACCATTCCTCTGCCCAATGGAGGCGTCAATCACGACTCCGGCATTCTCTTCTGCGGTCAGGGTACACTCAACCAATCTGGAGGTCTATTCCAGATGTCCCTTGACCCGCCATATGAATCCGAGCTCCTGATCAGTGGATTTTACGGTCGGGAATTCAATTCCCTAAATGATGTGGTTGTTCACAGCGACGGCTCCATCTGGTTCACTGATCCTACGTACGGATACGAACAGGGCATCCGGCCTGCGCCGCAGTTGCCGAACCAAGTCTATCGCTATGACCCGACTACCGGGGATGTGCGTGTCATCGCGGATGGGTTTGGTCGCCCGAATGGCATCGCTTTTTCTCCGGATGAGAAAGTAGTGTATATTACTGATACGGCGTATACGGTTGGTGATGGAACGACGGATCCGACTAAGCCTTCCACTATGTATGTTCTTTTCCCTCCTTTCCTGATAGTTCCTTTTCCACTCTTTCAAATACTCGAAAGCATGGTATACTATTTCACGTTTATAGTTTGGCTGATATGGAACCATCCAGCTATGCATTCGACATCACCACCTACCACGGCCAGCCATTCCTGACTAACCGTCGCGTTTTTGCGATGGCGGCTAACGGTATCCCGGATGGGATCAAGACCGATATGGAAGGCAATGTGTACGCTGGCTGCGGGGACGGTGTTAATGTCTGGTCGCCCGGTGGTGTCTTGTTGGGGAAGATTTACATCAAGAGCGGCGTGGCTAATTTTTCATTTGGACGCAATGGGCAGATGTTTATTATGAACGAGAATAAACTGTTGTCTGCACAGCTTGGCCATTGGGTAAGGGGTTCGCTCTTGAAGATTTGAAATTCTGAATTATTCGGCCTTGATATAGGGTTTTTATGCTGAGGTTAGGGTACATGCACGATGATGCTTATCTGTTAGTCCGGAAAGATTCCTAATGATTTTATATCGAAGTGGGGTTTGCCCTGGAATTGATCGGTCCTGAAGCAGTACACGTTCCTTCTATTATAGTATCTGGATACCGAAGTCGATGTATATATTGCAAACAAGAGGGCATAGCGAGGAAAGCAGCATCGTCTTCGACAGTAGTGGCAGTCACATATAATATGGCTAATACACAATTACAGACAGTATTGGGGAAAAACTGAAATTTTATACTAGTATGATATTTCAAATTTAAAGCCCCGAACAACAACATTGAATCTTGCTTTATCAGAAAAAAAAAATTGTTTACACTATACTTTGTAACCTCTTGCTAGATACAGATATCGCTTCCTCCTGTACCAAATCCATATGTAGCCTTCTTAGCCCCTCGCACCGCGTTCGGCACCTCTTCAGGTCCAACTGTATCTCCAAGCACCTTTGTTCCAATGCAGAGTATTCACATGACTCCAGACGCGCTGTATCGAGAAGCTGCCACTGACTTTGTATTTCCTTCTGCAGAGCATGAATTTCTCTTGTGCGCATATGAGATATATCGTATGAGCATCTAGTATATCACGATTGCTCAAGGATGACAATAAACATGGCAAGAGTTCTGGTTCCGAGCACTTAGTATTCATTAGTAACGGCTTTGGTGGACAAATAAGGTAAGGACTTACAGGATACGAGTGTGAGGGTGCAGATGTACACTGGAAGAGGTGCATTGCTGGTAGATGAAACGAAGGAATAAATGCGTGTTTCGAAGCAGATTAGGGAGGCCAGAGACTTCAGAGGTTTGTGGACACTGATGGGTAGTTGGTCAAAATAGGACGACTTCAGGTGTCAATGCAATATGACAAGCGGTTTCACTGTAGCTGGAAGCTTAAACCCCTCGAAGACCCGGTGGCGCGACCACAGGGCAACATAGTTTGGTATCTAAAGTGGAGCCGGCATGTTGCTGTTCAGCCCGAGTACGAACATCCATTTCGGGAAGAGCCACTCGGTCTTGGGGCTCCACTATCCCTAGACTCTTTCTTAAGATTGACTATGGATTGTACCCCGTCTACGTCAGATGCTGAGGAATAAAAGGACTTTTCCATGCAGAGAATTGTGTGCATCTGTAACACTCTTTTCGTATGCTCCTGGCCTTCTTTAGCGGCCATGTCAAACTTTTCCATTTGCTCCCCTGCGGCCATTCAGACCCCGGTCGTCTACGGGGCTGAGATTCTTTCTCTTTCGGCCGCTTGGGTCACAAATTATACCGATTACATCCCTTCCTCGTTCAACTACAACGGAGGAACTGTTGACCTAGAAAATGCCAAATTCTGCAACATCACCGTGAAATACACTCATCCCGGCTACGAGAAAAACATCACCGTTGAGACCTGGCTTCCCGAACCGGCCAACTGGAACGGCCGTCTGCAGGCAACAGGAGGTGGTGGATGGGCTGCTGGCCGGTTTGTGCTGTCCGAGTTCTTCATGGGAGGTGCAATTGGGGAAGGATTTGCTACAACCACAACCGATGCAGGACTGGGCAAGGATACTACAGGACCCCGTGAATGGGCGCTCATCAGCCCGGGCAATGTTGATTGGGTGGCAGTGGAAAACTTTGGATCCCGTGCATTCAGTGACCAAGCCATCATTGGCAAGGGCCTTATAAATAGCTTCTACGGTCGTGCCCCCGAGTATTCTTACTGGAGCGGTTGCTCTCAGGGAGGCCGGCAGGGAATGATGATCGCTGAGCGCTATCCCACTGCATACGATGGCATTGCTGCCTCAGCCCCCGCTCAATCCTTCACCAAATTCACTTCTTCGCTCTATTATCCTCTTCTCATGCGCATCTGGCATAACGTGAACCCGCTTGTCTGCGAACTGGACTTCCTTACAAGCGAGGCCATCAAGTACTGTGACCACCTCGATGGTGTGGTAGATGGACTCATCTCCAACATGACCGCCTGTGACTACAACCCCTATACTGCCGTGAACATGACTTTCACCTGTGACTCCTTGAACCATACTATTGCACTCAGTCAGGGCGCCGCGCTCATCGCTGAGGCTGCCTGGTCGGGCGCGCACACCACAGACGGCCACCAGCTCTGGTTCGGATACAACCCAGGGTCCGACATCGGTAGTACCTTTGGTGCTCAACCGGAAACCAACATCTCATCGCTCGCCACCACCAAGGATGAATGGTTTAATCTTTTTGTCGCTAAGAATATCAGCTTCAACACCATGGGTTTGAGCCACGAGGAGTACCAGGAGTTTTTCAACCTCATCACTTCAGAGTATGGTAGTGCCTGGAACGCAGATGATGCCAACTTGCAGGCTTTCAAAAAGAACGGAGGCAAGCTGCTAACCCACCATGGCATGGTACGTCTCTCTCCCTATCCTCTCCCCCTTCCCAATGATATGTTACCAGACCCCTGAGGACAGTAACTAACCCACCGTGCGTTTAACCAACAGGCCGATCCCAGCATCCCCACCAAGGGCACCGAATATCTCTACAACAAGGCGCGGGCACTCTTCCCGGACGTTCAGGACTTCTGGCGCTTCTTCGAGTCGCCGGGTCTGGGTCACTGCGCCGGCGGCCTCGGCGGCCAGCCGACCACCGTCATGAAGGCTCTTCAGCGTTGGGTCGAAAATGGCACCGCCCCGGACACCTTGCCTGTGGAATACCCGTCGCTCGGAAATGGTCTCCATCGAAACCTGTGCCCCTATCCTTCCCAGATTGAATACATTGGTGGTGATATCTCTTTGGCTGAGAGCTTCCGTTGCACTTAGCAATCCCGAAGATGATACGAGCAACGAGGCTCTCGTGGCTCTGATTGGCCTTTATGGATTTTTGCATTTCTTTACCTGTATAATTAATTTCTCCTCCATGCACAGTGCCCTAAACTGTCTCCCATTATAAGTAGAATTTTTTATTATATCAATCATTGCCCTTTGCAAGCCAATGTCCGAATTTAGAGAGACAGCTATGATAAAGGAACCAAATAGTGGAATCGAAATTTCGCACAGCCTTACATTCCTGCTATGGGACGGCATCAGATGCTAATATTATAACGAGGATTCTGTGTCACGCTCCGAAGTTTGAGGAGACAAGGTCTAAATCCCCACGTAAACAAACCGGTGAAGGTACCACGACAGCCTGGGTCAACACCGTGTCCAGGGGATTTCACTCTGTGAACTAGTAGTGCAGAAAGAAGGTCGACACCAATAGTAGGTCTTGGGGCTCGAGACGAGCTTCAGAGAAACAAACATTCTTAAACATTCTTCCTTCGCAGTCTGCTCGTACATAGCAACCCTGTTCCATAGTAGGTCAAAAGAGTACTACGATTAGAAGTTTCTCTTGAGTTACTAGCTTCTTTATTGACCGTAATGTTGAACGGCTAGCACTATATAGTCACCTGTCAACAGCGATTTCATACTATTGATATAATGTGTCTTCCCAACCAAGGCCGAACGCGCCAGTGGGATAGTAGCACGTGGTAAAAGTAAGAAGATTTTATGCTAGCCCTGATGGACCCCGATGACCCTAAATTTACTGGGCTGATGTTCAGGGTCTATGGAATACGAATCAATTTTTGCACAGACATTACGCATTACGTAGTAGCAGCTTCAAAGTTGGTGCAAAAAGTAAGACCACTAATCTTGAAAAGGCTATTCGCATTCGCATTCGATAACATGCCAATCAGTAAGGCTAGTTTTAGAAAGACTGTGGGTCTGCTCACCGGGTGGACCCACCTTGTCGACCAAGTTATTGGAACCAGCTTGCTTCTAGGATGTGTTCTAGTTCTGGAAGCTTTAACTTCTCCTAAGAAGCGGTGCAAATTGATCACTGGGCCTCGGTTTGGGTGTTTTTGGCTTCAGGCACTTGGCTTAACTTAAGTTGTGCTTGTGTCCACACCATTAGCCAAGGCTCGTATGTCTCTCCTGATGTTACCTGTAGGAAACAAGCACTTTTCAATTCGGATTTGCAGGTTCTACAGTTCTTCGTGGCTTATTGCATTGGAAGCGTGAGACAGATTCATATAGGCTTAACAAGTCAATGTTGTGTTATGACACAAATCAGACGGGATTCTACTCTGGGTTGTTCCATAATCACGAATATCGGCCAGTCCGACCTTCAATCTCGCAGGAGATCGCTAGTTGCGACCATATCCTCACCATATGTTTTACAGTGGATCTGTTGTGGAGACGGCAGCGCCTAGCAGATGATAGAGAAGGCTCTTTAGAACAGCAGTAATATGACTATCATGGTTCCTGCAAATTCAGGGGTCCTATACACATGAAAATATCCCTACTCGACACTATATAAGGTTCTCATCGCCTTCGAACTTCACGCTCTACCAACATTTTACCACCAGACCCTCAAGCAAACAAGATGAACTTCTTCGATTGGATTCTCACACCATTCGGCAGCTCCCCTACACCAGAGCCGCAAAACCATATCTGGGATCCGGAGACGGTGACCATGCAGCAACCGACTGCTCCTGAAGCTCCTAGCACAAAAATCCCCGTATGATTTGCCCCTTATCGACCATCGTGACAAGCTGAGCTGTACTGACCAGTATCAAAGGCAGCGGCTCCGGGATCGACAGAAGTGAGCATGCGAGGAGGTGGCGAAGCTGGAGAGGTTTGCTGTGGAGTGTAAGTTTGTCCTTTATGACCGTGGTCTCTCTTTGTCCAGCTATTCATGGAATGATGCCTCTTTTAGATGCTGTGGTCTTATGTGTTTCGAATGTTGTTGTGGGGTTGAAGAATAGCAACCATACCTATAGTCGCTGCGAGCTGCAACACACGTTGTGCGCAGAGAGCTGTTGATCATTGCTGGAGGATAGAATATCTTCGTATTGCAAGTGGCAGAACTGTACATAATAATATTCAATCGAAGGGACTTGGTGATTTGTGGTAAATGTTGATGCACAACATCATGTTGGTTATTTCTTGCAAGGGTGGCATAGAATATAGGTTCTGGTTCCTGATCGAAATGGAACCGAGCACAGGGTCGAATCCTGTGTCATGATTCATAGAATAAAATTTCTTCATAGTCTGAACGGCCGACACTTTATTCTACTCGTTGAACATCGCTTATCCAAGAGACTGGAGATTTCCACCGTAGAGGGCTGGCTGGTCCAAGTCCTGAACGAAAAAAAAAATACTAGATCAGGACGTCTGAATGGTTTCTCCTCCTTTAGTCTTCGAACCGTTGCACCGACAATGTTATGGCGGATAGTACCCGTAACATAGCATACTACTCGGCTCCCAGAGGCGGCTTTTGGTTCAACCCAGTCGTCAATTTGGGGTTTCAATGGAGGTAATAGCCTCTGGGCAAGGCAGTTATGGACTGAATCACATACTCCACTAAATTCATATCCTCATGACGACTAACTTCTGAACTAGTACTAGATCTTTGTCCCTTTCTAAGACATCTATTTTGACTAGCTTCTTCCCCACTTCTACCTAATTTTGGCAGCTCGTATTCGCATTACTGGATAGGGACATCCGAATGCTGCTAAGATGATACTATACATAAATTTGTGGAAATTGGTATTCTGACAGCAGTAACGTTACGACCGTTTGGCAGTGGATATATATGTAGCTTCTAGGTAACATCTAGAGCGGGCGACACTTTGGAAAAGTGATCCATAAAGAGGGGGCTCACGGATATTAAAAGGGTTCATCTAGCTGACAAGCTAAGGTGAACTAAAAGAAAGGTTCAAACCTTTTGCCGGGGAATGCTATGTGAAGCGCGTCTTGAACTTAGTGGTTTTCCTGATACAGCAAAACACGCATATAAACTGTTATAGGGGATCTCATCGACTTGGAGTAAGTCAATCACTGGTCTGAATTGATTTTATATACTAGATCAATATAAACTTTAATACTAGGCAGTTGCTGAAATTTGGGCCTTCTTTCATATGAAGTCATTTCCATATTTATATAATCAATTCGTACGTATAATATAGTAACTAATCAAAGAGCATGAATACAGTCATATTATATTATAAGAAAAATACACCGATACACGTGACCTTAGCTAACTGGTTAAATTTGGGCTATTCTACATATATGTTAATATAGGGAATTCTCCACTAGAAGCAGTTTTAGGAGTCGTGCGAAATTGATTCCTTGTATCGGTAATTTACTGTAATAGAGCACAGCAGTCACACATTTTCGCTGCCTTTGAGTCGGTACTCATAGGAGCAGCGGCAGCAGCAGCAAGAAAAATATATTCCGGCTCAAACGTTGGGGAGAACCTACCCATCTCCCATCCAAACCATGATGCTTGCCCTTAAAACACTGCGTTTGAGGCATGACGACGGAAGAAACGGATACCAAACACCAGAGCACTATTCGGGTCTCCTCGTTTAACATCCTCTCATTAGTCTTTTGTCGCTCGTTACAGATAGTACTGTCCTATGCTCGTCGACATCTAGGATCATGAAGCTCCCTTGTCAGCGCAACGGTGGCCGGCGTCGCTAACGAAGCATTTTTCTCTCCTGAACCTGTCGAAGAAGTCCTTCGGGCCCTTCTTAGCTCCCCAGATGGCTAACATGCACCCAAGAGCGTGGTGTGCCTGTCTACTCGACCGACAGTTCGGGATGCAGACACGCTCTTCGAACAACAAAGAGTAGCTTGAAGTGCGTTACAATGCCACGCCCTAGAAGGTAATTCTAAGTCGATTGTCAAAATGAAAGATAACTACATCAATACTTATTTGAGTTTCACTCCGTGGTTTTCTGACCACTATCACAAGCCTAAATGTGGTAGCCACTACACCTCGAGTAGAAATTTCGGGCTGACTGAAAGTGTGCTGCTATTATGAAAAGCCGGTATCCTCTTCTGCTTCTGCCACTGACAAATTGGTTCGACTTGTGCCTCGTCATCAAGCAGGAAACATTACACCCCGCATTGAAAGAATAGTGCTGGGGCTAGACTCCCATCTGTGGAAATACAGTCATTGCCTGCTTCCTGAAAGGACAAAGCTTGTACACGAAGACTCAGCTACGTGTGTCTAGGGGGAGTCGGACCTGAAAGCCAGTGAATCAGGAAGAGTTACTATAGTAGGGAGTGAATATACATTGACTGACTTATCTTGCAGGTATTTGTTCCTATTTTAAGTGAAATTGTTTGCAGGCGAGGCGTTTTAACTAAGGTCGAGCTTTTCACCATCTCACCGTTATAGGCATACGCACAGACAAATTATGGTTAGGATGAAGCTAAAGCATTTTTATGCCTTTCTTTGAGATTCATCTGTTTGCGTATATTACGGAGGCCTCATTTAACTTCGAGGCATATGAAGGGATAGGGGAAACGGAGCAAGAAGCTCAAGCATTGTGGGACAGTCATACGAGGTCTATCATGAAGTGATGCAAGGCCAACATGAGAGATAATCACGCAGCTTATGGTCATCTGCACGGGTTTGACGGAGGCAGAGCCTCTGTGGTTCACACCCAGAACATATTAATGAAGCTAAATATAACCCCCTATGCACCCGTGGGCAGCGACCGGGACGCAAGAAGGATCACGGCGATAAGGCGTCTGTTATCATCTATCAGAGTGGGTCCAAGCATGGAGGTAAATTAAATATTCTCTGGTAGTATCGAGACACGTGCAATCAAGCCGACACATAGATTGTTCTCGAACATGAGCGATTTCCTGGGTGCAGATTGCCGAATTCCGCACATATAGAGCCTGAACCTGGGAAATTACCTTCATATCTTTACAGGCAACAATAATTGCTCACAAATAGCTTCCTTGATGTCAGGATTCATCTCATCGTTAGGTACCACGAAGTCTCTCGACAGGTGCCTTCGCTCGCTCGCCTGCAAAGAGCTGGATATGGTAGACTCCACATGTGATGTTGTGTAAACGTAAATGATACAAACAACTAAACATCGCTGTGACGCGTAACTCATTGGGTCCCGCGCTACTATCATTCTCCTTTCCAGTGTTGTCGGGGCATAAAGGCAAGGGGTGATTAGAAGAGGAGGGAACCTGAGGTTCCCCTACAGTAGTTCAAGGCATTCGGGTGAGGTAATAAAGTGAATGAGGTTTCGGAGTTGTTCCACGCCAAGAACATGAAGGGCCTTACAACGCAGTTTGGGCGGCTCAACGCGTTACTCAATTATACGTTCAAGTTTGAATTAAGAAGTAAAGCAGTAGTGTCCGACTTTGAGCCCACCGAGCATACTTTCCTCTCTCGAACCTCATGGAATCGCGGTGTTTTCTGCAGCTGCAAACTTGCCGGCGTACTCGCATAAATGAGGTAGTACGGTTGTCCGCCGGCACAAGCTGGACCAGGAGACTCTTTAGGTTACCTAGTCCGACTGAAGGCTAGATATCTCCGAGAAGCTGAGCAGGAGTAGCTTTAGACATCGATCCAATCGTATCGTATTTGCTTGGGGTAGATATGGAGCACACCGTGTGCCAAGTCGGCTCGATATAGGGAAAGATGGAGCCATGCTAAAATTATGATGCGTCTAGGTTCATAAGCGGCCGATCGCTGAGCGTAAAGGGAAACACTGCGAAACAGTGTACTGGGAATGATGGGGTTCAGGTTCCCAAGTGTGCTCTGCATGGTCGAGGACATCGTGCAAGGTACTCCTACAAAGTTAGTATTTTCTGGTGCCACCGGAAAGATACCAAATCTTGGCAGTCTCGAGTAGATCTCTTCTGGAAAGGTTACTTTGGGCTGTTTAAAATATTGGCCAATGGTAACGTCTACATGGCGGGCTGTGCCCTGAATAGTGGGAAATTTTATGACTAAGCGGAAGCGCCGATCATCTGGGCAACCAATTTAGATTGGGGTTAATTGTGGAACAGCCGTTATCGGCTCTCCAGAGTCACAGGGAGCCAAACACTGATTGATGGGCATACGTATGCATTCCACTTCCTGTATGCCGTCTTAATGACCGTTGAATCAACCAGGTTCTGGACCAAAATGACAGGCGAAAGTTGAATGGTCTCATGGTTCCCTGTGTTAATGCCTATGACAAGCCTGTAGGGCATGTTTCAATGATAACCTCGTTGTAGGTAACAATCCCAACAAATCTTGAGAGGAAGAGTCTGAAACAAGATTGTGATCAACACAGTTACGTAGCAGTATTATCTTCGTCACCGCAGGGCTGAGTAGGGTTGATTGGAATTCATCTGCCACCCGCGGCCTAGACCAGGTACTCTTGACCTGGAGGTTTACGGGTTCCTTGAGAAATTCGCTGAAGAGGTTAGCAGACCCCGACCATGGAGTGTGTGTGGTATGACGACTCTCTCTACTGAATGTGAAATGCTCAAACCGGCTCTCGCTAGGCTCACAAGTGGACAGGGGTCTTGTACCTGCCGCCTTAACATGATACTGAGCTGACGAAGCCTCGACTTGGCACTAACCAGCCATGCCCTAGTTGGGCTTGGCGCACGAGTTCGCGCAGGAGCCGAAAGCTTGGCCTTTGCGAACTGCTTGCTTGGGAGCAGAGTAGATCATTTCGCCTCAGTTGTAGACAATATGGCTGGTATATGTATCGAATATTGTTCACCTCTTGCAAACATCTTCAGTCAGGCAATTGCAGATGCCGAAAAGGGTCCTAGAAGCCGAGACCCTAGTTGGACCTTCTGTCGGCTGCCAAGGTGCCCGACTGCTTAAGCGGAGATATGCTGACTCCACCCGGATAAGGTTATTACCGCCGGACCCTCTTGGCGCAGGCCCTGATTAGATGCAGATTAGATGCATCCCATGCCATTGTCCCTGCTATTCGTCTCCGGGTTTCAGGTGCCGTTTGGCCAAATTCTGGCAGCATGTAAGCAGCAATGGCAGACAATAGACGTTGTCAGTCACGTCTCGCTCTGCTGCAAGCTCAGAATATGTCTTCATCCGATCCGAGCGCTTTCAGGCGCTTTCATCAAACTGGCCCATGAGATTTGAGAGCCAGCTGTCACAGTGATCTACTGATGTCACCTAAACCCATCATCTGGATGGTTCTGCTCCGGGCCGCGCAATCGGGTGACGAGTGTTACGATCTGAGTTAATTTCTGCTGCAGAATGTCAAGCCCGGTGGACCCAGCCGATGAATAGCCTTCTCACTCCACTCGGGCCACAGGAGACAGCTATTACGGTACGTCCTCAATGTTGGGTAGCTTGTTGTAGTATATAAGAGGTCCAATAGCCACTCCGATTGCCCTTTTCTGCTCAGACGCTTCAGTCAGTCTTTACAGTCTGCACCTTCGCTCATTCAATTCACCTCTACACTCTTTAGTGCCCCTCAACATGCGCAAGTCCACTCGCGCAGTTGTCGCTGCTCTGGCAGCAGCCACTGCCCAGGCTACTTCCCTGTCCGATCTCTGCACTGTTTCCAATGTTCAGTCCGCCCTTCCTTCTAACGGCACCCTCCTGGGCATCGACTTGATCCCCTCTGCAGTCACTGCCAACACTGTCACCGATGCCAGCTCTGGCATGGGCAGCTCCGGCTCCTACGACTACTGCAACGTCACTGTCACCTACACCCACACCGGCAAGGGTGACAAGGTTGTCGTAAAGTACGCCCTGCCCGCTCCTTCTGATTTCAAGAACCGTTTCTACGTCGCCGGTGGTGGTGGTTTCTCCCTCTCCAGCGATGCTACTGGCGGTCTCGAGTACGGTGCTGCCTCGGGTGCCACCGATGCCGGCTACGACGCCTTCTCCTACAGCTACGATGAAGTTGTTCTGTACGGCAACGGCTCGATCAACTGGGATGCTACATACATGTTCAGCTACCAGGCTCTGGGTGAGATGACCAAGATCGCCAAGCCCCTGACCCGCGGCTTCTACGGCCTCTCCAGCGACAAGAAGATCTACACCTACTACGAGGGCTGTTCCGATGGTGGTCGTGAGGGTATGAGTCAGGTTCAGCGCTGGGGAGATGAATATGACGGTGTTATTGCCGGTGCCCCTGCCTTCCGCTTTGCTCAGCAGCAGGTCCACCACGTCTTCCCTGCCACCATTGAACACACCATGGATTACTACCCTCCCCCTTGCGAGCTTGACAAGATCGTCAACGCTACCATTGAAGCCTGTGACCCTCTCGACGGCCGTACCGATGGCGTTGTTTCCCGTACTGACCTCTGCATGCTGAACTTCAATCTCACCTCTATTATCGGCGAGTCCTACTATTGCGCTGAACAAAACTACACCTCCCTGGGCTTCGGCTTCAGCAAGCGCGCCGAAGGCAGCACTACCAGCTACCAGCCTGCCCAGAACGGCAGCGTCACCGCCGAAGGTGTTACCCTTGCCCAGGCCATCTACGACGGTCTCCACGACTCTAACGGCAAGCGCGCCTACCTCTCGTGGCAGATCGCCGCCGAGCTGTCCGACGGTGACACGGAGTACGATTCCACCACTGACTCCTGGACTCTGAGCATCCCCTCCACCGGCGGCGAGTACGTGACCAAGTTCGTGCAGCTCCTCAATATTGACAACCTGGAGAACCTCGATAACGTCACCTACGACACCCTGGTGGACTGGATGAACATCGGCATGATCCGCTACATTGACAGTCTCCAGACCACCGTCGTCGACCTCACCACCTTCCAGGAGTCCGGTGGTAAGATGATCCACTACCATGGTGAATCCGACCCCAGTATCCCGACCGCCTCGTCCGTCCACTACTGGCAGGGCGTCCGTCAGGCCATGTACCCCAACACCTCCTACACCCAGTCCCTGAAGGAGATGTCCGACTGGTACCAGCTTTACCTCGTCCCTGGCGCTGCCCACTGCGGTACTAACGACCTCCAGCCGGGTCCTTACCCCGAGGACAACATGGAGATCATGATCGACTGGGTTGAGAACGGCAACAAGCCTTCCCGCCTCAACGCCACCGTCTCCTCCGGTACCTATGCTGGTGAGACCCAGATGCTCTGCCAGTGGCCTTCCCGTCCCCTCTGGACCAGCAACTCCAGCTTCTCTTGTGTCCATGACTCCAAGTCTCTTGCTACTTGGGACTACACTTTTGACGCTTTCAAGATGCCCGTTTTTTAAATAGGTTGATTGAGAGAGTTTTGGGATTTTGGCAGGTTCTTTGATAGGATCTGTATCCGTTTGTATGTAGTATCTTCGCTTCGATAGTCGTGTACTTCTTCCACTTTGTGTCTTCCTTTAATTTTTATACGTGCGAAGAAGGCTTTGACCAGCTTACTTAGTCAACAATATTACTTGACTGTGTATACCTCTCACTCCATTATAAAATGAACATGTTTTATTGCATCTCAATACATGGGAAATTCCTGCACAAGCCACTCTAGCATATGCCTCTCCGCTGTCGGCACAAAGACGATATTCCTAAAAACACCAAACAATTTCGACATTCTTCAGTGATAAGGAGGACAAATAATGTATCGTCCACATCTACCCCCACCAACCGACAACAGCAAATCTCAGCAGCGTGACCAACGATAATACCTCTAGCCCTCGCAATCCTTCTTCTTGTTCTTCATAGCCCTCCTCGCACGTATTTCAGACCATATCTGTGATAATCGGATGTTCTGCTAACGCATTAGCACGGTATAATAACGAAGCAAAAGGAAGAGAACAGAAAAAAAGAGCAATTGTAGATTGGGGCAATGAAGTAGAGTTCCAAGATAACCAGTAACTAACCTGATCAGAAACCTTCCACAAGGCATAGGTCAAAAAAAGCGATGCAGCACCAAAAACGATATACCAGCGCCAGTCAGGGTTGTTTTGCAGCGCGTTTACGTTCATGCCGAATAGGCTCTGTTGCTATCAGCCGGGCAAAAAAGGAAGGAAAGAGCATATACTTAGGAGCAGAAATAGTGGGTACTTACCGATGCAAACATCAATGGTAAGAAAATAAACTATTTCTGTCAGCCACCAAAGCAAACGCAAAATAAACGATTGGAGACGAGGCGCTACTCACAGTAATGAGACTGATGCGTCTCATGAAAACTGTTTCTTCAACGGAAAGCCTAGCAAATTCCTGATACTGTCAGGTCCATTCAAGTAGTTTAAGAATCTAATTCCCTTACCATCTGACGAAGATCCCGCACCCGCTCGTGCTGCTTATCCAGTCGATCATTGATAGTTGACTTGAAGAATTTAAGATCCTCTTCTGAGTCCCCCAAACAAGAAAGGTGGCGTTCATCCACCCTGCGATACTCATCAATTGCCTTCTGTATGCCCTTGGTCTGATCCTGAAGGGCCTTCTGGATGGTGGCCAAGTAACGTGAATCATCAGCTAGGTTAGTAATAAGAACAGCGGTACTTGTATCATTACCAGTGCACTAGTGGTCAGAGCTGTCAACGTAGGATGCAAATCTGAGGCAAGGGCTGCGACTTACATGACCCATTACATGTGTCTCAATTTCATCGCAGACTAGAGACCATTCCTTCAATAGTTCAATAATGTATTGTTGGAGGAATTTGTCCTCGCCTCTAGGCATCTGGCCGTGAGAGATGGTACTACTGTAGAAGACGGGTCGTTCGTCGCCACTCTTATCCGGAAATCGTGACCTTGTCCACGATATACACCAGCATTTATGACTTGTTATACCCTCAGAGTGGAATGGGCTATGTCTTTTAAAGAATCCTTCATCCGGGTTGGGGAATTCGGCCGATAAAACACAAGTTACTTCGGAGAGCTTGCTGTCGATGTGTACGCGGCTGTATGCGTAAGATTCCACATTATGGTACAGACCATGTTGCAACGAGGCTATCCAATTTTGCTTTCTGTTGTGTAGCCTATCAATGCTTCCTGTTAGCATCTGTAGAAGGTGTTGGTATGGTAGTATTTACCAGAGATGTTGAAGCATATCACTTCGCTCGATAAGACATCCTTCTGGCGTTACAGCCTCCGCTCGGTGGAAGTCAAAGACAAGGATGTTGTTCTTCATTTCTAAAAGCTCAAACGACACATCTCGATACGTTTTTTCAAAATCACTGTCATCGTTACAGTCTCGTAAGAGGCTAAACCAGTCCGCTTTCTCCTTGAAGGGGTCCACTTTGGCACGCCATCGAAGGAAAAGCTTCACTATAGGTAGCAGTCGTTTCTCTTTTGCCAAGGCGAGCGGAGTCAAGCCACGGCTGTCGGTTTTCTCTAGAGGGGACGTATCCGCTTTTGTTGGGGTTCTGACAGTATCCGCGGGGAGCTTGGGCACTTTGGCGACTAGAACCTTTTCGAGAAGATTCTCCATATCACCGATATTGGGGATGTCAAGGATTATATGCAAGACTGTCTCATTATGAGGACCGTGGCATCTAATCAATGGGTAGCCGTTGATAACAAGCCACTCCAGAAGGTCAGATTGAGCGCTCGTCGCAAGTAGCCTCAGAGTAACATCATCCGTATCCCACAGTAATTCAGCGATTTTGTGGCTTCCGGCCTCTACCGCCCGCCATAGCGGCGTTTTTCCATCTCTGTCTGGCACGACTATGTCGACATCTTCGATTGTGAGGAGAATTTCGACGATTGAAGTCTTCTTCAGTTGTACAGCACGCGACAGCAAGGTGAAGCCAAAAACATCAGGCTCCTTCAATAAGGACGTGCTCACGAGGTCGGGTGGCACTTGTGACCACGGCAGCCTCCCCCCTAACAGCTGTCTTACTTTCACGGTATTACTTCCCTTCCAAATAAGTGGAAGAATGCCGAAATCATCATTCTCAAATGAGTAAGGCTGGCTTTGTGGAGAATATTGGAGAAAATAATGGCACGGTGTCCAGCCTTGGTTGTCCTTGTCATCAGAGAATTCGGAACAACTTAGTAGCTCAAACAATTTTTTTCGGCCGAATTGCGCTGCCCAGGACAAGGGCGATCGTCCGTTTTTGTCACATTGGTAGGGGTCAGCTCCAGCTTCGATCAATTTGTCCACAGCCCATTTATTTCCAGCCTCTGCTGCATGAGACACTGGAGTACGACCGTCTTCATCCTGCTTATTCAACTCATCCTTCTTAAGGCCCTTCAGTAGCGATACCCATTTCTGGCGTTCCTCCCTGCCTTCCGTCAAGAAAGAAATGGGTTCCGCTGGCAATAAGCGCGCTGCGTAATGAAGCGGTGTCATACCATTCTCATCTTTTGTTGTTGAATAGAACTCACGATCTCGCCCAAAGCGATCGGCCAGAGTGCAGTAAAATTCGCCTAGGGCCTTTGATGAATATACTCCCCTGGTATCCTCACCGTTAGAGGGAATAAACAGGACCTCTGGCACATCTGGGAACTTCTCAGAAGCGTCCTTCATTTTTGCTTGCTTCTTCCGAATATTGACAAATTTCGAAGCTATTCAGTACGAATAATAGCAAATAACGGGTGCTAACAGAGACCTTGGGGCGATTTTAAGCATCGGTGGAATAGTACATAGTAAAGCGAGCCGCAAGGCTGCGTGGCTAAGCCAGCAGCACCAGTGCATCGCCTCATGCTAAAGTCGTGGTTTAGTTCGATTTGATGTGTTATTGGGTGGGGTGGATAACACTCCGTTGAGAGGTCCCCTTTTCTGTAACTAGCGACAGCATACTGATTGAACCGTACCTTAATAGGGATAACATATTTTGTCTAATGGGTGAAAAGCTTGGGTTGTTCTAACATCTCATTAATTCGATGTTTCGATCATTCGCTCGGCCCTTTCATCGGATGCGGACAATGTCAGCCCGGTTGACAATTATCCGATAGACGAAAACGTGGCGATGCTCGCAAAGGTCGGTTGGCATCATGCAGCAACCCCGCTTGACGTGGCAATCTCGTTAAGCTATCGAGATGGTAATCCTGGACACATATTAGGAAGAGATATGGGATGTTTAAAACCAATCAACTTGCCTGTTGTATTTCTTGGATGCTTATTATTAAAATTGAAATATCTTGGGGTGACCAGGTCCCTCGTAAATAATGTTGTATCGGTTTCCCATAGTCCTCGGGAGCTCAGGCCCCAGTGGCATACACACCAGCAGGCTTTCACAAGAGGAGCTTTTGGTCTCTCCCACATATTATAATGTGGGTTTTCTGCTCTAAATTCAGCCATGTAGCACCAAAACACAAAAATAAAATCAGCATTCGATGCTATTTAAATATAATAATACATAGACGAAGGTAATAGTCACTGCACTATCCTAACAATCCCCCATATCCAGCTGGGGTCCACGGTAAGCTAGTTATGGTATATCTAGCTAGAGAAAGAGAACTCAGGAATGTTAATGGTGGTAACAGTCCAGGTCTTGCCACCATCGCTGGTGGACATGTCGCCAGTGACACCGCTACCCTTGGCGAGGGTGTTGATGTAGTCAGGGTCAGCCACATCGAGGATAATCTTGGTGTCGGTCCAAGCTAAATAGCGATTTCATTAGCCGGGCGAACATACTTCGGTAATATCCTTGGCTAACTTACAGTGAGCACCGACAGTGCCGCAGTTGTCCTCGGCACACTCAACAGCGCTTCCCCAGCCCTGGGCCTTGCCATCGCTAGTGGAGAGAGTGGAGACAGTCTTGCCGTTGATCAAAACGGTCTGGGTGTAGTTGCCGGTTGAGTCATCGAATTTGTCTGTAGATCGCGATATTTAGCTGTGAGACAGCAAAGATCGGGTGTAAATGTTACGTACAGTGCATGGTGACCTTGTCGCCCTTAGTGCCGTCCGCCTGGCCATCACCGTAGATGGGCTCCTGGGAAGTGGCTGTGGAATGACTGGATCAGTATCTTGTTTTGTTGGTTGTGAGATTTCGTGATCACTAACCGCTAGTCTCCTTAAGAGTGTAGGCGTACATGGTCCAGTCGCTCTGCTGCCAGTTGTCGGCGATAGACTGGATCAGGTCACCATTGGAAGTGCCCATACCAACCCACAGGGAGGTGATGGCATCGGAGGAGCCGCCGCTGGGGCCGTTGGGGAGGACAAGAGTCGAGGTAGCTTCACGGATGAAGGAGTTGTCGGAGACAGGACCAGTGCTGAAGGCAGGACCCATGGCAGCGTTCACGCCGGTGGCGCCGAGAGCAGCAAGAGCTGCGAGAATCTGGTTGCGGGTGTACATTCTGATGAGTTTGTGTGTGGTAGTTGCGAGGGAATGCGAGAGTTCGTGTGGTGTTGTTGTTTTGGTAGACGGACCGCGAGGACGAGGTACCTTTTATAAGTTCTACACAATGAGGAAGCAACTTTCCTGCAGCTTTAATCCCCTCATCAATTATAAGAGTTCATTGTCTGATGTTTTGGGGAAATATCCACCAGTGGGGTTTCGGTCTCCGGGAGAAATGCCCTAGCTGAGAAAGTTTGGCTCTTGCGCGCTTCATTGCACGAATGAGGTGTGCAGACACGGATACGACACTCTCCTAGTATCCAGAAGCCAAGTACGGAGTCAATCTACATGGATCCCTCTGACAAGGCTACTGCCGCAGACTCCTACCTCAACTTCCCGTCCTGACCCACTTGGTGGGTATCCATTTCCGATTCCCGACACAATTCAGGGAAAGCTCTCAAGGTCAGTTACACCTAACAAACAGTTCTAGGCAGAATGAGAAGTTCCCTGGCGCTGGACTAATCCATCAAATGGCTTCGAAGTTGCCATCCTTCCTCCAGTATCTAACGCATGAATGCACGAGTATCCAAAGGGTTAGATACTGACTGAATTTGGCGGTAAATGTCGCCATAAGCTTTCCATAATGACCCGGTAGCTTAAAATTAGTCCAAGAGCTTACCATAGGAGTTATTCAAACTTAATAACCGCAGTCAACATCCTAAGGCCAAACGGCTATTCTGGTTTGCTACAGGCAAGTGCAACGATGGACTCTCCCCGATGCCCATATGGCTAGCCGTTCTCCACTTATGGGCCCTGCTCTTGGCGCCCTACAAGAAACCCTGGAACAGCCCCTATGCAGGGGTCCTCCATTTTCGGCTTCAACGGACTGACCTTGTTTCAGTAGTATTAGATTGGTTAATCCTCCGCCAATAGGAGTTTATGGCCCCTTCTTACCACTACCATATCCAGTAAGGTACGGACTCCGTGTCTCATTGAAGATCCTTAGTCATACTCAACAACCACCACCCACGAGGTTGCCGTAGGAGAATTCGGTGCGAGTCATGGGAACTTCGGCATCCATTTTGGGTAAGGTGTACGAAAGAATAATATACCAAATAAGATTGGCTTTCAGTTGACGGGCGTGATGTGAAGGCTAGGCTTCTATGCCATGGGGATGACCCACCTTGCCTTAGAGTTCATATATTCAAGGCGTCCATAACATGGGGAGCTTTAGCCATGTCGTTCCCTTCTGACGTGATTGCAGAAAATTAAAGTAATTAAATTGGTTGTGGTACCTTTACATTATGCAAAGCAACAATGTTAAGAATCATTAGTGAACCTCAATATATATATTCCGTCAACATCCACGGTTTCTTGTATCTTGAATGGCGGATTCTGAGTGAACGCATCTATCAACGATATTCGTCTCGTAAAGGGTACTGCAATATTATTTGTGCTGAGCGGATAAAAGCCTCACTTGCTCGAACCATTCCAGACATAATACTTTCAGGCAGCACAATTATGTTGGAGAACATGGTGGGCTACGATGATTCTATTCGTCGCATAGCTGTGGAGCCACGGGGCTTGTCATTCTATATTGCAAGGTGAATTGGTGTATAACCCTTAATGCCAAAGGGTTATCGTGGGCTCCATGGGTCCTAATTTGTCATATTCCATCTAGAACATCCAGAAACCTGAAAATTGCTCCGCGGAGATGTGTTTGTACTCCTTTTCAATCCGCTTAAGATGCAGTTAAGGCAGAATATGGGATTATACTGTGCAGTTTGTGATTATTGCACCCAATGTCTACAACTATGTAGCCTACTATATCTCTCAGAACCAAGATTCTGCTGCGTCATTGCTTGCCTGAAGAACGGACAATATGCGGTGGACAATATCTTCGTACGAGCAGCATCACTGAAAGCTTTAGATCATCCCAGCAATTATTTGAAATAAATACCGTCATAGCTCCCGGGAGATGAATGGTTGCGTGTGCGAGCTTGTGAAGTTCGCAATGATGCCAGTACTTAGACATGAGGCCTTTCAATTATATATACTATTTCAGGTTATCAGCTAAGCGCTGATGACCACTGCTTGTATCATCCCAATATATTGGCATATAGCATATTATGTGCAACACCAACTCATATCTGCAATATATATACCGTATGATTACATGGAAGATGCCAAACGCGTACAACATCACCCTACCGACTTGCTGAGAACTAGAGAACGAAGCCATTTAAGCAGTTAGTTAGCGGTCGGAATATACTATCAAGTGTGCTGCCGAATGCGATGAAGGCTGTAAAGGCGTCGACTTTGTTACTATTGTAGGTCATCGTTTCTACGTAATATTTTCAGTCACGTGGTATAATAGCTGTAAGGACTATGAACATTATTATGCTGCAGCTGCTTAAGCTAGAGAAGACATAGCACAAGCGATCAGCATGGGAGTTGGATTTGTCATGATACATATCGAGATCGATCTCCTTGAAAACCTTAATCCACAATGAACTAGGAGATCTGTCATATGAGATGCTAGTGTAGAGGTTTGTCGGTCTGACTAGATGAGACCAATAATACATGTTATCGCTCGCATATTTTGGTCACTATTATCCCATTATTGATGCACTCTGAGAGGTGCCGCCGAAAGATAGAAGCCGCATGGGCGTACTCATCATAATTTCATGCCTTAGTTGAAGGCGAAAACATGCAATCACTGCCAATCCCGCAATCGAAAGAACCTTTGCATTGTAATGCCTTTTTGTAAACCAAATCAACCAATCAGCTCGCATGGCTTAGTTGGTAAAGCGCATGACTAGTAATCATGAGATCCTCGGTTCGAATCCGAGTGTGAGCATTTTTGTCTTTTCCGCCGCCGTCATGGCGGGAAACTTTTTGGGCAAAGTGACTGCTCAAGGCACAACACTTCATAGTGCTATCACATAAAATAACGTTGGCTAAGTACGTAGAAAGCAATATCGTGAAGGCAGTAAATGATGAGCTGGTAAGGTCTGCTCAGCCAGCCCCTCTTAAGTAGTATTCAAGGGATAGATCAATGTCATTTGATTGGCCAGCTACGTAATTAACGAATCAGGTGTCAGATTTAGTTATAAGGTTTTATACATAAACAATATGAGATTGAACAGTACGGACGGTCACTAGTACTACTGGAAGAAGAGACATGTCCGCAGCACATAACTAGTCACTTCTTCTGTCCGAATAACAAGCGGACGCCTCGTCGAAAACAAAGACACATTCCAAGACGGAGCTAGGGAGTCGAAGAAACATGGTGAAAAACATGAGGGATGATCGTATAGATCGACTACCTTGCGGAATACCCGAATAGCACCCCGGTGTATGATGCGATCAATTTCGACAACATTGTGCAGGTGGACAGCAGCGGTGAGATACAACTAGAGAGGTAAAGAGATGCAGCCGGATTCGGAATTGATTGATCTGTCACATATCATATCTTAACGATGGACATGCTCGCGACCGTGGACTGAGGAGCTCTGGAACGAGGCCTCTCGGCCGCTATATAACCTTAGTGGGACGTAAGGTTTTTGAATGCAATAGGTACAGAACCTCTTTATCCTATTCATGCTGGACGTGACTAGCAGAGTTGGATGCAGTTCTCTTGCGGCAAGTTAGCATACCCCGATTGAGTACATCACTTATCTTGCCATGTAGCTTGTAAGGAGAACCTATCTTATTGGCCTTGAGTATACGCACAAGTAATTTCAATGCAGTATTGATAAAATTTGCGTAGCATATCTCCAAGTGGTAGAGAATGTGGAAATCTCGAGCGTTGGCCAGGTCTCGGTGTACCGACACATGTGATATGGTCAATTGTGAGTGAAAAGCAATACGATCTGCGCAAGTTAATGAAATGTCCCCCCGAGGTCATATGCAAAGCATATGCTCTATTTATTCAACTTCGGGGGAGTCTGCAATTTCTATGCCACAGTTACCAACCAGGGTTGCGCTGTTGCATATCCATGTCGGAAAAAGTGAACATAAGACCCACAACAGGGTGCCACTGGAATGCAAGCAAAGCATGCCTCCCCCCTCATCGAACCTCACAAAGCCGCAGACCAAAGTTACACTGCATCCATTATTGGAGCGCGCGAACCAATAATGTGAAAGGTATTTGTTGCCGGCGGTCTTCAGCCCTCGCTGGCACGTATTTAAATCCTCTCGAGACCGATATCCGTCCGTTTAGCAAAAGGCACACAACAGATCCCTGGAAACAAGCTAGCACAATGAAAGCCAGTCTACTTTCTGCCGTCTCTTCTTTTACCCTGGCTTTGGCCACGGGTTCAACCAAGCTGCTTCCATGGTCACCCCCGGGGCACGGCGATGGTATGTCTGACTTCTCCAGTTAGTGACGAAAGCTAAAGAGAGACAGTGCGAGGTCCTTGCCCAATGCTGAATACCCTTGCGAACCATGGCCTTCTACCACACAATGGCAAAGATATTTCTCAGGAGGTCATTACCGAGGTCCTGAACAACACGCTGAATCTTGCAGACGGTCTCTCCGCGTTTCTATTCGAAGAGGCCATGACAACAGTTGAAGACCCCAAAGCCACTACCTTCTCCCTGAGCGACCTCAATTGCCCTGGCATTCTAGAGCACGATGGCAGTTTGAGGTATTTGCCACTCCAAAAACACCGGGGAAATCAAGCTGACCTGCTTAGTCGCCAGGACACCTACTTCGGAAACAACCATGAGTTCAACCAGACAATATTCGACCAGACGAAGTCGTACTGGACAACGCCTCTTATCGATATGTACCAAGCAGCTGAAGCACACGAAGCACGGTTGAACACTTCCAAGGCCACCAATCCTACCTTCAATCTTTCGGAAACCGGATTAACGTTCAGTTTCGGAGAGACTGCCGCGTACATGATTGTATTTGAGGACACTAATCTCGGCTACGCTAACAGATCTTGGGTCGAATACTTCTTCGGTGAGTGGACTTGATTGAACCTGGCTTGAGCGCACCACTGATATGTTGACAACGTAGAAAACGAGCGCCTACCCCAAGAGCTTGGATGGACCAAGCGACCATTCATCACCACGGGCCAGGTCCTTGTCGACATGACAACCTGGGTTATAAACTCCACTATCGGAGTCACACCGGAGGAGCAAGCTGAGATGCAAGATTTTGGTAAGAAAATCACGGGATAAGGAGGGCATGAACGGAGTTTTCTTCCCAGTGCCGGCAATTTAGCAACTTCGAAAGGAAGTAGCTTACGGTTTCTCTAAAGCAATTGGTTTAGGGGAAAGGGGAGGTGTTGTGATCAATCATCGATTAAGGGAGAGTACACCGGTGTCAACCATATGCTCGAGATGAACGACCCCCCTTGATATGATGATAGCCATGCTCGGACAAACTATAACCTCTGCACATGTATCTAGGAGCGATTGGTGAATAGTATTCTGCAATACTAATTCATTGGCATGTTTGCACCTGTAAACGAGCAAGCTATTGGGTCAATCCCTAGTTATCATAGTTGTAAATGTTGTACTATCTCATCCTATGCCACTTCCTTAATTGACGTCTTCTCGACACTATCAATCTAGCTATCCGTATTGCACATTGCAAGCCAGGTCCACATGAGTAAAGGCTACGCTCCAACCACCCGCTCAACAGTCTCCCTCACACTCTCCGTCTCCAGCCCCAACAATCCATTCGCGAGTTTCTGATCCTTGACGTAATTCGTCTTCAAGCCAGTGGAACTTCCAAAAGCAGTTGCTCGAACCAGCGCAAACGCACCACTGAAATCACCCGCCCCCAGCTTCTCACGCCCTTCAGCAACCTGCTCCTCCGTCGTAGTCTCCGTCACTGTCCACTGTGAGCCTGTAATATCCTCGAGCGTCTTCAAGACTTCGTTCTGGGTAGTCTCAACAGACGCAATATATAGAAAGCGATTCTTCGTCTCTTCCGGCCGCAAGACGACCGATAAAACCGCCTTGCCGAGCTGTTTCTCATTCGTCAAGGTAAACGATGTGGCACCGCCGTCCCAGATCACTGCCGATTTGGTCTTGATGTCAAAGCCAAGGAATCCAGATTCGAGACCCTAACATATCAATCAGTCATAACGTATCAGGTTTGTGGTAAGAGAAAACTGCTCACCCAGTCAAACAACCCGGACGTAGCAATCGCAGTCCAACTCAACCCCTTTTCCTCTTTCGCCTTCAGGTAATTGATTATATCTCTCTTCTGCTGGAACAGAGGGAGTAGCTGGATGACAGCATCGTCTTCACTGCTGGTCGAGAACTCGGATGGAATGAATCGCTTCACGCCTGCCTCGATAGCAGCATCGATGAACTTCTTTTGCTCAGTAAAGGCCGTCCCACCAACTGCGGAGATGAGCACATCTTGACCACGAAGAAGAGACTCAAGGCTGGAGGGTGAAAAGTCGGTCTTATGGACAATAACGCCTGTTGGAAATTCAATGGTGTTCGATGATTCCTCGCGGGACAGGACGGTAACGGTGATGTTTGCATCCGAGCTCAATGCTTTGAGGATGATTTGACCGATCAATCCGGTCGCCTGCGTTGGTTAATTGGTTGTTCGAAAGGAAAGTAGACACGAGCGACATACCCCGATGATAGTGACTTTAGTTGGGATGGCCATTTCGGTGAGTAAATGTGGAAGATGTGGTATGTATCGATCGTTTACTCAAAGCTGTTGTGAATCTTGCTCCTAGAATCAAGGGAGGTTGACCTCTATTTATACTTGCCTTTGAGGCAATGAATCTACTTGATGATCAGTGTATACACACCTATACACTATCCTGAACCCTAACTTGAGACTAGCCCCTACGGCTCAACGATTAGTGCTTACATCTCATCAACCACCTTGTAAGCGGATGATTCATCATGATTAGAAATACGGACCGCGCTCCGCAGTCCGCCCTACCCAATCAGTTCTTGCTCTTCATTCTTGCACCCTTCTCACTCACCTCTGTCCTGCTCAATACGGCCTATGTTGCGGTATTTCTGCTAATCTTGATTGTGCAATCAATGAACCAGAATGCTACGCCGGACAATCGCATCCGGGAGATCCTGCCTCGAATGCAGTCGCCGAAAGATCAAATGTGATAGGTCATTGCCTTGTTCCTATTGTGTAAAGATCAAAGCGGCATGTGTTTATCCGCCGATGAGTAGGCGCTCTCGAAGCCCGGATTCAGCGAATGCCGAGGTCACGAATCGGCTTGATAGAATCGAGGAAGCGCTACGAGTGCTAGGCGAGGATTTGGGTCAAATCAGAGATATACTACAGATTGTTAAGCCTTCGGCCACAATCAGGACCCCGAGTAGTGGTGAAGTTCTCCCGTCGAGGCCGGGTAATAGACGGTTGGATGATAGAAACCGTATTGATATTGGCCATCCATTGGAAAGTGAACGAGAGCGACCGCGTCGTGCCGTTAACACTTCTGATGACGCAAGATGGCCAGCCGAACAGCAGCATCCATCACCTGTCACTGTATCCATACTGTGGCATTGGTATTTGGATACCGTCGATCCCGTACTGAAGGTATCCCATACGCCTAGTGTTCAGAAAGACGTTATGCTAGTTATCAAAGAAGAGACCTTTGGGGACGTGGCAAAACAATGTTTGCTCTTCGCGATCTTCTACGCTTCAATAATTAGTATGCCATCTACCACCTGCCTGGACAAGCTCGGTGAAGACAAGCCAACGCTATTGGAACGGTTAGATAGCCTGCCCTTAAACCCAACCCTGGCTAACAATACAGATACCGCAACGATGTCGAGCGCGCATTGGCACGAGTAGACCTTTCGGGCTGCTCAGACATGACCCTTCTACAAGCCCTTACCTTATATCTTGTAAGCGAACTAGTCCTCTACTTCAACTCCACCTAACACCCTTTCTAGACCTGCGCGCGATTGGACAGCCGCAGCTCAGTCAAAGCCTACCTCTTTACAGCCATCAACATGGCATACCGGCTAAACATCCACCGTGATGGCACGCTGCAGAACAGTTCAGTATTGGAGACAGAAATACGTCGTCACATCTGGTGGCAGCTCGTCACCCTTGACCTTCGAACCGCGGAAGACCACAACACAACCCCCTATATCCTCGAACCATCCTTCACCACACAGCTTCCCTCCATCGTCGTTGACGCAGACCTCCCAACCCCAAGCACATCCACAGCCACTACATCCAGCACGTTCTTCCGACTGCTTCATTTCGAACTCAGCTCCTTCACTCGACGTATCATATTCTCGGAAACCTTCAACCAAGCAAACGATTACCCAACGTTGTCCCCGATACAGAAGCACCAAGCCATCAACGCCTTCCGCCAATCCCTCGAAAGCCGATATTTCTCTCACTGTAGTTCCATCAACGCCCTAGAGTTCATAACAGCGGCAACTGTTCAACTCTTCCTTGTGAAAATGAAATTATCCGTGTGTAAACCCGGACACAATTTTCGGCCTATTTGTGTAGAGGTTCTTCAGCGAGCATTAGCTCTGAGGGAGCATGAGCTGGGACAAAAGTGGCTTTGGTTGGTTCAGAGGGATATCGAGTGGGGGATGTTGGAGTTGTTGCTAAACGATCTGTGTGCAGAGGAGATGAATGAAGGAAGAGACGAGGCGTGGAGGGTTGTGGAGCAGGCATATGGATATTGGAAGGGAGATGAAACTACACGGGGGACTATTAAGTGGAACATTATTGAGGATCTAAGGACTCGAGCGTTGAATGTTCAGGCTAACGAGGGCGAGGTCTCTATGAATGATGTGCCGAATGGGCCTGAGCCGGTACTGTACACGGACTGCCAAGTGCCGGTGGAGGAGCTTGCTGAAGGTACTGGAACTGTGGAACTGCCAGGTGATGGGACTGTGTGCGAGTGGAGTATGGAGGCGTTTGAGCAGTATTTTCGGGCGCTGGGTGCCGGGAACGATATGTCGAATGTGCTTTAAAGCTGTCTGTCAGCTTGTACAGACGAGTGCATTTCTAGATGGGGCCAGATATGATTTGGGCGTGTAATGGCGACGTCTATTGTGAGATGAAATACATGATTTCATTCGGCGCAACATGCGCTGCTTTACTCTGGACTTATCAAAATGAGGTGCTCCCTATCTCAGCGAGGGGGACAGGGACTGCCCTTTCGGCTTGCATTAATTGGGTTGTGGATTTCTGGCTGCGGTTGTTCATGCGTGAAGCGCTGAATAAGACTGCTTCGAAGATAGTATTTTGCTTTGGGGGGTGTTTGCATTGCGACTTCTATTGTTATGTTTTTGTTTTATCCAGAGACTGCGCAGCGGTCGCTTGAAAAGCTTGATCTGTTGTTCAAGCCGAACCGGCGTAAGCTGATTTGTTTGGACTGGGAGGCTTGTCAGAAAGGGTCATTGCTGCATCGTGATTTGGAGGGCGTGAAGGCGGCACGGCAGCTGGAGTTGGCACTGGCCATGAAAGAGATTGGGAAGGCAGTGTGAGTTGGGCAGATTTAACTTCGCACTTACCATACTTAGTGTACTACTACTAGTAGTCTTGAGGGGACCGTGCCCAAACAAGCCTACGGAACTCATGACTCGTGCGCGTATGGCAAAAAGGAGCACAATGATCGATCGCTGTTAAGACGGCAGAAGGATCAGGACGGACCGCATCTTCAGTAAACATTGCGCTTATACACAGCCCCTGCCATTTGAAATAGTCACACTGAAAGTAAGCTTCCTCGGCGTCCCACTAGACGGACACGGACCTATAAATAAACGTAGGCTGCTGCACGATGATGCATTCTTCTGACAATGTCCTATCAACATCCCAGTAGTATTATCCCGG